CAAACGACGTTCTACTTTTATGCATAACGAAATGTACAGTGAGTTAGAAAACGCGTAATTGCAGATAGAACTTTACTAATCTTTTAATGGATAAAATTTCGTAAATGTCAATTATTCTTCTCGAATTTCTCATTTGATTATCAGGTTCGCGTTTTACAGACGGACTTACGTTCATCAGCCGTATACCGTGGATAATTAACAGTGAAGAGTTGGCAAGTTTGAAATAATCAATTCGATTCCGACTTTGCGAATGATATTTGGGAAGCAGGTCAAAATGATGACCGCGCACACGCACGCATAAAGAGGATAATCCCTCACAGCGAAAGTTAAGTCGGCCAACGGCTCGTGCGGGCGATCAGCGTCAAACGACTTTTTTTTCTCCCCGTTCACTCAATAACTGTCAACTCTTTCGGCAGACTTCGCGCACGCCCTCGGTGAGCAGAGCCAATTTATCGGTAACGTGTGTGTGCACGCGCGCAAGACAAACTGATGGGATCGTTCTCTCGCTCGCGATGTCTAATTCTTACGGCTCGGCAGGAATACACCCATTAGTCGACTGACATTCTTTCTGTTTTCGTAGAATTCTTTTCCTCTCCAACTTGGCTTAGTGTTTCGTTTGCTTCGCTCGCGTGTCGATGGAACTACGTGATTGCGCTACAGGCTTTTCTGCTGATTACTCGTCATGATTTTTGACTTGACGATTAAGGGCTTATTCGTGTATGTCCGTTCCGCTCGCAATTTGGTCGTGCCAAAGACAAGAGTGAATGTGGATCGAATAATCTTGAGCGTACGGTGACCGTAAGCTTTTCTTTCGCAAGCGTTGCCTCGAACCAAGTAATCAAGCGAAATACCAAAATACCATTGCCGGCACTTATCCCTAATGATTCTTTCCTAGCAGTACCTCCCTCTGCGCCTAACAGTCTTCGAATTAATGCCCAACTGTTGTAACTTGCTAATGATAAACAAGCAGTTAGCTCACGTGAAACTTCGTTTGTTTTGGAAACTATCGGCTCCCCGCGCGCGGCGGCTTCTATATTAATGTGCATATCTGCGCGGAGCGCGAGACCCCATTATCGCGTGTGCAACAAACCCCCGGAATAGTTAAGTGGAGTGCAGTCAACGACTAGGGTTCGCGAGTTCACGGGGCATATGCGCGGTACGTCAATTACGTGCGAGCATTCCGTGACGGATCGCGGAAAACGCAGAAGCTCGCTCGCGGCCGCGCGCAACTTTTGCAACTTTGACGAACAGCTCCGTGAGAGCGCAACAGGCGCGAGGCTAAAAAGTGCACCGCCGTTTCCGGGGATCGATCGACCGTCTTTTTTTTCTGTTTCTTTTTTCGTTCACTTCGAGGGAGCAGTTCGCGGTCGAAACGCGGTTAAACGAGTTTGCTTTACACTCACGGGCAAACAAATCGAAAAGCTAACGTACTTCGCGTTGCTTTAACTTCGAGCAGTCGTTCGAGCTTACAACGCACTTTAACGACTTAACGAGCGCTGATTTTCAGTCTAAACTTCGAACTAATCTGCAGTTGGAAAACTGCGCACGCTGAGGTGTCTCATTGCGAAAATAATCTTCCAAATTGCAGCCCTCGAGCTCGCAAAATAGAAAAAAATGGCGAATTTTATCAGAATACCCGTCAGAGAAATTTCAATGAATATCACGAGACGCTCGCATATCGATCATACTTTTTTTCGCAATGCTCTCACACAAATGCGCGTTTAACTGGGTTTTCGCGGACCATACGGATTTTATAGTTTCATAAAGTTGAACTCATCGTATAAAGGTAGCAAAGGCTTCGGATAACAGAAACGAGAATTTTCCATGCCTGAAGTCGTAAAAATACACAATCGAGTTTTCAATCGCTTCCCCCTTTGTAACACTCGCGTCGAACGAGAGATACTCTTTTTTCTCACTTTTTATGAGTATACGGGGAGCGTGCATATGAATCTCGAGTGACTTATGTGAATAATTTTTACCGTCTGATAGCGACGACAAATAAAAATAACAAACGGGGTGACAGGCTGGTAGATGGAACGAACGAGAAAAAAAATTTAAAAAAAAAACGAAAGTTGCCTCCTGTGAGGTTTGAACTCACGACCCCTGGTTTACGAGACCAGTGCTCTACCACTGAGCTAAAGAGGCGCATCTGCTCACTTTGCCGTAAGCCCATCACACCTTTTACATACGAGCAATTGCATTACGTGCGATCTGTTAAATTTCCCCTCTATCTTTCTCTCTTGCACGCGCACGCGCTTACTCGCGGAACTGATTACGCGGACGTTGACGCACATGTGAAGTACAATTAGAGAGATAAGTGCGCACGCTATATATCTAACTGGTATGTAGTCCGAGTACCGCCGATCTGACTGCCTAATCGAATTATTACACACTTCTATTAACCCTTTAACCTGTTAACCGAGCGGGACGTATAAATACGTCAAAAGCAAACAATATCGGGTACGAGTAGGACATATGAATACGTCCTCGATATTTATATTGCGCCCTGGAACGGGTGGGACGTATATTTTACTACTACTATGGTAATACGTCATTCATACACGTCTTAGTGGAAAAGGCCGCGCCCGTTATATGTTGCGTAATTAAAAAGGGATTTCCCCGGTTAACAGGTTAATGGAGAAACACGCTTCTATCGCGGATATAATTGCTTTTCTTACTCGATCATACCTCTTGCTCGATCATACCGACGACGTAGATGTAATTTTGAGAGTCACAGTGCAGCGAAAAGTTCGCTCTTTTTCGTACGCTTCTTTATTACATATCTAGATCGTTTTTATTATAAACATATATTAGACACGCTAGAAATAAAAATAAATTTTATTTTATCCAACGATTGTTTCAACAATAATTCTACTAAAGCAACTATTTCTTTCCAGTGATAATTTAAAAAGAATTATTACTGCTCTAAAAAAAGAAAAATACGAATAACACGGATGAACCGCTCCGATGTAAAATAAACGTTGTAGAGAAAAAATGTTTATTCCCGTACTCCTTGACAAAGATAAAATAGCATGAAAGCTGTGGCGTGTTATCGAAAGGCTATATCCGCGATGTCAATCCACGCGCACCGTTCTTGCCAAAGCCGCTCCCGTAGTCAGGGCGAAATTCGACCGCAACCGTCGGAAAAGTCGGAAAATCAAAGCTCCCGTCAGCTGAATCAACTGAGCCGAGTCGCGGCTGTCGATCATGCCGAAATGTTGATTCGATATTCGCTGTGCGCGAACGTTCGCCAGTTTCGTATTCGCTACTTTCGATTGGACTTTTCCAAAAACGCACGGAGATCCCCCCCCCCCCCCCTCACGCTAAAATTCGGAGCTAACCCGAGCACGAAGAAGTAGAGCCCTTTGAAACAAGCTTTTAAAAAAGAGACAAAAGCGGGTTGCGGAAGAACTGAAGAGAAGCGGGAAAGATGAGCGAAGCAAATTAAAGCGAAAAAATTACTCTCCGGAGAGCGAGGAAGCGTCGAAATTAATATCACAAACGCACGCGAGGCTCCATTATTTTAATTAACGCGCAATCCGCGCACACACGTTCGCGCTGTCGAGCCGTCGATCTAAAAATAGGCGGTCGTGTTCCATGATTATGCGATACAAAGCAGCCTAGATAGGAAAACGCATGTGTAGGGCGCCGTTGTGTTCCCAAGAAAGGTGAAAAATCGATCTTCCCGCGGGACGAGCAAAAAGCTGCGTACACATGAATTTTTCAATTGCACGGCTGCGCGCAGAGCGCGAACTCGGGCAACTGCCTCGCGTATAGCTCGATAAACAGAGTCTGCGTAGAGCGAGAAGATAGTACTATAGTAGTAGTCCGTCGTAGTCTAGTGGCGACGGTGCTGGCACTTTATCCAGAAGAAGTCGTTTGTCGGTGTTCATTATCCATGCCGCTGGGACGGCGAAAACTCCAGGACAAATGCCACCCAAGCAGCAGAGAGCGCGGACCCGGTTTAAGGTAGTCCGGAAATATTAGGTCTACACGCACTGATAATAAATGGCCACAGCACTGAACATTTTTTTCGTCTGCTCCTCGTGCTACGGTCTCTCTCGCTCTCTCTCTCTCTCTCTCCCCGATATTTATACCTTAACCTAAATGCGAACTCACACCCATCTTTTTTATCTCGCAAGCGAGAGGGAAGCTGCAAATTTATGCCTATTGACACTCTGACAAGATGTTTAATTGGTTGCTTTTTTCTTCTTTCTACTTAGTATGTTTAATCAAGTTGTAGCTTTTATTTTTAAACTCTTTGAGAGCAGAAAGCAAATCCTGGTATCACAGGAAATTTTGTTTCTTCAATTGTTGAGTAATAGTTTGTGTCGGTGTATATTGAAAAGAGTATGATTTAATGGATATCTCAACAATTTTTGTGTTTAGCAGCCATTTTTCTAAGCCAACTGCTCCCTTCAATAAAAAGTCACTAGATGCTAATAACTCTTGTTCAGCTCTTTTTATTTTTATCTTTTTCTCTGTACATGTTAAGTTTTCAGTGGGCTAAGTGTGCACACAAGATAAAAGTGACTTTTTTATGCAGAGCCACAACTCTAAAGACAAGTAATGAAAGTAGTGGCCTGGTATTACATGCTTATTAGCACCTTGCCATCTATTTTCAAATTTTCAAATCTATAATTTGATGACAGTTTGTGGTCTGAAATATTTAACATATGCTAAAATCATGCTGAGTGCTATAAAATTAATGTCATCTGTCATGTGTATTTTGACAATGAAAATTTGTTAATCTCAAGTGACAGATTATAAAATTAGCTTGATTATCAATATCTGAAACATTCAACTTGAAATGTTGAATAAAATTGGATAAGAACTGTCTAATAAAATTATGAACTCATTTTTCACTGTCAACTGTTATTGACTATTCGTTACATCTTTTTGAGAGTTTAAATTGTTAATGCTAGTAGTAATATTACTTACAATTTGTACTGTAAGAAATAAAAAATTAAAAGTATTTTCTATTCACTTATGTCCTACAGGTGATAACTCCTTTTCGGTCACTGGTTCTCTGTGGTGAAAATAGACAAGAAATGGAAGACTGGCTTGGTGCTTTAAAAAATACAGCTGGCTCAAGGCCTGTGACAGATCCCACAGCAACAGAACTACTTAATGGAGCTCATCAATGGATTGCAACCAGTCATGCCAGACCAACATACTGTAATGTCTGCAGAGATGCATTATATGGTAGATATTTGAGTTCAAATAATTCTGTGGATAAGAACTCTATATTCTAATGAAATAATTTTATAGGTGTGACATCTCATGGTTTAAGTTGTGAAGTTTGTAAATATAAAGTACATAAGAGGTGTAGTGAAAAAGCAATAAACAACTGTAAATGGACCACATTAGCATCAATTGGGAAAGATATAATAGAGGACCAAGATGGGGTAAATATCTTTTTATTCTATAAATATATTAAATATCATGAAATCTCTAGGATTATTTATATTTTTGTTTCATTGTAGAACATTACAATGCCCCATCAGTGGATGGAAGGAAATTTACCTGTAGCTGCAAAGTGTGCAATCTGTGACAAAACCTGTGGCTCAGTATTACGGTAGTGTATATATCATTTTAACAATTATTGGAATGCCATTGGCAGAATATCAATGTAAATTTTGCACTACACAGGTTACAAGATTGGAGATGTTTATGGTGCAAAGTCACAGTTCATACAGCTTGTAGGCCATCCATGAGTGAGAAATGTCTCTTAGGGCCAGCCAAACTCAGTGTGGTACCACCAATTGCATTACATAGCATAGGTAGCTAAGATAATTCCTCAGCCACGAGTTGCACAAACATGTTATAACACTTCAAAGTAACGTAGAAAATGTCAAATTCACAGGTACCGATGAGGCATGGGACGCCGTAAGGCCCATAGGCTGCAGTCCACTCTTAGTATTCGTAAACAGTAAGTCGGGCGACAATCAAGGAATCAAATTTCTCAGGAGGTTCAAGCAACTGCTCAATCCAGCGCAAGTTTTCGATCTCATCAAGGGTGGCCCTGGACCAGGGTAAGTCGGCTCGTTTGTTTATTTTTTATTCGCGAATAACTAAATTGCGTGGTTAAGTGGATAAAACGGGTGGGTGATTATGATGCGTATGGTCTCTCTCTCTCGTGTGAATGCAGGCTTCGGCTCTTTCGACATTTCGACCCGTTCCGGGTTTTGGTGTGCAGTGGAGATGGCTCTGTTGGCTGGGTCCTTTCTGAAATCGATCGTTTAGGAATGCAAGTGAGTAAATAGCTCGCTCTTCTCAGCAACAGTCAAATTCGTCGCTTTCTGTTTTTCGCAGCCTGTTTCACCAAAATATGTTATGAACTAACACATATATAACCAAAAAGCAAAAGAAAATAATTGATTGTCATTTTCATTTTTTGATATCTTACTTTTCTTCTTTTATTTTTCAACAAAAGCGTTGAGAATAACCGTATGTGTTCTACTAGTCTGCTATTTATTTCTGACTTGCTTGAGAATTTAATTTTCTGGATCTACTGTGTAAATTAAGAGTGAATGTTTTACTGTTATGAACTTCCGCAACAAAATAAACCGCAGCTTTTTTCTTCATAGAAACTTGTTGGTGTATCTCACTTATGTGCATGATGTTTTTTGCGAAAGCCTTCAATCTTAATTATTACTTTCCTCTAGCATGTTTCTCTTATTTTTTTCTATTTATTAAGTGACATTTTATTGTCACTGCTCAGTGTAATTTCTTTTATCGTTAAACTTTTTCTCAAGCTTTACCTAATATGATATTCGATGGTAAGTTTTGCACTTGAAACTGAAAACAGTTGCACGATCCTCCAAATTACTTTTCAAATTTCATTTCCTTACTTGTAATTGCATACATGTGGACATTTTTAAGAGAAGAAATATATATTAATTTGAACGAAATTTTTGTAGAAACAATGTCAAGTTGGAGTATTACCATTGGGCACAGGAAACGACTTGGCACGAGTGTTAGGTTGGGGTGCGTCTTGCGACGACGACACCAATTTAGCACACCTGTTGGAAAAATACGAGAAAGCGGGTACGAAGATGCTCGATCGTTGGAGCATCATGGCTTTTCATCGTGGTATAGCATTACCATGTCATAAAATTCTCGATCAGTCGGATGCAACACTAAATCAGAGTATCATTCACGAATACGAAGATAGTGTCATCACGCACATTAGTAATATTCTGCACAGTGATCAAGAGTCCATCGTCATATCTAGTGCCAAGTATGTACAGTTCTTTTTTTAATTTTCTAGAATATGAAATTTAGTTGTCATTAATACCAATAAAAACTTGATCGTACACAGAGTTTTGTGCGAGACGGTGAAAGACTTAGCAATAAGGATATCAGAGACAAGTATGGGTACTGGTGATCAACAGTTAGGCAATAAATGTGATGTGCTGCAACAGAAGCTTGACCAGTTATTGCATACCCTCGATAAAGAGGAGAGTTTTTTGTCGGAAAACGGTGATGAGACGAATGCTGATACTTTGAGATCCGACTGCTTGTCATCGTTCGAGCAAGAACAGGAGAAAGGAGTACTCGAGAAACCTGAGAAAGAGATGACTAACATGAAGAGGTCGAAGAAGAGGCGTGGCTTTGAAGAAAATCAAGCTGTTATATCGAGGTTAGTGCTGTAGAAATTTTTTTTTTCACACACTTTTTGTTTCTAAAAATTTTTCAGTTTAGTTGTACGTCTTTACAATTTTAGAGCAAATAGTTTGAAGAGGGCTATTCGTCAATTAGTAGAGCACGCTGAGCAGGCTATAGACGAGCAGAACATTTCAAAAGGACCGAACATTACGATTACAACTGAGAGCGAAAATTTCGATGTCACTGGTATGAATCAGATTCTCGAAGTAACACTACAATTTGAGAAATTTACTTACTATCTTTAATTTTAATGTTTATAGAAAAAAGACGAGAACTAGATATTTGTGGCATAATAGAGGAAAACTATATGGAAAGTTTGAGCGTGACACCGACGATGGAAACCATGAGTAGTGGCGATCCATCACCGTGTTCATCTCCAACGCCTAATGTTGCTTCGCTTAGTCCTATGCCAGATATCAGGCGAGAATCTCAAGTTAGACCTGAAGAGTTGCTTACGTTGCCTGTTCCTGATGATTTTGCTGATAGTCGAAGGAATAGTTCGATTCAGGGGTAATTTAATTTTTTAATTTGAGTTCATAAAAAATATTGGTTGAATATTCACTGAAGGTCTATTCTCACGAATACTCACGTAGGGTTTTCAGTTTTTACTCCTCAACATTTGTGGAATCGGACATTGATGAGTTGTGCAAACAGCAGAATCATAATTGTGAATCACTAGAAGCGACCCAACAAGAAACTCAGTCAGATTTACCACCGGTAACAGTAACATCCACTACTTTGGAAACTAGTACACCGTCAGATGACACGACGATTCAAGATGCAATAATATCACCCGATACTGACTCTGTGCCGTCAGTCGATGTATCACCCGAGTGTCCTGAGTCAAAATCCATCAGTGAAAAGAAACGCGTTGGTCATAGGGGTAGCTGCACAAACAGCATCATCAGCTCGGATAGCATGGTCTCGGAGTCTTTCAATCAGGTGGTGAAAAACAGCGAGAGTGAGATAGGTAAGGGTATCGCTATAGCTGATATAAACTTCTCATGTTTAATTCTGAGAATAATTTCCTGGACGTTTTTTAGGGTCTATAGATAGTGACATTCTTGACTTGACTAAACGTTCAGAAATCGAAGAATTCGGCCATATTGACTCCCCGGAAAATTCAGATCAATGTATGAGCGACATTCCGAATTCCGAAAGTATTGTTGATGATTTGAGTTCGTTGGGGCAGGATTTGATTAGTACAATGTTGGGACATGAGAAGTATGATTCGGTGAGAGAGGGTATTCTCGATTCAGAACAGATAGAGAAACCTCAAAAATTCTGTAGTCTAGCTAAATTCGAAGGCAACGATATCGCTAGAAGATCTTTCAAACGGCAAAGAAATACTAAGATAAATAAAGATGTATGTGTATCATCAGTTATTAAAATTGTTTTACTCGGGCTGATTGCGAAATTAAACTTTAAAATTTTATAGGGATTTTTCAAAGGAAGACCAATCGGGCCATTTGGTAGTATTTTAGAGAAAATGAGCTTGAACGATCAATTCAACGAACAAAGTCCTGAGGATTTAGAAGACGATAATAAATCAGCAGACTTGCTCAACGCTCCAGTTTGTCGATTTAAAGTCACTTCCAGTTCCAGTCCATCCAATGACAATTCACCAAATTTTCCGCCAGCGATTAGCGTTGTCGTTGATCCCCCAAGCCCATCGGCATCAGTCAAGGGCAAGCACGAAACTGATTTTAACTTTCATAATCTTAGCTCATATTTTCGTAGATTCAGTGGTACTAGTATGGAAAAATGTGCGTTTTAATTAGTATCCTAGCAAGAGAAATATATAAGGGTGAAATCATTTATGACAAATTGTTCGTTTTAGTGAGCGTTGAACTACCAGAAGGCAGTGGATGTTCACCGCAAGCAACACGCCGCATTAGCAGGGGTAGTTTACTAAAACCAGCTGAGATCGTATCGTTGGCGGCAACTGCAGCAAAGTACGGTGGCTCAACCATGAGTTTGAGACACGAGCGTTCAAAATCTATCGACAAGACTGATGAAGTTAAGAAGCTTCCTATTATCAATCCACTAGTCCGATTGCCTATGTGGCCAAGTAAGTAGAAACTTTATTATACTTTGATCGAAATAAGAATTTATAAGTGATTCATATTTTATGCGACTTGTTATAGACGTAAGTGGTGGCCTAATTAGTCAAGCACTTTTAGCTAATGCAGATGCGCTATGTGCAGCAGTATCTCCTTTAATGGATCCAGATGAATCACTGATGTGAGTTTTATATTTCCACGTTGATTATATTCTTGATATTTATTTTAATAATATATGGTATATTTATATAAAATCGATTATGTTTTGCCACCGCAGGGAGGGATATTATGAGCGTTGTGTTATGAACAACTATTTTGGTATTGGAATCGATGCAAAGATAAGCTTAGATTTCCATCACAAGCGTGAAGAGCATCCAGAAAAATGTAGGTCGCGAGCGAAGAATTACATGTGGTACGGAGTATTGGGATCGAAACAGTGGATACAACAAACCTACAAGAATCTCGATCAAAGGGTACAACTTGAATGCGATGGACAAAGGATCCCATTACCTTCGTTGCAAGGCATCGTCGTTTTAAATATTCCAAGGTATACAGATACATTTATTGATCTATATTTATATTTTCAATCACAAAGCTATCGATTATAAAAAATGCTTATTACGTTAAAGCTTCATGGGCGGCACCAATTTCTGGGGCGGATCGAAGGAGGGCGACTTATTTTTAGCTCCGTCGTTCGACGATCGTATTTTGGAAGTTGTCGCCGTGTTCGGCTCCGTGCAAATGGCAGCCTCTCGATTGATCAATTTACAACATCACAGGATCGCTCAATGTCAAAGCATACAAATAAACATCCTTGGGGATGAAGGCGTACCGATACAAGTCGATGGTGAAGCTTGGGTGCAACAACCTGGAATTATCAGAATTATACACAAGAATCGCATGCAGATGCTGTATAGGAATAGGGTATTCATTTACTTGTATCATAATAAAAGGTGTTTGCTAATGTATATCGTAAAACTTAATTTATGTTTGTTTCACTGTTATTAGGCTTTAGAGGAATCGTTGCGCACCTGGGAAGAGAAGCAGCGTAGTACAATGGCCGCTGTCACGCAATCCTCATCAACCCTAAGTACTTCCTCACGGACGCCTAGCCAAGCTCACATTGATGTCAAACAAATCGCTTTGACCGACGAAGAAATATCCGTTTTGATAGGTTTCATTGATGTTGCAAGTACACTTGTCAAGTGGGTTAAACTTCTCATCATATCTCACCCTAGTATTGAAGCAGATTTGTACCAAATAGCTTCGAGAACTTCTGCCGTACTCGATAAGATTCACCCAGGCGGAAAAATTTTAGAAGGGGTATACACACTGTTAAATAATTTTATTTGATACTTGAAATGGTTACGGATTTGTTTGATTCTTAAATTATCTTGCAGCCGCATCTCAGACCAGTTGTTACGGAGGTCGTTTCTACTGCGAGGCAATTGTATGAGGAATCTTGTGAACTTTTGCGGGACAAAGCTCATAATCTAGTAAGATAAAACTTATAAATATTTTCCTTCGTATGATTGATTATAAAGCTGCATATATTAACTTCATTGTGTAGAAATTGCGCGAAGATTTGGAAAGTAAACTGTCATCGTCGTTGGCAACAATGGAGCATGAACTTCGAAAATGCATCTTTGACGAGCGTGGCAATGGACTTGTATACTTACAAAATATTCAGGAAGAGCCGGTGAGAATCTTATGTATTTTGTGTACTGAGAGCATTTTTTAAACAAGCAAATTTTTTAATATGCATCTAACAATCGTAAATATAAGCCCGAAATTTTCTTAGACAATGAAAAAAACTAAGCGCAACTAACCTGACTAACATAACTGTGGCTTTCTCTCTATAGACCGACAAAAAGAATCGTCACCGGGGCTTATTCTGGTTAAAGTTTCGACGTTCAGGTCAGAACAATGGCGGTTCGACTCCATCGGTCCGAGAGCAAGCTACCTTATGGGGTACGCAAGAAGTTTGCACGTGGCTGGATAATCTGCAGCTGGGCGAGTATATGGAAAACTTCGTGTCTCACGATATTCGAGGCAAAGAACTTCTTACCCTCGGAAGGCGAGATCTTAAAGATTTAAATATCACGAAGGTGGGCCATGTTAAGAGGATATTGCAGGCTATTGCCGAACTAAATATTTAAAGCGATCGTGAGTGGACGAATCATTCGCTGGGGAGGTTTGCATTTTTCTTACTGATCGATGATCTGTGATAAGCAGGTAAAGTAAAAGAAGAACCATTGATTTGGTGTTGCTATTTGCATTCGATATGGCTGTGATTTTGTTAAAGTTCATTAGGTTACTCGACAAAACGGGTATTATTCTTGATTTTTATTATTTATTTCCGAGTAAGATACATCGATGCTCTCACGGACTTTAAGTGAATGATTCGTCACGATATAAATTTAGTTTGTAAAAAAATCGTTAGATAAGTATAAGAATGAAGAATATGCTGGCACGAGTTTCTTTGGAAGCAATAAGGAAATGTACTTCATTATTATATATCTTTGAGAAATTCGGATCTTCTTTCTGCTAAAGAAATTTTTGATCTCGAAACTTCCCTTTAGAGTAAGCAGTATTTTCGTTACTCCTGGCAATCAGCAACAAATGCAAACATAGACGTTAAAAAAAAGTTCGTCTTCCAAAGAGTAATGTTTAATTTCGGAGTTGAAGTTATTGTAATAAACTTTAGACTTCTATTACTCTCTTGTTGCAAACTTTTTTTATTCACAAATTGTTGACAAATGAAAGCAACGAAAAAAAACTAATTTATCTCGCCAGAACAGCGTTGTAGACAACATATTACATGCGTAGTCTTTAAAACTTGTTGACTAATACCTTCTAGAGTCACAGTGTATAAGAAGACATAAACTTAGCTCGTAAATTCCTAGTTCTTTGTTGACTTTGTGTAGCAAAGTCTGATAAAAAAAACGTATATGCAAGTACTTTTGTCGAATTTTTGCCAACTTGAAAATCGAAAAACAACCTCCTCGTAGCTATTAAGAATCCATATAATTTTTATGATCACTATACTATTATTATATATTACGAACTTTGTTCCAAGTAGACGAAGGTCTCGCGCCGAGTGTGAGAAACAATCATTGAATAGTATCTGTAGATCGATCGATACGCGCGCTCCAGAGTGATGTTCAGTAGTTGTAGAATTTAGACTTTTTTACGAATCTCTAGTATTATATACACAAGTGTCTAGATGTAGCGAGCAAAACAAACCTCTATTTCGCGTGTAAAAAAAATTACTCACAAAATAAGCTCTTTATAAGAAAAAAAACAAATAAAGAGAGAAAGGAGGCTCTGTGGCGCGCTAAAAGGGTCGAATTAAAATAAATAAAAAAAGAAAAAAAGAAAAAGATGAGCAATCAAACGATGGTGCAATAAAGTCAGTATTTTATAATTAAACTCGAATTCATACTTAGATATCGCACTCGCACGTGCACATTGTTGTATTTTATGCTTCTGCTACGTTCATTTAGTTTTTCTAACTGTATCAATACAACAAATACGTGTGACATAAGCTTGCATTTTTCTGTTTGTTCTTTCTTTCTTCGTACACTTCTCTTGTTAACTATTTGATAATCTCGCACTAATTATCAAGGCAATGCAGCAATGTTAAATTAACCGAGGGAAATATATACTACTACTTATTTTTGTACTGAAATTGTCACTGTTGCAAAGTGTTGACTTATAGGAAAAAAGGCATGAGTTTATTTTTTGAACAACAAACAAGAACATCGCAACTTTTTATAAATAAACCAAAGAGATATTTTCCAATGACCGGTCCGTCTGTAAATAAAAACGGAACAAGAGAAAAATATTGAAATAATGCCGGCTTATTCGTTATTTTTGTATTGTCGAGTAAGATTTATCAGTTAATTTTTGAGTCTATAAGAAGTTCGAAGAAACTAGAATCTCTGAAAGAAATGTCCTCTCTATAATCACAATCAAACACGAAGAATACACGCGGCGAGCACACAAAAGTGCCTGAAGTTACGGACAAACGCGTAATCTTCCCTCAACTACACTGTACATCTCTCTCTGTACGTTATACACAAAGAAAGCTCACATAACAGACACTCGTAATTTCTGTTTTTCACAATAGATCTTTACTATATCTGTTATAGTATCTAAATAAGATTTCATTTTTGTTATCTCGAGTGCTTCCATATCTATGTTAATGAAAAAGCCTACTTTTTATGACGAAAAACTATATAATTGTCCCTGTTCGATATATTCAATTATGTTCTCTCTCTCTCTTTCTCTCTCGCTGTTGGTTCATTTCACATATTTCAATTCCTTGAACCATCCACGCTCTCAGAACCAAAGATTAAAACTTAATTAACTGTATAATATCAAAACAAAAACAAAAAATCTGTAAGTTATCTTAAGGAAATGTCTCGTATCATCATCTATTGTGATGATCTAAAACTCGTAGCTGCACCTTGCACACTTTCTTTTTTCTTTCTCCTTCGACTTGCAGAAGACTGTCTCATAAAGAGGAAATAAACGCGCTCATGTCGGTCTTCGGACGATAACTCTTGCCTTTCTATTATAGTATTTCTTGTACATATAACCAGAGGAACAAATCGAGAACAAAAAGAAAATCATTGAAAAAACAGGAGCTAAAAGTAAACGCGCTATCAGTATTTATGCTTCTTTTCGATCGTTCCCATTTCTTTTTTATGAAAACCATGGACGGAAATATAATTCATTAATGTGTACGTTGTACTGTGTCCCCGTAACAAAAAAAGTATCAAGAAGCCGAAAATTCTAAATCTACAAAGAATAAAAAAGCAATGGCTCAATAAATCTTTACTGTTTTAAACTTTTTCATCGGCAGATGTTGTGTAAATATAATAAAAGTGCAATTTCTTTTCAACTCGAACATTATTGTTATCACTATTATGCATACAGGTGTATGAATTTATTGTTGCGTATTTATTAGTAGAGAAGGGGATGGCTACCGACAAAAAAAGTATGTACGCACTTGAGAGAAACAAGAAAGTGCTAACTATCAACATGGAAATTGGTAGTTTGGGAATTTGGTAGAATTGGTAAAAACTCTTTTAGTGTAGTTTTTATTGTACAAACACGTTACGAGTAATAAAAAAATATTTATATTTATAAAAATACTGTGATAAAATGATTACTATTATCATTACATACTGTATACCTGCAAAACACTTAAAATGAACACTCGTACAATATTCACCATTGTTATTTGGTTTATTTTCAGTTATCAATATTTCCTCAACGGAATCTACAGCTTCTTTATTATTGATTAATTTATATCATTACCTAATCTGAACGCAATAACTAAAAAATGTATTTTTTTATCATGTCTGAAATAATACTTAAGTAGCGAAAATTATTTGTATAACTTATATCAATATTAAGTTAGGATTTTGTATTATTCTACAAAAAAAAATAAATAAAAATGCTCAGTCGGTATTTATAGCATTTACTTATACTATGTATACCTATATATGTATAGCGCAACGAATACGTTTGGCTGTTAACTCAATTACAAGACGTTGATTTTTTTATTTTCGAAATTGTAAAATGTTTACTTTGTAAAAGATTTTTTTTTATCGTGATTCGAAAATGAAAATTGTTATCGGTAAGCAAACAAAATTTTGGAAGCGAAAGTTATTGTTATTACTGTAAGTGCTTCGGATTAGAAACAAGAGCATGCGTGAACTCGTATTAAATGCGAGTTGATTATATTTATTATTAGCTGATCTACCAATGTAATTTTCATTGAATTCAGTGTTGTATGTCTCAAAAATAAGCAAATAACGAACATGTTCTCTTTTCCACTGTTAATTATAAATTCTAACAAAATTATTAGAATTTAAAGCATACTTGTGTATATCAATACATGAAACAACATGCATACACGCTCTTTAACTTTGTGAATTTTTGACTTTTCAGTGTATTTGAATGATGTTTACTTACAATAAACTCAATTTTTAAGCTTATGTATCTTTTATTTTCATGAAAAATATAATCTTGTGTTTCTCTGGTAACATTTTTCTCATATTTAAAATACATATATATCAACGACGGATATATTGACTTTTGTAATGATTATATACAATATTACATACATTAATGTATATACTAACTATTAATTTTTATCAATTGAACTTGATAGACAAATTTCAGCAAAAATTATTCAGTATTATCTGAGTCTAACAATATGAGATTTGAATTTTAAGCAAGAAGTAAAAATAATCAAATTGAAATACAAATTAGTATTCAATTTGTAAAATTACAATTATGTTATTTCTATTAACTAGTAGTGCGAGAAATGTAAAATTATTTCTATTTATGTACACACATGAAATGTGATAGACTACGAACTAATAAGTAATAAAATTAGGCTTTTCTTTTTAAGCGATTCAGAGTTGCGTCGCGTCCTAGAATTTCCATCATCTCAACAACACTTGGACCTTCCTGTAAAAATAAATTTTTTTCTATCACATATTTTTCTACAGAACATTTTTTGCATTAAAGAAAAAGGAATTTTACCTTCAAACCACTTAGAAGACTTCGTAAAGTTTTCATTAAATCGGGAAAAGCAACGTTATTATTTATAGCAAATTCTTTCAAATAAATTTTCAACGATTCTTTGCAAAAATTAGTTTCATCAATACTTTCAAGCTTTTTACTTAATATACCAATCATTTCTAAATATTTTAGATTTTTAGATTCTCCGTTAGTTGTCGGTTTTATCCACAAGAATTTTAAATCTGGTGTCACTAAATCATTAAGTTTTGTAATTCTATTGTGTGCCCACGTCAACGTCGTTATAATATGTACTGGATCTATTTCCAAACTTCCATCTGATACCCTTGTGCAACAGGAATTTTATATAATTATATAATAATAATAATTTTCATATTTTTAAAATATGTTAATTTTTAAAACATACCTATCAGGGAAAGTTTGCTTTAGAAGTTCAATAACCCTTTCGACTAAGAATTCGTGATTTTTTTTGTTATTCAAAAGATTAGCTATTTCAAGTTGATTAAATTCCATTAACTTGTCAGGATTTAATTTACTAGAATTGACATTTACTTTACTAATATCAAACTGTTTTATAAGTTCTTCATAAGAGTAACAATGAGATAGGCCCATATGCCGATTAAAACCACCACCAGCTGCAGTTATATAATTGATTAGTGCCAATGGAAAAATACCTTCCCTCTTATAGTGTTCAACTCTAATATCATCTTGTCTTTTTGATAATTTTGTATTGTCACTATTCATTATCAAAGGTAAATGTGCATATAGAGGAGGTGTCCAACCAAAGGCTCTGAAAAATATAGAAAAATTTGGATAGAAAATATTCTCTCAAAGTAATTCTATTTAATTGAAGCTACTGTAATTACTTATATAGAAGTAAGTGTTTTGGAGTAGAAATCTGCCATTCAACACCTCTCATTACATGTGTAATAGCCATAAAGTGATCATCAACAACATTTGCAAAGTGGTAAGTAGGAAAGCCATCACTCTTCATAATAATAGGATCACCTTCATTTTGAGCAACGTTATAGGTAATATCTCCATATATTAAATCATGAAAAGGTTCAGGTGTTGGTATAAGCTGCAATTAGTGACTCACATGAATAAGAAATTTAAAAAATCCTAAAATTGTCTACTAGACATTTTGATTAAAATATACCTTAAAATAAATTAAATTTAAAATATACCTTAAATCTAATGCAGTACTTGTCTCCTCTCATAAGTCTTTCTTTGATTTCTTCACTGGTAAAATTTCTACACCTATTATCATACTTTGGAATTTGCCTTTCTTTCAATGCTGTATTCTTTAATAGTTTTAATCTACTCTCAGTACAAAAACATTTATATGCTGAACCATTATCTAACAAAGTTTTGACTTGTGTTTGGTAAAGATCAATACGTTTTGATTGAATGTATGGACCAACGGGACCATCTCTGATTGGATCTTCATCTGGTATAATACCTGCCCAAATTAAGTCATCTCGTAGTTGTTCCATTGCTCCTGGAACAACCCTTGTTTGATCAGTATCTTCTATTCTTAAAATAAAGGAACCATCTTGAGAACGTGCAAATAAATAATTATAGAGGGCTGTTCTTAACCCTCCTAGGTGTAGAAAACCTACAAAAAGTATAATAGTTGATTATATTTACAAAGTGGATAAATTTATTGTTAAAAAAATATAAAGTGACTATTACCTGTAGGACTAGGAGCAAATCTCACTCGACATTTACTATTTTTATAAAAATTTCTACGGATTTCCCACGGGATTCGAGGCATTTTTTAATGAAAAGTGGCACAAGTTTCGGAGCAGAAAACTATACAACGTACAGTAACACGTCTGCGGAAGATTAATCTCTATGAAAGATATCGAAATGGTAACTTAAAAAGCGTGTTCAGATCTTATTCCTTGTGCAGTCACTAATCTCTGGTGTTGTCGTGGAAATCACATTTCACCTGCAGTCCCGAAAGTTTAGTCAGATTTAATAGAATATATATATAGATTTTCCAGCTGAAAAAATCGCTGCGTTTCATTTTTCCTTTTTTATTTATACTGACTACGAGAAATGAGATAGGAACTGAAAAGAGAATTAGGGTCTGTCTCCATAGGGCCTGCCTGAGTCCGTCCGAGCCGGCCGAGATTTTTTATGGGCACGCCATCTCTATAATTTCGTATCCAATGGCGAGTTTCATAGTGAATGGCTGCGTTTACATAAACGAGCCCGATCGGACGCAGCCAATACGAGAAACGCATGAACACGAAATTATAGAGATGGCGTGCCCATAAAAAATCTCGGCCGGCTCGGACGGACTCAGGCAGGCCCTATGGAGACAGACCCTTAGAGAAAGAGCAAGGAGAATAGAACAGACGATGAGAGTTGAAACCCGCAGCGCTATCTGGCAGACAGATTTGGAATATGATTATCTATCTGTGACGTCATGCTTCAGTACATATATATGTACATTTCGTTGTTGTCATCGGTATCAGAATGATCACCTGGTGATTACTATTTTCTCGAATATACTGATATCAGTCCTTCAAAAGTCTAACCTCACCTTTTTTGTCTCTGGTGTATTTGAGTTTGTGTGGAAAAGTGGCGTTTGTGGGTTTATTGTGTGAATAATTGTGGAGAATGTTTTCATGAGAATATATTATTAATACGATATTAAAAAAATTATACAAATCTATAAAATGGGTTCTAAATTACCTCCAAATGCTCAAGAAATCGTCGATGAAATTACCAAAAATTTGGAAGACTCGTGTGCGAGAGAAGATAGTGACGAAAATGAGAAGTTTTTTGATGTTGGCGATAAACTAATTAATGACAAAAAAGACGATGACACTAGTTCCAAAAATTATGAGTTTGAAGAAATAAATAATGACTTACAGGAAGATAAATATTTTGTTGATGAAACTGTCTTAAAAAATAGGGATTGGAATCTTACTGAAAAGCAAAAACAGGTTGGTAAAATTCTGAAATGTTAGTGAATGGTTTTTGTTTATTATTTTAATTGCTAACTATTATTATTGTATTTATATTTTCAGGAATTAAGCAATGAGTCAGAAAATTTGAAAATAAAAGGAAACAATTTATTTAAAGAAGGGCACTATGCTGATGCTGTCTCTACTTATACAAGTGCATTACGTACATGTCCTTTGAGTTTTGAACAAAGTAGAGCTATATTGTATGCGAATAGAGCAGCAGCAAAAGCTAAATTCATGGTATCTATTTATTTAAAACTTTTGCAGTGAGCAAAGATGATTATTTTTCAGTTTCTGATTTTTTTGAATTTCAGACAGATAATACTTCAGCAATTACAGATTGCACGAAAGCAATAGAATTAGATGCAACTTATGTTAAAGCATTTTTGAGAAGAGCTCATCTGTATGAAGAAGCTGACAAACTCGATGAGGCCTTAGCAGATTATAAACAAGTATTAACATTTGATCCTGCCCATTCAGAATCAATATGTGCTATCAGGGCAAGCAAACCTTTTTAATTTATATTTTCTATTATCACAGTTATATATGACTAATTGAAAAAATCTTTTTATAGAAACTTGAACCAATAATTAATGAACGGAATGAGAAGTTAAAAGAAGAGATGCTTGGTAAGCTAAAAGACCTTGGAAACATGATTCTAAAACCTTTTGGTCTTTCTACGAATAATTTCCAAATGCAAAAAGATGATGCAACTGGTGGATATTCTGTCAAATTTAACCAGAATCCTACATGATAATAAAGTCCATTTTGTTGTACAGTTTAACTTACTTTTATTAACATGTATATTGCTGAATTCATTTATGATTTATATACGAAATGAAGTAAAACAGAGGCACTTATTAAATTATTTTTTCCAATACACAACTAAAAATTCATATTTACGTCGTTTAAAAAAGCTAATTTTTGTTATAACCTATAAGCATCTTATATACAAAAATTTAATTTTAGTCGTTATTGTACATGAAACGATTATAAAATCTGTAAATAAAATTCTTGAATCATATTTTTGAGAAAAATTAAATTAATTTTTGAAACTTTAATTAATTAAGAAACTAAACAGAATTAATGACAACGTAAAATTTTATATTTTTAAAACAAAATAATTGAAAGTCGATTGTAAATCAAATTTAAAAATTGTGACGCGGTATGAAAATAATGACTACACAGTTGTTATCTGAATCACTTTATTGTCACGCACCAAATCTGGCTTTGGGGGGTGGCATCTTTCATCAGATTATAATTGGATGCACAGCGTTTTAGAGACAAAAGTGTTGTATCCCCATTCTCACGCTCTCGGTTCTCATATCATCGTTCTGTTTCTGTCCTTCGTCGGAAAAATAAAATTTCCATTCTTTCTTGTTTTCTATCTTGTTTTCTTCCGTTACTAAAGTAAACGAAAACGAATTCGAATGATTGTCCGTATAAAAACGTGCGAATTTACATTTTCGTCAGAAGTAAGAACAAAATTTATTATCAGTCGAACGCGAATAATCAAGGGAAAAGATAGTTCTACAATTTAGTTATGTCATTGCATCTTTTTTCGTCGTTGAAAAGTACAATACGAAATGCTATTACCATACACTTGTAATCAAATTCTATTCCTTTTCGTTTACTAATATAAGTTACATCTATCAGCGTCGTTAATTTCTCGTTCCAAAGCCGACGTATAGTATTTTATTTTTGTTTATTTTGTTAAAAGTTAATTAGTATATAGGTACAAAGTTTCAGATATTAATTTTTTGTCTCATTCAATATTAACATATATTTATATACGGTGATCCATGTAGACGTGTGTCGTTTTTTCTTATTATATGCAGATGTGTCTGTTTCGTCGTTATCTTATACATTTTTTATACTTATAGCTTTATTTTTGTTAGTTTTTTTCTGTATCCGATACCTAATATTGAGGCATGCCTATGTACACATTAATATTATCGTCACCGTAAAGGGCGAGAAATTTGTTCCCCCGTTTTGAATTTTTTTATTTGTTATTCGTATTCTCGTGTTCTTCCTTTAATCACATAGTGTTCGAGTGTGTAGGTATGTATGTGTAATTATATTGAGTCATGCGCCGCATCACCCAAGACGAATTTAAAGCTTTGAAATAGGTACGTTTCTATGGATTGTTCTGCTTAGTTATATATTTTTGCTCATTTGCACCTCTATTGGTACAAGTGCGATTACTCTTGATGTAAAATAAAAATGTATTCATAATAATGATATGATAGATGCTGCAAAACCAAAACGATAAACAAATGAAAAATGCTGGTGGAATTTATACGAGTGATGTACCGTGCATACGTGAATCTTTTCATTGTTTGTTTTTGCCAAATCAAAAATTTTTGTTTATACCTAAGTTTCTTTCAATATGTTTAGTTTCTTAAACGTTAGAGTCTCGTGTTCATTACATGTTTCTGCTTATAATGTATCCATTACCTTCAGCTCCAACTTTGTTGTAAACTTATAAATTTGTTAGTAATTACATGAGATATTATAATCTACGTCTTTATTTCTCTCGAGTAAAAAAGCGTCTTGTCGATTTTTTTCTAGGTAGCGAGTTAAGAGATATGATCGACTATATAGATTTTTGAGCGCGTTCGAAGTGAGCGTGCCAGTAGTTATACAGTTTCATCTTCAAACTATGCGTACTTTTCTTCTTAAGTATTTTATGTCAATGATCAAATTTTGCAGTAATTGAAAATTATGAAGCGTATATGGTATTCATGTTGCTGTTATTTTGTAACCTTGTTTTTTTTGATAATGTTAAACAATGAATTGTTCATTTTTAACTAAGAATCGAAATTTGTTGTTTATTCGTTTGAGGAACTTTGGCAGAAATTCGTTCGAGTATTCGGCAATTTCCCGATGTAAATAATTATTATTAGACTGAAACGGCCAAAGCAATTGTTATTAATAGAAAAATTTTTAGGAAATCTTGTTTTAGAATCCGTAATTTTTTATAAAAATTTATGAACTGAGAAAGATAGTTTTTGACACTCCGTGCACCAAGTACGTTTTTCCCGCACACTCGGCAAAAAAGTGCGTTGAAAATCGTACTTTCCACACGTCGTATCGAAAAATACGGTACGGCATATGTTCGGAAAAAAGTTTCTCGTCTTATGTGCCTTTTCACCCTCTCGTTGTTTGGGCATAAACGCCTCACGAAACAAGAAACCATTTCCCGCATTTGCATTGTATTGTACTATTCCGAATGTCGTTTGTCATCGTTTTCATTTCTCAATCTATGAAAAGAGTTCCTTACTGACGGAGTTCTTAAGTGCGGTTTCCGCGCATTGAAAAAGCGACTGTTGTGTTTAGCTTGCTCGAATTAAGAAAATTGTTGATATTTTGAAACGAAGAAATTTGGAGACAATCCTTAGATGGACAACTTTCTTGCAGTCTTTACCGAAATTCGATGTGTACTTTTGTTTGTCCAAAAAAAATTATGACCTCAAATTTTCAAAAATGTGTAATTTCAATGAACAAAACTTTGTTTCGAACTGTAATTTAATACGTATCCAAAATATAATGATATCACATTGTTTATAAATATCCTAAGTGTGAACATCAATTTTGAAGTTTTAATAAACATTTAAAAAAATTAAAGACACGATTTAATGAGGCGATATTGCGCCGCGGCACTGATTTTTGACATTTTCGTTAATTTGTGAATCCCGTACTTACCTAAAATTTTTAACAAGGTATTCACTTTAAAATTGAATAAGTTTCATTTTATCAATGTTTCGTGAAATTTTGATCGTTAGTTCTATCTTATTTTTATAAAAAAAGAAAACGAAAATTATGCTTCTTGTGGGAAAATACATTGAAAATTCTATTTCATCACTTTCTAACTAATAAATAAGATAAAACCAACGATCAGAATTTCATGAAACTTTACTTATTAAATGCTGAAATGACTACCGTGTTAAAAATTACAGGTATGGGTACATGGCTTAAAAGTTATTAACGAAAATGTTAAAAAGCTGTGCGGCGGCGCAATACCGCCTCATTAAATCGTGTCTTTAATTTTTTTTAATGCTTATTAAAACTTCAAAATTGATATTCATACTTTGGAGATGTTTATAAACAATGTGTTATCATTATATTTTGGATTCGTATTAAATGAAAATTCGTAACAAAGTTTTGTCCATTGGAGTTACACATTTTAAAAATTTTAAGATTATAATTTTTTCTGGACAAATAAAAGTACACATCAAATTTTGGTAAAAACTGCAAGAAAGTTGACCATCTAAGGATTCCCTCCAAATTTTTTCGCTTCAAAATATGAACAATTTTAGAAATTCGAGCGAGCTAAACACAACAATCGCTTGTTCATTGCGCGGGAACTGCAGTTGAGAATCTCATCAGTATGATTCAATTCCACATGAATACTTCGTATATGTAATAATATTTATTTAGGTTGTAATGTGTAACATTTCGTTTTGGTGAAACGTATATTAATTATTCTTGCGTTTCGGGTTCTTCCGGCAGCTTACATCTGGATATGTGTGTCATGCAGTTTTGAGAGGAAAAGAAAAACATAAGACGCGTGTTACGTAGATGGGCGAACCATGAAGTCATCAAAGAAATAACAAATCAATCATTTAAATTGAAACAATAATTTATAACATCAATGAGGTAAAATGAAATGCAACAACAAATCAAACAATTGACAGTAAACTGATGATTAATACAAATAAAAATGCATCCAAGCCCATCCCACGCCAAAAATTCTATACTTTTATAATATACAGGAATGGTCGCAGGTACATGTATTTTTATATCGTGCGATATATATATATATATACATATATATATATATATATATATATATATATATATATATATATATATATATATATATACACATGTATATATATATATATATATATATATATATACACATGTATATATATATATATATATATATATATATATATATATATATGGTGTTTTTTGTCACTAAGAAATAATTTTTGTTTTTCAGCACCGACTCTTGGGTTTTTATCGTTTTCTTGATTTACGTTACAGATTCACGTATAAATACAACGGCATCATTTGTTGCAAAAAATTTTACTGAAAAACAAACAGAATTTCTCACCCGAGCTACACAACTTAACATAGTTATATATAACACTGCGTCGAAATAAATTTTTTTGCTCTTGTTACCTTTTATATATGGACAATGAAAATGAACGGTATACAATATGCCTTCTTATCGCGCATAGTAAAAAATCAAGTAATTCACATGGTATATAATGTGTATATAACAGTATTCAACGTTCCCTTGTTTACAACGTACATGTGATTTTTTTTTAGTTTGTTAAGTATTGTTAAATGTTCTTATGCTTCACATCACATCCTCACTGTAAATTTACACGAAACTACATCAGCGGAAGGCATATATTGTTTTATCCTTAAATCTCAAGTAATAATGCTCCTTTACTCGTGAATCTTTGTTCTTCTTTTCGATAAAATGAATGGTTTTCCCCCCATCTTAAGACCGACTTTTCTCTGATATGCAGTGCGCGTTTCGTTTCGAGCTCATTTTTATTCTTCGCAAAATCATACCACAAATTCAAATTTATTCACAAGTTCAATTTATTTGTATGAGTCAAGCCTCGTGAAAAGTAAAAGTCATCAAAATATCTTTATTTTCAAACTAATGCTTAAAGATTGAAAGGACAGCTTGAATGATAAACCCGTAAAACTGAACGAAAAATCATTTTTTTCCAGTCTCTAGTTAATCAGCGAAAGTAATGCACATTAATATCTATGCAAATTCTTAATAAAATCAAACGTACAAACGCTATTATCAAGAACTTGTTTTATCCCTGTCAGTAATAACGAAATCACAGACTCGATTATATTATACGCGTGTATTTTTGTTGTTGCTGGTTTTTTTGTTATATGAAAAAAGTTTACGTATGTTACTTCCAAGCTAAAATGAAGTGAAAAGTAAAAAACCTCACATATCGTCGAATTGATGGGGCAATAATTAAATCTTTTATCTGGCAGCTTAAGCAATCATTCACACACATCTGTCAAACTCGCAAAACGCTATTTACAGTTGAGATTATCCTTATCGTTTAGTTTGCTTTATAATGCATCTATGCCCGCGGAAACAAAAACGGAGAATGCTCAGCGTACACGCGGCTCGGTCACGTACTCAAACAATATTAATGATCTGTTTCGTTATCCCTTCTTCTTATGTTAATATAAAACTTTACGTTTGATTCGACGATTCTTCGTCAACCTTGCATTTTGCGCACGAAATTCTCGCACGGCGTGTCAATTTTTTTTCTCTTCCACCGAAATTTCTTTCAAATCCATCCTTATATACAAATATTGTAGCGTCTCGATTTGTCTGTGTGTACGTATCTACACAAAGTTTGTAGCAATTTTTTTGTTTATTACGTAATTTCGTTTTCCTTATATCTTATCCGCATATATAATTTCACTAAATTTATTCTCGACACAATTTCTTTTTCCTAGCTTAGTACAGACTATATGTGTATTATTATTTTATTGTTGTTGTACAAGGTAGAGAAATAGCTCGTTCGAAGATTCATTGTCTTCGTCGATGTCGTTTCGTCGTGTTTTTTTTTTCGTGTAGTGAAAAAATGCACTGAAAAAAAAACAATTGTCTGCAGTTTTGAGCCTTCATTTGTTCTATATCACCGGTACACTTTCGTTAAGAACGTCACGTAAAAGTTCACGTAGACGAAGAATTGATGCCGCCGCCGCTTGTCCGTTGGGTCTTTACCTTCGTCTCACTGAAACAATAGTATTCAGATGATTGTTTAGTCAACCGGATTTATTTTGCTGCTCCAGCGATGATAGGAAATACAATGAGAAATATGGTTAGTGTGTTTATATTCTGTAAAAGCTTGCATAACTCGTATAGTAAGTGAGAGGAACGATAGTGACACACAATCTGAATAACTTACCTTATTCTAAATGTTTACTCATTAGATTTACTTTTACAAGTTCTTACTAGATTCAGTGCCAAGTTCAAGTAAATTCAATCAGATTGAAATAATAATCATGGAAATTCCATTAATTATTTACAAAAGTTAATTTCCAATTTCGTGAAATGCTTTTAATGAACAGACATTATTTCACGCACAACAGTTGTATTAAAAAAAAAGAATTTCAATAATGAATAAGGTCTGGTTGGTAATGGTGCACAAGTGTACTGATTAACTATAAGTGTAAGTGCATCAATGAGATAATGAGTGATACTCAAGCTACTAATACAGTCATGTTAATAAATTGTTAGAACAACACCAAACTCACTTTAATATATTAACACATTTGAATAATCTAATAAAAGATTATAAAATAATTAGTTATTGAAAATCATATTTAGACCAATCGAATATTTTTGTTCCACGAAAACATTATGAATCCAAGATCAGGATATTATATAGACTTTGATGAAGGCTTTGATAAATTTGATGATTTGTCTGACTTGGAAAATCTTTTCGATTCATAAAAGTTTTTCAGGATCAAAACTTTAAGAATTAGTGATAAATTAGTATGAAGAGACAATATTAAATATTAGAATATATAGCATTAACTACAAGGTAAAAACAAAGGATTTCACCGGTTCACACACAGAAAAACATTAGTTTGAACAACAATTTTTCGTCAAGGCAAGAAAAAAATTATGTCAATATTTAAAGATTCCAAGGCTGAATAATTGATTAATTTTGAAGCCTGAATGTAAAATATAAATCATGATGTAAAGAACAAGATCAACTAATCGAGTGATTACTCGGCCAAGAAAAGACAAAAAGAAACAGACGAATAGCATGGATAATAAACTGTTAGATACCGGTATCCGTCCTGTCGTGAAAGCATATATAGGAACATATATATCTTGATCTATTGCTGAGGTTTCAGGGGGATGTGTAATGCTGTCGATTGAGGTTCAAGGTATCGAGTAAGGAATAATTTCAGTAATCTATCTACAATGCGATGCCTTGAAACTCGGTGCATACCTAATCAAACTATCTGGCAGTCTGGCAGGAACATGATCATCGCCGCTCTACCTCTACGGCTACAGTCAAGACAGATAGACTAGTAGCTTCATGATAAACAGGTGTGATGTGCTAGAGGTGTTAAACAGATCTCTTTTCTCTGTTTTGTTTTCAAAACTATTTAGTTTCTTTTTTTGTTCGTTCTCTCACTAAACATTGTTGCTCTCGTGCTTACTGTACTCGTGAAGCTTTTTTCTCTCTTAATCTTACAATTTATTCGAATGTTTATTGTTTTGATTAAATTTTCGATCGACATCGCGTACCTCCCAACGAGCTCAGATCGAATAAAGAGGCAAAAAGGCAGAAGAAGAGCGATTTAGTGCGAATACGTAATCGCCTTAAAATAAGCTTGCACGACTGTGGGCGATAGAGTCGCGTTGAAGCTCATTAATATATCTGAAAGACTCGAGGGAGGCCGCGGAAGATCGACGTGACAAGCCTAGAGAAGGTGCCCCACTGACCAGGGACGTGCTGCCGAATAGCTTGTACCAGCCCTCCACTATTTTACTCAGATTGAGATTGTCCAGCATGATCTGGGCTACGCCCATGAACACTTTTTTGCCCTCTATACGCCCGTAGTCGCCCCACACTGTCACCTGTGTCGAACCGAAAACATTTAATTTTCTTTTCTTTCTTTTGTACTGTTGACGTTGATTAGTTCACACTAACCTGCAGTATGCATCCTTGGAAGTTTTCTCGAAATAATAATTTATGCTGATACAGCGGTTCCAGTGTTTTCCTCGCCGTCATTGTCTTTTGCTTTGCTATGCATCTCTTACCATTCACTAAGTACACTTTTACGTAAGGAGCTTGAACAAAACAAGAAAAAACATTCAGTATCGTTATCAGCTGACAATTGGAAAATCATTGGGCAAGAGTGTACGTACCTGGTATAATTTTTGAGCCTGGTCGCGGCGTAAGATCACGAGCTCTGACCACCTCCACCTCCAGGAATCCTTTGTCGCTTTTCATCGACAGTTGGATGTCGCCGAGCGCCCGGGATCCAAGGGCTTGCCTACCCACCAGCTGGCCGGGCCCGAGGCCCTCGATGAACTCGTTTAGCTGACCGCCTTCGCCCGCCATGCGCAGACTCGGCGACCAACTAATAACAGTTCATTATTTTAATATAATTTATTTTAACATTTGCCTTTGTTTTCATTGGAAAAGCTATACTTCCAACCGTTCTTAATACCAGTTCCTGAGTAATACTTTTCCAAATTGTTTAATAATAGTTAATTTGTTTAGGTCCTGGTGGGAATTCGACAAATTCAAAAGATACATGTTATCATTGAGAGACTTCCAGATCGACTTGGGTAACATTCAAATTACAGAAAATTGCTTTTGCGGAATTACGACCAGGTTAAAACACATAATGATCAAGGAGTAACAGCAATTAAAGTAAAATAGTATAGAAGGAGAGACACAAGCATCGATATTCTCTTGAAAGGGTGATCGAAAGATATAAGCTTGCCGGAATTAAAATTATCAAACGTAGGAAGCCAAGTTATGGTACATTTCCAATGTGACAGACAATGGATATCATTGCGAGGACCAAATCAAAGGGATTTTACTTCAAGGTTGCTTTACTTTGCTTTCTTTTATCAAACTTTCGACGTAAAAACACACGTTCACGTTTTAAAGGAGTGGGGGAGTCGTTTTTTTACACTGAATACTTATAATATGAGTAAGGTGGTATCGATAGTCAAGGCTTGGTCATTAGCGATTCATCAATCTTAGGACAAGAAGAACTGATCTTGTTATAGTTTAGAGTGTAGAAATGTGTGCATGTAAAACTTTCTTATGCTAAGAGTTAGAGTTAGAATTATAGAGAAAGAGATAGTGATAGCGAGGGAGTCGCGAAAATGTTGCACAATGTACGTGACTGCAATCGAGTCAATTTGGAAATTGGATCGAGCAACATTTTCGCGACACGGAATGGACTACACGTACAGAGATTCAAAATACACAACGTTAGATTAAAGTAAAAACAGAAAGGAAGTAGAGCGAGATAAGTCGTTAAGTGTACATCGCGTATTCGGTACTTCTTTCAATTTCCATGCAAAACCGATGCATTCTGCACGCACCTGCTGCCGCCTCTCAATTTTTCGTGCTTTCGACAATACTACTCTAGGGGGCAAACAAGCGTCTCTAATTTACCTCTTTCAATAATCTGCTAACTACGTACAATATTTGCTTCGAGTCTAATCTCAATGTTTAGCAAATTCATAGACACTGCTGTTAGGTTCGTGTCTAGTTGATAAAAAAGAATATTAGTTTTCGAGCATTACTGTAGTTGTAGCTAGGATCGGAAAGCTATTATTACGAGTAAAAAAATTGGAATTTTTATTGATTAGCATACGACAATAAAAATACATACGGAAAGCTAAAGAAACCCTGGGATGGAAAATCAGAAAATCGATACGAGCATAAAAACATGTGACGACGGAAGCAAAGCTATCGCTTATTTCGTATGTTATTATTTCTCTATATGCGCGTCTATATAATAGTTCTCGCGATGGTTTGTTTTGTCATCGATTAAAAAATAAATGGAGATGCAACTAAGTAGTCCTTGCGGCTTTCTATTCCAGGGTTTTAACAATGGCCTTTTTCATGTACTTTAAATTACTAAATCACAGTAAGGATTTTTTTACTCGCTTTAACTTTATCGGCCTATATAACTGATTATGTGTTTGTAAGCACAAAACATCGGTGGTTTGTTGTAAAAAGCTATTTGGTAATTGGATTGCGTAAGATTTACTGTAGAGGGAGGCTTTTTAGCGAAGAGGTGCGTGCCAATATGCAATAAAAATAATTTTTCCATGCTCACTACAAGAAATAAGTCATTCTTAGTCGCAATGAAAGTACTAGGTATAGTAAGAAGCATTAACGTGAAAGTTATTTATCTATTACAATAAGCTTACAAGCATAATAAGCACAGGTGATTGATTAATTAATTTATTTTTATTTCTTTTCAGTTATTTTGCATATGTTAAAAATTTGGTTTTAAGTTTTCTTTATTATTATGTTTACTTAACACGTAGATACTTGTATTGTTTGGAAAGAGCTAAGCTAGAGGCTAGATATTATCTGACTACAGATTCAAACATTTTACTTGACGATTAATTAGATATTTTACAGAAATACCAACGAAAGTATAGATATAAAGATCGCTTACATAACGTAGTAAAGCTCACACGTAGGTACAAGATGTTTTCATCGCTGATACAAAATGATTATCATATTTTGAAACTTTATTTGCAAGGCGACTTGTCTTTAACACACAGAGAGTAGATAGATTTGAGAGATAAAACACCGACAAAAAATCTTGCGATAGAGCAATATAAGTATAGCAAACGGAACAAGAAAAAGAGAACAGTAAAAATCATTTAAAATAAATGTAGTTGTAATGAACATTTGTATCGCAAAAAAAGTTGTCACTGACTATATATATGTAACCATAAAAAACCGTTAGAATCACAATCTGTATGCATATGTATGTCTATATATATATATAAATAGAGATATGAACAAATATTGACATAAGACTCGCAGTAGATAAACGTCTGTGAGAGAGTGAGAAGTGTAGAAGACAGAGAGAAGATTCTGTTAATAGAATGTACAAAAGAGACACAGTGTGTTATAAATATATATAGATATATAGATATATATCACGGCGGTCAGCGTGGTCGTGTGGTGGTGAGTAGCTGACCTACAAGAGACGACGGCTTCGCGTCGTGTAGTGGTGGTGCGACTACTTACGAGCTGCCCTCGGAGCTCGAGATCGAGTTGAGACTGCCGGCTGTGTCGCTGGCTCCACTGCCCGACGGTTGATGCTGTCCGCGAATCGGGCTCGGAGTCACTGTCAGGTGTTGCTGATAGCTCGGCATCACTTCTTGGGATCGTTGAATGCTGCTTGGGGTGCTGTTGCGCTTGCGACCCATGGTCGCGCTCCCGCTTAAACTCATTATGCCGCTGGCCGTCATCATGCCGCTTTCTGTTGTATCGTGTTGTTGTTGTTGTTGTGGTTGTTGTTGTCGAGAGAGAGTTTTATTTTGGTAGCAAACAAAAAGAAAATTCCGACTGACTATTCATAGCTGATGCGTTAGCTCTCGTTCTCTCTCTATCTTTGTTTCTTTCATTCTGCTTACTTAAAGGCATTTTTATGTCTTTCTCAGTCTCTCTTTAGACTCGATTTCATGTTTGGGCTGCATTATTTGCGATTTTTAACGGACGGGACCAAATTATGTTCGTTTATTTTCTTTACTGAAAAATTACTTGTCAGGGGATGGATTCACTTTTGGACACCAGAAGTCTTATTCTCATGTTAAAGAAATTGTTATTGTACTGTCGACTGAATTGATTTTTTTTCTGCTGCTGGTTGCATTGAAGCTGTTACTTAAAATATCAGGCGGCTAGCACTCTATTATTGGCTTTATACATAACTACAGATTTATCATATTATTAAATTTTTACTGTAAATTCTAATAAAAACTACACTAAAGTCTATCAGCTAAATTCAAAAATACAAATCTATTTCCTTATATCGTGCTCTGATTAATATCATCTTTGTGGTAATTTCTAACTTTTTCGATGCTGTAAATAGTAAAATAAAACATTAAAGTGAAGTGCAGATGATATTATTCAACCGAAAAATAAATATGAAAATTCTTTGTTGTAATTTAATAAAAATTAGCATCTCAATTACTACTACTCAAGATATAAGCGAGTAAACACTAGCTGTTCGCTCTCTCACCTGATTTACAAACCAATTCATCACCATCATCAAAACAAAAAAAAAGGATCAGCCTCGATACTACTCGGGCTTCGTATTATAATAATCCAAAACAGAAAATTATATCGATCGCTCGCAAGAGAAGCTTTGAAAAAGCAAAGACTTGACTTGATAGCAGATGATATGTTAGATCTATGAAGAAAAAAAAATACTGTTCACAATCGAGCATTCCTCTTATACAACACTAATGCCAAAGATGACAATCGAGATATGAACATAGACAAATGTGTGTCGATCATGTGATTGTAGATTAAAGTTTTAGGTCAGTTGTTCTTGTTCTTCTTGTCAAAACGGCGAAGGCTCGCGCTCGGTCTAATCATCGCGAGAATATCGAACGCAAAATGTGGCTCCTCTAAACAATTGCTTTTCGAGACACAAGAGGAAGAGACGGACCTGCCGGGGTCGCCGATACTGCTTTCAGGCTCACCGTCACTGCTCGCCGAGCTCGGTTGCCTGCCGCTTCGACCACTCGCCGCGTCCGATTGCGGCTGCTGCTGTTGCTCGGGTAACACTTCTTCGCTTCGGTGCACCGTGAACGACGATTTGCCCTTCTTGCCAAAACCGAGCCGCCTCTTGCGCCCTTCCTCGCCCACGCATGTATTGTCAACAAACACGTTTCCCGGTTAATGCACTTTCGCCGAGAGAGACTAACGAGCGTCTTTTTCTTTCGCTTCGGTATACTCCGCGTTGGTGTCGGCCCCCGTCCGTGTTTTCATTTGTCGCTGAATTTATTTGAATTCTTTGTTTGTTTTTCTGAGCTTTGTATTGTCAGTCGGTATGATTTTGTGTCAGTGTTGGATTGGGCGTCATAATCAGTGAATGGCTAAGATTTTTACTTGTAATATGTATGTGCTAGAGTTTAACTTTAGTTAAACAAGGAACTTCAGAAAGACGACAGAACGGAAGATCTCTATTTTTCATCAGAATAATACTCAAAGAATCACTCATAACAGAGAATCTAAAGTCTTGATAATTATAGGTATAAGATTTCTTACAAAATTCTAAAAGAACATCAACATTTCGAATCTTTCGATACATCTATTAACGAGTTATAATCCTAATTCTTTTCTAAACATAGTAACCATACCAAATTATTCATTTCGAAAGAATCAATAAGTCTCGTTAAAAAAGAGTTTGTCAAACGTCTAAAAAAGACTCGAGAATCATACGTCTATAGCAATGCACCATATAGAAAACCAACTCTATAAGCGTGATGTTATATTGTTAAAAAGTTAAAAACATGAACAAATTATACACGACGCCATAATATATATCTATACTGAAGAGAAGAAGAGTTAACGTGGAAAGTTAAAACTAACGGAAAGTTGATTTACCTATGGCGGAGAGCTGGCTTGTACTGTTGCTCTTTTTTCCCATGCCCGATTGGTATTGTACGGCGCTACCACCGCCACTGCTACTGCCGCTGCCACTTTTACTGCTTGGCGAGCTTTTTCGGGCTCTACGTTCGCTCTCTTCGACGTGCAGACCTACTGCCGTATCGCTTAGACTACCGTCTAAAATCAATTTTTTCAGTATTCATTCAGCGCTGTCCACGAATACAAATACGCACGTTGAAAAAGAAAAGGAATGATACGCCGGGTGTAAGGATTGATAATGCGCCTCCAGTGCGTATAAATCTTTGTCCGAGGACGAAGATTTTTTTCTTGGAGAATTAGAATGGATAGTGGTAGCTTTTATGTATCTCAAGACAAACGCCGAAAAGGCAGTGTAATACTAATTCACGGCCGTTTAGAACATATAAACGAATGTTCGCGGTTGAAAGAGCTAAAAGACCGATGATCTTGAAGAAATTATTGGCAACGAGCCAAGTGTCAAGTACACCGTGGAGGATCGCTTGAAGGACGTTGCAAAAACAAGACGCGCATTATCAATTTAAAAAAGGATGCTAATGAAGTGCTGATTTCGCGTCGCGCCTCGAAAGAGAAAGAAAAAATATAAGGAAAAATAGAAGGAAGAGGGATGAAACGGAAGCCTGTGATTCCGAGCGAGTTGAGTTAATGAAAAATTGCCAACTCACCTGCTTTCTCATCTGTAGGCGCGTCAGCATTACTGAAGCTCCTAGCGAACTGGCCCCTTTTAGCGGCAGCGCTTTCGCGCGACGGCCGATCCGTATCATCGGTATATCTGCTCGGCTTCTCATACGAACTGCTGTGGCTCTGGTAGTCACTGCGTTCGGGCATAGAGGACGAGCGTCGATTATTGGAAGGGTCGTCGTTGTAGTCGTGTTGTTGTCGCGGCGTCAGCGGACGATCCGCAGCGTCGTCCATTATTGAGCGCGATTGGCGGCGCCGTAGGCGGCCGTCGACAACAACATTGTCGTAGTCGCCATCGCGTAGTTGCACGTGGTGGGCGGCCGGTGGCGGATTATCGCGGCGGTCGTGGTGGTCGTGGCGGTAGTGATGGTGGTAGTGATTGTAATGATGGTCGTCGTAAGTGACGGTCCGCGAGGGTTTAGCAGTGTGGTCGGAGGTGGTGGTAGTGGTGGCGGTAGTGGTGGAAGCGGTTTGGGAATCAAACAGATGTGAATTAGCATTACCGGGGCGGGGAGCTCGCTCATAGGGCCTACGTGGGTCGCACGGGCCAAATCCGCAGTTCTCGCTGCACTGGCTCTCGCTCTCCATCGAGTACTCGTAGTACTCGAGGGTATCGCTGATAGCCACGTTCCTCTTCTGCGCCGGTTGCTGCTGTGGCTGCTGTTGCGACTGTTGCCGACTCGAAGGACTAGTTCGAAGGACCGGCCCATCGAGCGCGCGAGCTTCTGAACAGTTACTGTTGCGTGACTGTCGCCCTAGCTGATCTAACTGGTCGTCTTGGTGGTATCTCCAGGCTCGGCGCTCCATTTGCATTATCTCTTCTTGTTCTTCTTCTTGACACGCGGGACACGTCGTTTTTCTTCGACTGCGGTGGCGATACTGGTAAACATCCTCAGGCTCTTGCCGATTGTGCGTATGATAATAGGGCTCGTAGTCATAGTAGAATCTAGATTCGTCTATGCGACTGACGTGCCGACTGTTCCGCTCGACGACCGTTTCGAGGGAGCCGGTCTCCTCGTCGGACTGTAGCACATTCCTGGTGCGTTCCTCGATGTCGTCATAGTAGCGGCTTCGTTGTTCCTCGTAATAACGATCTACGTCTCTACTCTCCGGGCAACTGGTGTTCCTTCGGCGGCTGCCTTTTGCACCGACGTAGTCCCTGTCGAAGCGCAGCTCTTCATCGGAGTAGAGGATCGGCGTGGACTCCGCCCTCGGCAGCATCGTCGCTTGATGCCTGCTTTCAGGCCTGAAGTAAGGCACATTTTCGTAGTGGGGCTCGGTGGCGATCTGCGCCTCGCGACCGATAGCCCTGGCGTGTCGCAGCGACGACGACGAGCGTTCTATGTTGGGATACTCGTCCCCGCCGGCGTATCTAATTGATTGTCTATTGTAGTCGTCGTCGTACTTTCGTTGCACGTAGTCGTAATAGCTATCGTCGTAGTAGCCCTCGTCCACGGCGTTCCAGTTGTCGTAGAGCGCGTGCTCTTGGTAATTGAGGTAGGAATCGTTGCTCTTGGTGCGTCTTCGATGGCCCGCGCGGCTCCTCACGTTGGCGTATGGCTGCTCGCCCGTCCTGTCCAGAGACGACCTGCGCCACCTGGACAGCTCGGCTATCTCGTTGCGGTAGGCTTGTTGATTGACCTCGTCGATGCTGCAGTAAATGTGCTCGTTGACGTCGGGGTCGTAGGCCTCGTTGTCCACACCGATGGCCGACCTGGGCCGTCTCTCTGGCGAGTAGCGGTACTTGCGTTTGCTGCCGCCGGCGTCATCTATGCGGGGATCCAACTCTCTGGGCAGGTAGATTTCTGTCTCGCCACAGCTCAGCTCCGAATCGTAGCCATACATGAGCCTCTGGACCTGCTGGTCCTGGTGGTAGATGTCGAAGTCATTGTCCTCGTCGAGCATCAGCGACTTGAGATCAGCCTGCCGAGACTTGAGTTTCTTCGCCTGCCTGGTAAACTTGGCGTCGCCGTTGGAATCGTAGTAGGACTTGCTCTGGTCCCCGAGCGCCGGCACCTTGTCGCCGTAGCCGTCATCGCTGAGGTCCATGCTCTTCTTGATCTTCTGTCGTGCGGTTTGCAGGCTGTCGTCGCTGAAGATGTTGGCAAACACGTTGTCGCACTCAAAGCTGCGACTTCGGCCCGACAGGCCGAGTAGGCCGTTGCGCGAGCGTCGCGGGGTGGCGGTCTCAGTGCTGCTTGTCGTCGGCGTCATGTAGTCGTCATAGTCGAAGCTGCGCGCCTTGGAGGATAGAAGGGATCTACGCATGCTCGATTGTCGGGTGGTGGGGTAGTAGCAGTCGGAGTGGCGAGGGGTGGTGGCAGTGGACCAGATGCTGAGCCACGGGCTCCTCCGTCTGATCAGGCTGGCGCTGCTCGAAGTGGGTACGCTGGCGGCCAAGGCGGCTCTGCCCGTGTCCGGAAGGGCGGACGCCGCCGCAATGCCGCGCTCGTGCCAGCTGCGCGACCTTCTGTGTGGGCGCCGCACGCCGCGCAAGGTCGCGCCGCCGCTCGGACTCGCAGCGCCAGCGTTCTCGTAGGGCGGCGACGAGCCGGAGGAGGCCAGTCTGATGTCTTGGTAGCGGCGATTCTTGGCGCGGAACTTGTCGATCAGCCGCTTGTTGAAGCGGACGCTCAGGCAGTCTTCCACGTAGATTTCGGGGATACGAGAGCGGGAGCGTGACGAGCGTTTGCCGCTGCCGCCGCCGACCGACGTCGCTGGCATGGTCTCGGGCTTGAGGAGGTAGGCGTCGGTGACGGTGTACTCGTCGGTGTCGGGGCTGTAGTAGCGCAGCACGCTCTCGTCGACGGTGTGGGAGCGCGTGAAGGGGGCGCGCATCCTCTTGCAAAGCGAGCGCACGACTGCGGACTTGCTCCGTACGAGGGGATTGTGGTGCGAGGGAAGAAGATGGTGATTGTGGTGGTGGTTGTGCTTGCTGTTGTACGTGGGGTGATTACTGCTCCTAGGCTTACAGGGCAAGTTACTCGGGCAATGGCATTCACTGCAGGGTACCCTAAGTACTCGGTGCTTGCGCCTAGAGCGCCTAGGGGGCGGGGGCATCGGGGATACGACACCGGGTATATAAACGTTTTTAACTGTCGGTCTGCAAACAATTTTTTTCATTTTTAGACAATACTTATATGTTACAATCAACAAAGCTACAATTCTTAATACTTGTTGCTTACTCATTAACGCAAAGTATGTATATATATATACACATATATATAGATACTCATTCAACAATTATAGTATTGTATACAATTATGTATCATTATCATTATATTTGTCATGTATTGTATATTTTGTATACATAAATATATATCTATATCTATGATCATTACAGTAAATTCCAAAGATCATTACTTAACAATTTTTATTTGTTACTTGTTGGTGATGGTATAAAGTGTGTGACCCGGGATATTTAAATACTTGTTGGAAGGCCCCATTCAGCGATAATAGGCGTCTTAATAGGCGTCGACCAGTGACAATTGGGTCGATCGAACGAATTCATTTAGAATTAAGAACAGTTTAATCATCAAAAGTCAAATAGCAAACACAAAACAAAACAAAACTTGAAGCTGTGCAGTTGCAGTGAGGTTTGTACATAAAAAACGCGCGATTGAAAGAACGCCGTTCAACCGACAACTGAGCACCGAGTCGTGCGAGAATGGGACGATCTTGCGTATCTGTTTTGAATATTGTTGTTTCATCATCGATAAAAAATCGCCATTAAATGGACATTGGCGTTGTGCATAAGGAAGTGCAGCTACGTCATCTATGGAATTCTAAAGATGCTATGAGACCTAGTCATCAAAAAAGAGAAGTTTTCAGGGTGTGGTTGTGGGGCGGGGTCCAGGGGGAGGGGTGATTCAAAGCAGTTCGTAAAGCAGGCAGGGCGTCAATTATGCATAATTATATAACAAACTACGTATCTAAAACTAGGAACACAAGTCAATTCCGCAATGTCCATTTAACTGAAGGATTCTTTCGAAGCAAACTCGAGCTATCAGACTGTCTCCGACTATAAATATCGCTGATTAGAGCGAGAGATCGATAACGGATAACTCTTGGGATGATTTTGGAAAAGTCGGCTAAACCGATCCGAGTCTGAGAGCAGTTTTGGCTTCATTCATTATCATTCACAGATAAAATGAATCAACGCAAGTGGTGAGCGAATATTTATAAAATGGTGATAAACGAATGAATGACAGTGTAGGCGATAGGTATATAGTGAATGAGTGGTGGTGGTGGTGGTGGTAATGGTGGTAGTGGTGATAGTAATAGTGGTGGCTGACTGAATCAGCAGTCTCATACTCACATCATCGATCGGAAGCCCCTTGGCCTCTCGGACTGCGTGCTAAAGGCGCTACTCGTTACCGAAGCAATGCTTTCCATGTCGGAGTCACCAAAGTCGGCGAGCACGTCTTTCTCCGGGCTGATGTGGCCGCGGCGCGACCTGTGCATCCGATGGATGTGGCTGTGCGACAGCGAGTGCGGCTCGTGACCCATCGACGGCAGATCCGAGTCCGATAGTCCACTGTACCTCCTATCCCAACCTTCTGAGCGATACGCTATAAATCGTTCGATTTCCCACTGAGCTATGGACTGCCGTTTAAAGCAACACTTGGCGACGATTTCGGATCGATATCGACTCTACAGCTTACCCCCTATACTACCCCTGTAGATACTATGCAACGGCCGATGCCGATGCCTCAGATACCTTGCCCTTTCCTCGAAGTCCTGAGCCACTCGTTCTTTGAGAGTAGCATTCAGGGTGGCTGGTATCTGCGGCAGCTGACGCTTTTTTGGCGAACCCGTTGGCGTCGCCGTTGCGGATCTCGATGCGAATCTGTGCAAACAAATACAAGCGAGCAAAGCATTAGCCTTTCACTCTCTCGAGTCTCGGTGGACAGCGATTAGTCATACCTCGCGGATATGTAGCCGGGCGAGTAGGGCATACCCCGATGATCCGGGGGCGACAGCGAACGATGACCCGTGGGACTTTGCGACCGGCCACGGTAATGTAGCATTGGTGAGTCCATCGGTGCAGCGCTGTGGGATCTGTGGCTCAGCATTGCACCTCTGTGTGGTTCCTCCTGCAAAAGTTGTCCATCCCCGGTCTTCGTTAATCATATTGCGCCTCCGTGCGCTCGTTTATTTTAATTGCCGTAGTTGAGTAACAGTTAACTGCATCGTGGTGCTTGCGAAATGCGCGCGCGTGTGTATGTGTGTGTGTGTGTATAGGTGTGTGTCGAAGTATTTAAGATTTTCGAACACGCTTTGCCTCGCATTGAGCATTTGATTATTTCGCGCTTACCCTTCCTCGCAAATAATAAACAACGTATAGCCAACGAATGTGGTGAATGAAAAAACAAATTTTCGAAACCGTTATTCGTCAAAAAAATCACGCCACGTGCAGGTAAGAAGGAACAAATATCATCGAGTAAACCTAAGTCGCTGCCGCTATTAATGATTGTTTAAAGAAGCACAATGGATTGTACATACGGAATAATATCGGAAATTGACCTTTCGGTAATGTTGGTATCCGGAAATGGAGGCCGGTTGTTCGCGCAAGCCCATAAGAGCGGCGCGTTTGCGCCCTTGTGGCGACATATCCCTGCGGCTCCGATGCTCACCGTCGACGCATAGCTCCTTCTCCGGCGGCGGGCTGGAATAGTGGCTGCTCTCCAGCAATTGTCAGATACACACACAGACAAAGAGAGAGAGAGAGAGACAGAAACAGAGACAGAGAGCCGCGAAGAGAGAGAGAGAGAGAGAGAGAGAGAGAGAGAGAGAGAGAGAGAAACACATTTATAGGCGCGATTTAGTGCATGTGTACATAATGTGGATAGATGGTGGGTGGTCTAGAGGAAGGAGGAAAGGCAGAACTTGCATTTATATGTACGTACATGTGACGGGATGGAGGGTTGAGATGCACTGAGCACGCATGTGTGTGTTTTCACGCAGACTGAGAGCTTGATTATGTCAAGCTACACTAGTTATCGCGTGTTTCGGCAGCTCTCCGTGCAGTGCGGATGTGATAATTGAAGTGGTTGATTTTTATAAATGCACGTGTGCACACACACCCACACGCGCGCGCGCGCACACACACACACACACACACGCACTAGCGAGCTCAGTGATGTATTTATCACGGCTGGATACATGAAAATGCTCTAGCAAAAATTTTATGCGTCAGCCGGTTATTCTTTTTCCTCGTCAATGCGGCAACTTTTCTCTTTATCATTGCCGACGATGCCGAAAGCGCACAAGAAATCATCGCCAGCTGGAAAACGTGCGCGCGTGCGTCGATGTGCCTCCGTACATACCAGTTATATATACGCAGCGAACACATATGCGACGTGCATAAATGCGGGTCTATAGGTCACAAGCTCATCTAAGAAGCCATGTCTCTCTTGCACGCGCGCAATATTCTAGCCTAAGTATTGCAATTGATGTAATGCATGTTAAGCAATATGACATAATCAATCCTCGCGCCAGAAGTTTTGCTATAATTACGTTTTTACGCTCAAAAACATTCACCGCTAGGGATTATGACAAATGACTCGTATTCGCAGATCGGAACTGCACTGATACTTTGTTTTTCTCTTTCAGATTAACGATTATTTTTACACGTACGTCCATTTGTTGTAAGGCAGTCATTCAGGGCTGCCGTGTTGTTGCGCGTGAGTGTGTATATTTATTTATTTAATTTTTTTTTATTTCACCGTTCGTGCTAGGGTTTTCTAAAATAATATCTAATGGAAAACAAGAAAGAACAATGTCAACATATACATGAATACGTGGCTTATGAGAGAAAAATTATAGATAGTTGAGTGATCGTACCGCTTATAATTTGGCGGCATATTATGAAACCTAAAAAGTAAACGAACAAATTACCAAATTAAAAAGTAAAATCAAACCGATGCTCTACGTTTGCTTTGGTCACTACGGTTTGCAGCTCGAAATTTCATGTCAGTCTGCCGACAAAAGGGTATGTTTCTACTCAATTTCAAAATTCATTATATGCTAACGAAGTTCTGCTTTTGCACAGAAAAAAAATATTATTGCTAATATGTCGACTAATGGCAGTGCATTAAATAGTATGTCCGACCACATCGCGTTCTTATCCGCAGATTAAATAAACCGTCAAGTATCACGAAATAATTTTCGATAATGCCTGCTCTATTAAACATGTTTGTTGGTATGAAAACACGATGAAGTGGAAGTATGAAATGTAGAGAAGTATGAATCATTAAATCGAGAAGAAAAAACACATTAGCACAATATTTGTGAAGAGAACTGCGAAAACAGCGACAAAAGTACAGTAAAGAGAGAGAGAGAGAGAGAGAGAGAGAGAGAGAGAGAGAGAGAGAGAGAGAGTCACGAACGAAACACGCGACAAAAAGCGAGTCACACGATACAGACTCGTCTGAGCTCTTAGTATACGGGTGACTATCGGTCGCACGAGATGGATTTATCACTGCTAGCGAAACCCACTTGGAGTTATCCCATTAGTGCCATATTGAACGTTTTATTGAATATGTGTGACGGCAGCACTTGCTCGCGCGCGGGGTCTCTTGAGTTAGGTTAGATACGCTTGCCGCATCGCGCAAAATGCAGTCATTAGTTTTCTACGCGTAAGCTTGCCTGCACGCTTAGGACTTTATTGATGAGCTCGTCCATAGGCGAATCACGATTTGGCGCGGAGCCGCGTATGCAAAATCGCCCGTTGATCTTACTGCGTTATACACTTTTTGGATGCCCTACTCGTTTTTCTCTCGCGCGCGGTCACAAGCCAAATGGCCAACAGAGCTCGAGAATCGATGGGTGTTTTTTTTATTTTTCTTCGTCCATCGGCATTGCGGGGAACGGTGAGATATCGGCGATGCTTCGGATGATGAACGAGGCGGACGATGGCTGATTTCTTGAAGAGCTGCGGAACAAATCGAATTTGCATTTTCGTAACTCGATTTGCCGCGCGCGCGCTGCCCTCGCGCACTCAAGCCAACTACGCTTACGGCGGTACGGATTGTTTTTTCTTCCTTTTCGAATTTCTCGATCGAAACTCGCTGCTTTCTATGTAACTGGTGCAGCACACACGCACATACACGCGCACACATGCAGAGCCTCGAGTAATTGTCGCTGGAAGGGAAAGAATAGCAACGCTGACACTCACGAGTCCAGCAACATTGTTGATTATTTCTCATTCAGCTACGTGAAAAGACACTGCCACAACGTTTGTGCATAGTTGAACAGGTTGACGAACAAGTAACTCAGGCGACAGACTGCTTTTGAGCCGGGACTCGGAGTACCAACACTTCAACCGGCACATCGCGTCGCCGACTAGCCCGCGAACTTGTTGGTATTTGCAGTTGCGAGCGGAATCGGTGCGACGTATTAATCTGGCGATTAGGAACAACAGCAGCGGAGGCAACGCCGCAACAATGTCGTCGTCGTCATCGAATTAGAGAAAGAGTCGCGTGCAGACTGTGCGACGGTCACAACCCAACTGCTATGTCAATTGGCTTGTTGCCCAGTTTTATAACTTGGCTCACTCGCGCGCGGTCTCTCCTACTTCACTGCTCCCTTCTCTCAATCCCTTCTTCCTCGGGTAGTTTGCTTTTACGTAGTGCGAGCTTACGTCAGAATGGCAATGTTGTTAAGAAAGAAAAAGAAAGAGACAGTGAGAGAAGGCGACCTCACGCTACTGCTGCTGCTGCCGCCAATGCTGTTGTCGCGATCTCGAACAGCAAAGTCTGTTACGAACCGAGGGCTCGTGCAGGGACAACGACAACGACGTCGACGACGATTTCGTAATCAGTCGACATCGTCTGGCGCCAAACGGATAATTAGATTCCCAGAATTGAGCTGTTTTTCGTTGCTACATTTTTTTCTCCGGCTCTTTTATTTCCGTTAGTCGATTACGTCATGCGCCCCAAACCAAGAGTAAACGCAGCAATAGAATATTACCGAATACGCCTGACCAAACTCGTAGTTATTTATTTGTCCATAGAGAGAGAGAGAGAGAGAGGGGGGGAGAGAGATGTTGACGTTGAAAGGTAGTGCAATAAATTAACATAAATCTAAGCAAGTATTTCTTAGTCTTTTAACTGACAACCTTAACGAGCGACGTCACCAACTCGCGCGAAGACTTTAACGAGTCGAAAGCGTACACTCAGCGGCCGATTCCATAATGAGTTTTCGGGCGACGAACGAACGCCGGGTCTCGTTTAATTTCACAGACTGCATAATTGTCGGGGGTGGGTGGGTATAGGACAGCGTAGACAGTTGAAAAACAAAAAAGAAAACACGAAACTTTCACTTCTTGGCACAAGTCACGAGGTCTATAAATAATTCAATCAATTCCGCGGCAAATCTCATTTTTCCAGCCAGTTACGTAAGTCTTTCGTTTCGTTTCTCCACGATTCGACGATTTTCAACGTGGTCCGTGACTACGAATTAGCACGACTATTCGATTATGAGCTTTTACCGCTGGAAAATCGGATCAAAATCTCAAACCGATAGATTTATCGCTTTAGCTTCGGAGATTTTGCACGTCGAAGAAAAGGGTTGGTTTATAAAATTTTCTGCACAAAAGAAAGCTTGACAATTTCCAGCAGTTAGCTAGAAAACATTTTCGCGAGTACAAAATGGAGACGCTTATATTAGTAGAAACATACCCGTGGATCAAAACAATTTTGTATCCGAGTCAAAATAATAGTTAAATATGCAAAAATATCTCTTGGTCTTATCTCCGAATCTTGGACTTTTATTAACGCGCTGAATTGTCACAATTATCAACAGAAACAAGTGCATAAAACATTCAGCCAATATAGAATAAATTGTAGAAACAAAGAAATATTGTTACAGATTTTTGCGTGTTTATTTATGTATTCGATTATAATTAGTCCTAACATCAAAAGCCAATTGGGGATAATTATATATATATATACGAAAATTGAGTGGAAGAAGAAAAGAAAGTGAGATGAGTCGCTCACCTGGAGGAGCTACCGATACTACTAATACTCGCGCCGTCAGCAGTTCTGCGATGCTCTCTCGAGCCGTCGCAGTCGGTAATGTCGCACTCCGAGGTATCGGAATCGCTCAGTCTCGAGGTGGTAGACGGCGGGCTGAGATGGCAATCGCCCGGCGTCGTCACATCGTCCGACGGATCCTGGTAGTATCTGTTATAAGGGGTCAACAATGCATTACACAGACTACATCAGCGATTTTCATATCTCGGCGTGCACTCAACCTACTATTGCTACTACTACTGCCATGTGAGAGTAAGAGACAAAATTTTGCCAGACGCTTACCCAGCTTGGCGATGCTCCTCATGGGCCATGAGATAGTGCCACTCGGGTTCGTCATTCAACGACAAGGCAGTCAAATTGACAAGTACCTCGCCAAGGAAGTCGTTGGTACCGTAACGCCCGTAATCCCAGATTGTGATCTCAAGCGAACGTTGTCTCAAATCGGACCATCTTACACCGCCATACACAAAAGTTTGGTCCCATCGTGGATCGTTCGTGTTGGCCAGTGTCTTCGTTCGTCTCTTCGAATTTTCGCTGAAAGCGTAAATAAAGTCATATGTGATAATCGCTGGCCAAATACTTATCGTACTACTTGTATCGCAAGATTTTGACGCTGCATTCTTTTACCTGTGATTGGTCCGATATTATTTAATCAGCATAGTTAGATAAGTTTCATAATTATAAGATAGTTCCATGATAATCACCTTTTATCAGGAAGCAAATACATTTTGGCATAGGAACTTCTAGACTGGCCATTGGGCCGGGGTATCAGGCCAGAAGCACACACGAGCGTCACCACGAGTTGATGACTCGACGCATCGAAGCTCAGCTTCAGCTGGAGTCTACCACCCACACTGTTCGTGCTACCCGTTGCTGGATGACGGAACTGGCGACTGCACGCGCGACCTTTGCTGTACAGGTCCGACGATCCTGGTGATGTCACTAGCACCGATGGCTTTGTGCCCCGTGCATCGTACAGTTCTATTTGTTTGGAAGATTGGGAAGAAAAAACGAAAACAAATATTTCTACATTAATTTGATTGATTTTTGTTTGGATTAGTAACTTTTATCACGGAAAATAATTGTTATAATGTAAACTGTTTTACCGATGAATGGTATTGCTATGATTCAAAAATTATTCTTTGACAATTTACAATTTTCTTTCTAATTTTAAATCAGCAATACCATGTAGCGATAATCTAACTTTTATTACATGAATTAGGTTTACATACACATTGGATGTGCTGCTTTTATTTGCAGAATGATATTATTTTCCGCGCACATAAAAACGCAATACTGGAAGGACAAAGCAAACAGACAGATAGCTCAGGAATCATTGTTGAAAACAATATTCTTACTATGATTATTAATCAGTTTAATAATTGACGCACTGTAACTGTTTATCGATTGAAGGGTAGCGATCACTTAAATTTTAGGACTTCGGCATCACATATAGAAATATATTCCATCTTCTGTTTTTCTCAAACAATCGCTTCACCACTTTGACATACCAAAACTAATTGTATATATTATCATGATAAGACAAAACTTATTACAAGACAGAAATATCGTGAATTATATACTTTGGTTGTTGCTCCCATAAAAATACAAACTATTTTTTATTATATATGAAGGTGTATGAACAACTTGGGGTGCATTGGCGCTACTTTCTACGTTCATTTCTACATTTTTATCATGGTTTTCAAATGTCTATGGTCATATACGAAGTTATAATGGAAATATATACTCAACACCAATAATCAATAAAATGCCAAGCTTTAAAAAACGATAGGTACATATATAATTTACACATTTAATTTTGAAAATACTTAAAATCAGGGTCATACATCAATTCATAACATAATCGTATATTTTGAATTATTTTTAAACATTCTAATTGGTGAATATACAGTATGTATTGTGTCTCATTAGCCTCTCAAGTATTATGTACACTAAAATATGGACATGGAGACATGAAAAACAAGTATGTAAACGTTAAATGGATGTGATGAAGTACATTAAATTCAAGTCAATGGAATAACGATATATATGAAACAATTTCAATAAATAATTTTAAATTTAAAAGAGTGTGCTTACTCCAAAGTATACATTTGCTAAGTCCTGAAATGCCAAAGATCATATACTGTAATAATTTAGCAGTCCTCTTAAACAAGCTATAAGATTCATTTATTCTTACAAGATATAACTAGGACGCACAGTTTTACTAAACTCAACTCTACTTCTAAATTTCTTATCTATGTATTTAGACCACTGAACTATGGTTTTCAACTCAACTTAATTCGTGCACTGTACAATCAATCAGTTAAATTATACAAATGATTGATTGAACGTTGACTATAGCTAATGATAATTGAAGATATAATCAGTGTCATTTTCAAACTATTTAACGTAATAAATAGTAAACAGTGACAGAATATTGTGATAAAAATAAAAACAGAAATTCAGCTCACACTCATTAAACGATGATCAATATCAGATCGAACGATTTATAAATTTAAGTGATGAAAATAAATAGAAAGGAAAAGAAAAATAAAAAGATGACATGATAGACTATTCACCTTTATGGTATGGTAGGCTGGGTAAAGTAGCATCGTGCTTTTGGCGCCACTGCGCTTGAGCGTTGAAGCGTCTAGATGTCATAGGGGTGAGTGCCGGGCTACCGGGTGATGGTTGGGTAGGACCGGTCATCGACTTAGGGGGTGCATTTGCGGCATTAAGATGGCGCGCGACGACAAGCTCAACCTGCGGCTCTGAGCGCGACATCGCGATTATGTCGCTCACGTCCTGGAAGCTCTTGCCCTGCAGCGAGTGTCCGTTCCACTGCAGCACCTCGTCGCCTACATGTGCGCGCGAGATTATAACTAGTTGTTTCTGGGTGAGCTTGCACAAGACTAATCTACCTTACCGATGGTACTTTCATCGATATTCGAATAGCTGACCATCGGTAAAATAGATTATCGGTAATTTATAAGATGTGTGATAATGCAAATGTTATTGCTTGGTTCTTTTTTGATGAATTAATGCATGTCTGATGTATTTGCCATGTTAAACAATGCAATAAACGGGGATTTATGAATGGATCAGGTAATGAAATCATGATCGTTAATTTGCTAAGTGATAATAGTTTTAAGAAGGGAGAGTATTTTATTCTCCAGTTTTATATGAATTAATGAGCGACATGCTTACGATCTAAATCAATAATATTTGATTATTTAATGTTTAACTTTTTTTAAACAGGTGCAAAAAATCTGACGATGTATTTCACTCAAAAGTAAAAGAATATAAATGGATGACGGAGGCCGCTCACCAGTCCTAAGTTGTCCCTCGACGTCGGCCGGACTGCCCTTTTTCACTTTCTCAATAAGTGCACCCATGGTGCCATCTTCGAGTAGTTTACCACCAATAACCTTGAGGCCGAGTATGCTGCTGCTGCTCAGTGTACCTTGTGATGATTTGCGCAGGACCATTTTGCCGATAAGCTTCGTACCATCGTTGCTCACCTGCCAGGGCGATGGGTGCTAATTCGCCGCATAACAAGTCCCATACTTTGGTACGCAGCCTTTACTTACTTATGAGATGATCTACTGATTCGTTAGTGCTAGATTTTCATGATATTCATCATTATAAGCTTGTCAGAGATAGATAGGAAAGCTCATTGATGTGATTAGCGATAAAAATTCAAAAAGTTATAATTTTCGTTTCCGAATTGTGAATTCAAGAAAATTAACATCGAAACACTACGATGAAAATGTATAATTTAGTTGTCATCTAGCATTAACGAAATCTATCTATGAAACACAATATATGAGAATGAAGCACAAATGACGCTTGATTAGGATTCAGCAATGAGGATGACAAGCGAGAGGATGTGCACACGTATGTATAGAATGGGAACGTATATACGTATTTATGCCGAACATGCGAGGAACTCTAAAAACTTGCTCTGAGCAGTTTCGACATTAATTAGCCGTCATTCCTGGGCATGTACACATATGTAAGATGCACTGCAGCCACGCGCGCCGGCGCGCAAACACAGAGACCAAAAGCACACGCACTGTACAAACGTATATATAGAGAGTGGATTGTATGCGTGTATATATATAGTAACGTGTACATCGAAAAAAACTGTAGCCACATAGATACACACACGAATGTGTGGTGTGTGTGTGTGTGTGTGTGTGTGTCATACACACATTTGCTGCAGATTGAGCATCATGCAAGATATCAATAGTAGAGTAATAATAATAATAATGATATCGCACAGATTAATCGAAATACAGGTATATAAGATCGCGCGACAGACATGTATACATAAAGCGTGAATCATAAAAATATGGCTTTGTCGCAAAATATAGCGCTCATTGATATATAATAACCGCTGTGTTTTGTATGGATATAAGTATTTATACGGGTTTTGCTATGTGAAGAACAGTCGAAATCGTTAGGTCTGACGTTGTATAGTGAATCTACCTAGGGAACGGAGCGCATCATTACTTATGAATGAGAATCCCCAGTGTGTACGTAACGGCCTATTTACAATTTTCATGAAACTCGGTTCGTTATCCCAATCTAGCATTCGCTCGAAATCAAGAGAAAAGTGAAAAAAGTGAAATGCGAGCAAGGAATGAAAAAAAGAAGCGATCTGCTCGTCTTGCTTGGAATAATCGCAGAGAAAAAGAAAGAAGCCATGTTCACCCAACGCATGCTGGACTAACCACGCACACTTGAGCGCGATTTAGTCGAACACGCAATTGAGCCCTTCAACTGAAATGAAAGAAAACGAAAAAGAGACAGAGCAGTTCCTAGCGCATCTACTTGACCAAAAATCAATGACATAAAGCTCTCTAAGTCTGAGCTCTACTGAAAGAAATGGCGGAAGTAAAGAGAAGGAACAAGAGTGAAAAAAATAAAAGAGACAGAGACAGAGAGAGAGAGAGAGAGAGAGAGAGAGAGAGAGAGAGAGAGAGAGAGAGAGAGAGGTGAGCGAGGGAGGCTACCTTGGGGAGGTCGCCTCTGTTGCTGTCCTCGCTGCTAGTGAAGGTGCTTGAGGTCTCGATGCCAGAGTCTTTGGTCGCGCTGTCCTGGCTACCCTGCCGGTCCGCTTCCCACGACCACTCCTCAGTCGAGTCATTGGTACCGCCATGAAAGCGCACCGTCTTTTTCCCCCTTCGCTCCGTGACCCTTTTTTTTCCAATTTTTGAATTGACCGTCGTGCAATGCAATGACTTTTTTTCTTTGCTTTTGACATGCGAATCGACACGAACCTCCTACTATCGGCTTCTCCGCTACGACGAAAACTTTTCCTGGCAGAGTTACTATCCGTTAGGTGGCCGTTATATTCGATCATCGTGCCCGGATCATGACCGTGCTGCTTGTAAATTTGTGAACCGTGCTGGTAGTACCCCTTTCCTATAGTAGATCCAAATAGTTTCTACTTATATTAACTATCAACCATTTTTTTCGAGATAATTACAGTTTATTTCGTATTTAGTTCACCGTTTTCTGTACATATGTGGCTTTCTTTCGAAAAATTACTTTTATCGCATCCTACAATTAAAATGATGATTCGCAACCGTTTCCCATATATGAAATTCACGCATTCTAAAAAGATAAGCGTGTCAAAAAAATTGTCAGATTCCAGCGGAACCAAGTGTCCTCTACAAATGGAGTTACACTTGTATATAATAGAGTTTGCAAAGTGAGGCGAGCGATGAGAGACACGAAGGAAATAAAGGCCAATTAACCGACACATCAATACGAGGGAGTAAGAGAGGGAGTAAGAGACGTAGTTGGGCAGCGATATTGTGCGCAGCGAAGCAGCAGTTTGCTCGATCGACGGAGCGATCATTGCTCTCTCCTACGTCTCGTGGCTCGCACTGTCATGTGTGTTGGCGTTTCGCGTGTAGGTGTGCTCGCGCCACCCTTCCCGCGGAGCGAAGGAGTGTCAGCGGGTGGCACGCTGGTTGGTCGTTGCTGCTGCTGCAGTTGTTCCAAACTCGACTCCCGTATGTCCGTAGTCTGCATCGTGTTTCCCTGTTTTTCATGCTGCGAGACACGGAACGTCGTCCCTTCCGACAGCCTGCTTTCTTTCCCCTCGCGTCGTTATTATAATTCGGATGACTTTTTTGTGCACCGAGGCACTCGTACTCGCCGCTTTATTAGCAGTACCGAAACGAAACTTTCCCAAGAGCGTTGGCATTAATTTATACTTTTGCTTCGTCAAGTTTCTCTCCGTGAATGGGAAATTTGTTTGCTACTGCAGTCAGAAGTGACTTCTTCCGTTCGATTTCGAGCGTGTTAACAGTTTTCTGAAATGTGATTGATGGTTACTGTAAATATTCGTACGTTTTCATGATTGTTTCATGTATGGTGTATGCGAGTTAAAGTATCTTTCGCTTGATCATGCAAGCTCTAAATATCGCTTCTTTCTTTCAAACGTTTAATAATGGTAGTAAATGTTTGATAGGAGTAGATTATGTTTAAACGAAAACAGTGTACAGCGTTGCAAAGTGGTAAAGTGTTGAAAGACTGGTACGAACGTATGGAGGATATAAACGGAGAAACGTGGAAGTCAAACAATGCTATGGCGATAATAGAACAGATCATTTCCATCAGCCGCAAAGCCAGCCCCTCAACATCAACAATCCCGCTCGACAATATTTGAACATCGAACACGCAGTCTCTCTTTCGGCGATCCTTGCGTCGTTCGATGTACGTTTTGCGTGCGCTTGTCCGCGCGAATGTCGAACGAGAAAAAGAAGACAGGCAAAGACTCTCGAGCTCAATACAAAAGAGAATACGAAAATAACATTAAATTCAATTTCGTGCGTATCAAGCAGCATGAGACGCGAATGACAACGAGAATACTCATCGCGCGATCGTCGAATTTCCGCTAATCGCTGGAGCGCCGAACACATGTGCGGCCTATCGATCGGCGCCAGCGCTCAGCCTACACGTACATGCGCGCGTGCGTGCGCGCACACACACAGCTCTCTGCTCGCAAAGTCGAATATAACGAGAAAAAAGCGAGAGAGCGCCGACGAAACTTTCTTTATATTGGCCTGTGGCGCCCTAGCACGTGCCACCCCTTACACTGCTTTGTAAGTATCTTCTTATCCAAATGTCCTTGTTTTACGAAAGAGCACTTTTTTAAACTTGTTTTCAGCGCTTATTGGGGAGAACTGCCGGGCTTTATGCATCGAAATTCAAAGAATTAATTAATTTAAAAACGAGATTTCCATCAACGCGATCTGCTTTTAGTGAAAATAACTCCAATGACTTTGGCATACTAAAATTTAAAGAAACTTCGAGGATATAATATCATTAGTTTTGGAATAACTAAAAAAGACAAGCAGATTTTTTCACTCTTAATGATGAAATGCCGGTACTATACCTGTTTTGGTATTATCGAAAAAAAAATTTGAAGGAGTGTGGTTCTTTTACGCAAACGAACAATGACAACTATTAGAAAGCCAATTTACACAAGTACGCGAAAAAGAATATCTTTCAGAATGCTTCTGGCAACTTGACTTTTGGATAACTATTCAGTGTACGTATAATATATCATCATGAAAAATTGGCACGCGCGTACCGAGAGCTAGTATCCTGCTCTCGACAATAAAAAAATCGTGAAAATTGTAGCGTTTTTATGGAAAAGTTCCGTTCGACAATCGGCGGTTAAAAAAATTGTGTGTACGCGTCAACGAACAAAGAGAGGGAGAGAAAGAATGAAAAAAACACTCATGCACACGCTGTGTACACACACGTATACTTGACATACATGTTTTTACGCTCCCATATTAATGATGACTCATTACTCGTAATTTCTCTCATAAATGTAATCTAAATATATTTGCACTATTTCGAATGCTCACTTTAGTAGGTAAAAAAGCGTCTGAGAATTCTTAGGAACAATGAGTCACCTTGTCAATTTTAAAAATATAAAGAGAAAAAAAGAAATGATTAACATGTGATAAGTATATATCGATCGTCTCATGTTACAAAGATAATATGCATGTAGAAGGATACACGGAAAAATTACGAGACTTTGCATAGTAAGAGAGCAAGAGAAAGAGAGAGAGAGTAAGTGACAAAGATAGATAGAGAGAGAGAGAGAGAGAGAGAGAGAGGGAGAGAGAGAGAGAGAGTGAGATAGATTGAAGTGACGAGTACCGCGAAGAACATCTTGATCCTCTCGTTGGACATGGCACGACGAGTCATTTTCTCTCCTGTCGTGTCCCTTGATTTTTCCGCTAGAACCCAATTACTAATCAGCTTACATTGTCAATTAAAAAATTTTGTAGTATTTTTCGCAAAGTCCAAGTCATCCCCTTCCCATGTGTGTGCGTGCGTGTGTGTCAGTAGATTCACAAAAAATAACAACAACACAGTATCCTTATGCAATAAATCAGGCTGTCTCTCGCGGGCGCGCGTGGCAGTAGAATGTGACGTAGTAGTATAGGGAGGGGGGGGGGGGAGAAATGAACCGCGTGGCGACGTAAATTTGAATCCTGCTCTCGCAGCACGAGCTATTTGACTAGCGAATGAGGGGGGGGGGGGGCAGAGGATTCAAATAATTAACGAACCAGACGCATTCCGGGACTGTATATTCTCTAATACTTCAGACTCAAGCTATACTCTTGGGTTATAGATATTAATGTAATCTGAACTTCGTTTCTCAACGTATAATTATATCTATGTGCGTTACTCAACTGGGTCACGCATGTATAAATAGCAATCATATAATATGTCAATGGTAAACCTTGTCGTAATAATAACGCTCGCGTCGCGCCGTTGATTCTGCAAGATTCCTGTTGAAAAATGCTGAAAATAAAAACAGGAAGAGAACAACAACGCAGGGCCACATAAATTGCAATTGATTGTTTGTGTTTTTAGTCGTTGTTGTGTGTCAACCAATTAGTCGCGTGATAAATCACGTTGTTAAGGATACAACGTAATATGGCGCGTTGTTGAAAGAGAGACATATAGTAAGAAAGAGAGAGAGAGAGAGGCTGTAAGTAGGTATATGTTTTGTATATAGGGCACGGCAGCGGCAGTACCGTATTAATGGACTTACCTCGGCAACTTGGGTCACGGGATGCATATGCAAACTAAACTTTCTAGTCTAATTATAATATTGTGCATCTACCAATGGGAGCAACAACTTTGGAAACCACCGACACAAACTATATTGTATGCGGTATATAATACTTTCACATCGTTTTGTCGCACAGTCAATTTTTGTTTTGCTCATTTTCGACTTTGTGTGCACCTTTTGTCCGACCAAGTTATAACTTGGATTTCTCATGTTGGTATAATTTTTTAAGATGCAACAAAAAAGATCTTGGTACTGGCTTGAGTTATATAATTTTTTTTTTGTTTGTTTCTCTTACTCGATTGTTTTTGTTCATCCGCTGTAGATATGTTCTCTGTCATACTGTTTTGTTACTACTTTCATTTTATTTTTTGGTGTCCTGAATTCAAACAATTCTAACACTATATCTGAGGAGTGTGCAATTAGACCTAATTCAAGTATCTCATTTTTATCTGGCCTTGTATGGAAATGAAATTACGTATTGTCGAGCGAATTCGGTTAACGACAATGTATTCCCGTAATAATATTCCCGAAGTAAATTTAACGACATTAGCGAATTAAAAAAATAAAGAAGCTGGCAGAAAATCCTTTCAATGGTGAGTTCGGTCTGTGGGCTTCTGGGCACAAAAAAAGTAAAATCCAATGTATGCAGCCGCTTATCGCGTTCTATGTCAGAGAGAAAAAGAGAGAGAGAGAGAGAGAGAGAGAGAGAGAGAGAGAGAGAAAACTGAAGAATTAAGGATGTATTAAGTAGAAAAAAAATGTATTTGCTAAATGTATTCGATAAAATACCGTGAAACTTGATAAATTAAAAAAAAGCGATAAACAGAAAAAAGCTGAACCGAAAGACAGGTATGAATCACAGTCTCGTAGTAGGTATTCGTGGGCGGGAAGGAGCGCCCGAGTGTACGCGCGAGGGTTATGTGTATGCGCGCGCGGCGAGAGTTTCATTCAACTGTCGTAGCGGCGGAGGGGGGCGATTGTGGATCCCGGGCGTTCGGCATGAAATCCGTATAACGTTCCAGGGCTGTTTGAGTTCGCCCACGTGCCCGGGCATCTCCCGCGATGACGTCACCGGTCGAATGCGTAGGCCGGAGAGTGAGGACGGCCGACTGACTGACTGAGCACGGGCGCACGTGAGCTCTCCAGCTGCTGTGTAATGCGAGCGTACACGGCGCGTTCGGATGAATTTTATTCGTTGACGGTGACCGACTCGAGATCGTAGTGAGGCAAGTTGTTACATGCGCGTTATCGACGATACGTAATTGAAGCCACTCGCTGTGGCTTTTTTGCCCTTTTCGTTCTAAGAGCAGTTTCATGGACAACGTAGACTTTGCTTCCAGATGAGCTTTCGGCATCCGAATTATTATTACGGACATATAAATCTTGTTAAAAAAAACAACCGCGAAAAACCCCGTCGATCCTCTTAACAAGCATAAGAATAAAAAGCAGCTCACACGGGCCGCTGAATGAACTTTTTTTTTTCGCAGACGCTATGTAGGGAGAGCGGCGTTCCACTATAGAGTGAAAGAGAGAGAAAGAAAAAAAGAAGAAAAGGAGAGAGAGAGAGAGAGAGAGAGAGAGAGAGAGAGAGAGCGGCGTTCACAAATCTCATTTCAAAAGAAACCCTTTGCGAAAGAGAGGCAAGATTGCGCAAAGCTCGCGCGCGAATACAATAGCGACTGGGTAAAGTTTGCGTAATAGTCGCGGCACGGGGGAGGGTGGAGCGGCTGATACAAGCGCTTGTCTGCCCATGTAGAATCGATGAAAGCATCACAGCTAGCCTCCCATCACAACGAACCTCCGGCGCTTGTCTCGCGACTGATCATTCGCGCGACGTTCGTTGTCCTCGCGTTAAAGCCGCACTACGCGATCGCGGGAGACGGTTAGATGCAGGAAGGGGGAAGGGGATAGACGGTGGAAAATCCAGTCTGCTTCTCACCATTGGAATACGTGACTTTGTAAGTCAGTTAGCCGTCTTCAACGTGTGTGCGTCTGTCGCGCGGAAATCCGATAGTCGCGATAAGTGCACCGTAGGTGATTACGCGAGACTGAAAAAAAAGGCTAATGACGCACGACGAGACTTTGAAGCGAAGGCAGCGCGGCCCAGAGCCGCGGCGCTTATCGATTGGCAGGCGCGTCGTGTCTACTTGCACAGTCCTCCTGGCGACGGCGCAACGGTTCGCCGACGAGCACAGGACTTACCATGCTCGCGATGATGGTCGTTGGGCTCATCGCTGGCGCACTCGGGCGTGCTGCGCTCCTCCTCGCTGCTGCTGAAGCTGCGCTGCTGGCTGTGCTGGTGGGCGTGGCCCGGGTGCAGGCTATGCGACGACGGCGCCATCGGGTGCTGCGGGTGCTGCAGGTGCTGCTGGAGCTGGGTGCGCATCTGCGGCGGCGGCGCTGGCGGGTGGCCGTATCCCATGCCCATGTCCAGGCTCTGCTCCTGTACCTCGAGCGATCTCAGTTGACGCCAGCAAAGCAGCGGACGACGGGACAGGTGGACGCGCCTACCTGATACATCGGGCGCTGGCGCTGCTGCTGATACGGCGAGTTCTGACGCATGAGACCGTCGAGCTCGCCGCGGTAGAGGTTGGGGTCGTCCTCGGGATAGGCTGCCGGGTGCCTGGGCGGCTGCTGCGCCTGGTAAGCCGCCACGTGGGGAGTGGGCAGGGTGCGCGAGTGCGGCGACACTGACATCTCGACGCCGCTGTCGCTGGTCGAGAATCGGCGGCCCTGTATCTGCGGCGAGCGAGTAGCGAGCGGTGAGACGCGGGGCCTCGGTCAGGTGCAGGCGACACCGCTTACCTGCTCCTGGTGTGAGTACTGGCGGCGCAGGAGGCTGCTGCTGCGCTGCAGCAGCGGCAGGTTCTCCTTCTCCACGGCGCTGTGGGCGCGCTCGAGCTTGGGCCGCTTATCCTGACTCGGATCCACCTGCAGCAGGCCCTGCGGCAGCGACATGCCCTGCATGTCCTCTTGCATGCGGCGCAGCATGTTCCCGTCCGCGCCACTCAGACTCGACTTCATCATCCACTGGCCTGACTTCGACAGCAACTCTTGCTTCTTCCGGCATAATATGCACACCCATATCACCTGCAACACGCACCAACGTCCTTTCCAGTCGTCGTTCGGTACTGCAGCTTTTCGCGGAATCTTTCTATTGGAACGATAAGCCTGTCAATCTAAGTTTCTAGAAGAGCTTCGTTGGAATTATGAAAGGAAGTCAAGTCCGGAAGCTTCATTGAAGAGTTCCAGGCTTAGCGGAAAGCCAAATATTAAAATTGTCGCTAACGACACCGAGGCACAAACGTCAATTACTCTTCGTTCCGTGGCTGCGTGCAGCCTGTGGGATCGCGTTCGCGCGAAAACCATCCAAGTGGGAAAATCAGCCGCGGACAGAGGCAGCAAAAAATTAATCCATCGCCGTTTGTGCACGGACTGCAGGTCGTTCGGGCGAGCTCAGGTTGAGCCGAAAAGCGTCGCTGCCACGTCAACACCTGCAAGCGCGCGATAATGCGAATTCCACCTTTGTTCGGGCCTCGCTACGAGTTCGCCTGCCGCCCTCGCCCGTCTGCGGCGCCCCGGTTCGGCCTCTTGATCGAGGTCGTGCACTTGTACGTTGCGCGCGATATACACAAGCGAAAGGCTATCGTCAGGCTAAATAGACTCGATAGTACCACTCTGGCGTTGTCGCTCTGGCACGTGCGATCTTATTTTCGGGTTCCTCATCGCCGCGTACCTTTTCGACTGCGATCTGGCCAAGGTTTCATTAATTCCGAATTATGCATGAATTGTTTACGTGATGGAACTGACGCGCAATCGCGTATACCTATCAGATCGCTACACTACTAATGGGAAAATTCAGGGTCCAATCCAATTTAACCAAATTTTGCTCACTCCTATTTTCGTCCGCAATGTCTTCGGATACGTAAATTTGCTGCTAATTACTCTAAATTTATAGATACCAAAGCACCTGTAAATTGGGCTATGACGACAAACTTAAGACGTATTACTAGAGAGCTGTTTCTGTTAGTAAACTGGGATTCTCGTAAGGACGTGAAAAAAGCTACAGAGTAACTAGTCAAGCCGCTCAAGGCGCTTGAGTTACGGACGTAACTTCTTTGCAAAAACGAATTGTCAAACGTAAGATCCGCAATTTGATTTCATCGCGAATAGCAGTAAGCAATCGATCGTCAATAAACTGATTCCAAGGGATCTCCAAAGAGTCGCGCGCGGAGATGCAATCGTCATCGAAAGCTCTTTCCTCGGAGGATCAAAGAAGCGTAAAATAGCTCGTTTTCTGTGGCCACGAGAGTAGAATAGGATTCGCGGCTTTCGAAGAGAAAGTGCGAGTAAAGAGGAGGAAAAAAACTGTATGCGGTGTGTCTTCGAAGGAAAACCTGACCTAGTTGGGTCAATGGCCAATCGAGTAGGGAGTATGCAAAAAAGAAAAAAAGACGAAGAAGGCTGACGGTTGCGACGGCTTTTCATGCAATCAAGCGCAACCGACAGCTTTTTATACGGTTTCACATGGAAATTGAAATCTTTAATTAAATTCAGATAAGTAGCGTCGCGTTTTCTGCTGCGTTCGAGGGTTCCCGCAAATTTTTTTCCCTCAAGACTTGGCAACGTTTCACTTGACGTGCGCCCCATTCACGAGTACTCTATAGTTTTCTCGAGTGCTTTTGCAAAACTGCTCGACACCGCTCCCCCCGCAAAAAATAAGTTCTACTAGAACGGTTTAAAAAACTTTTTTCCGTGCCTTTCCTAGGTCACAATGATAACCATATCCGAACGAAAATGTACCAAAACGGGTCAAAGAAACATACTTACACATGGTTAATCCAAGCTTGAAGAGAAAAAAAAACGAAGAGAAAAAATGATTCACAAACTCTCCTACTAATAACACACTCGACAGGTTCCTATATGTATTCCTTGTTAAATCTTGAAGCAGAAGACTTTTTTTCGAGAGGAAACTCATAAAATGTAAAATTACGCCGAGCGCGAACTGTTGGTCGAGAGATCTCTTCATAAAATGCAAAATTCAACACACTTGACAATATCCCCTTCGCGGTGGCAGCCAAACTTCGCGTTAACTGGCTTCTACATCGCCGTTATTGAAAAAACTTTTCTAGCGCGGCGTCGAATCACACTAGAGTGTGCATATCGCTACACACGCATCGTCACTTGTTGAGTGGCGTGCATTAGTGCAATCCGCACTATAGGCGGAGTCGTCGCGTAAAGTGGGGTGCAGCAACGCGAGCTCGTGAATCGACTGGTAGCTCGCGGTGGTATCGCATCGACTGAAAAGGTGGGAGCGCTGGCGTTTAAGTTGAAACGGAGAGAGAGAGAGAGAGAGAGAGATGACTCGGCGACGACGGCTCATGCGTGAAACGACGAGTCGAGGGTCTCGCCTTGGGAATTTTAGCCTGATTAACTGAATTTTTTCTATTTTTTTTTTTGCTTCGCTCCGCGGAGACATGTGAGCTCCAGCTTAATTAAGTCGTCGCCGTCTTGGAACGCCATACGTGTGAAAATAAAATATGAGGGCACTTTACGCGCTCTTTTTAGATTATATTCAATGGTATGTGAAAAATTGTCCTTCTTTCTCGCTTTATTCTTTAATTTTCAAGAGGTCACTTTGAAAGTAATTAGCGGAAACTGGTGCTTTGAACAACGTTAATTATCCATAATTTGCGGAACATTTCTCTTCACGAGCTGAAAATTAGCGGCGTCCGTGTGGGTGGGAGATGGTGCCAGTACGGGGGATAGAGACGTTTTCATAAATATTATATCGAGCATAGGGCTCTGGCATCACCGATTATGAATTCGATTTCCAGACGATATAGGGAGGACTGCATATTAAAATCCACTAGATTTACCTATCGAAATAAATAAACTTTTACATATACGCAAACGGAATAAAAAATTCACAAGCTTCTCAATTTTCCGAAAGTATATATATATAATAACGACGCGAAATCAGTTTTACTATTTTAAGAGTAAAAAGGCAGTTTAGCATTAATCTGAGTGCACTCCTGATTAGGCGTGTGTGTGTGTGTGTGTGTGTATGTGGATGGGTAGGAGAGAAGGTACAAGAATCTAAAGAATAAACGAAGACACGTCACGAGACAAAGCCAGTGAGTGCGTATGGTATATGGCGGCCGACAAAAGCGTTAGGTAGTGAGGGAGGGGGGTGGACGACAAAGGCGACGGGTAGAAGAAAGTAAGCGAAATGGAAAAGCAGCAGCAGCAGAGACAGATGACGACGGTTGTGAAGAGTATCCCAAGAGAGAGAGAGAGAGAGAGGGAGCGAGAGAGAGAGAGAGAGAGGGAGAGAGAGAGAGAAGAGGTGGGGCTGCGCGCGTACTCGAGAGGCACTTCGGCTGAGTTGCCTAGGTAGCAATATGTCAAGTGGCCAGCCTCGTTGCCAACTCTATACGTGCGCGTGCGGTTTGGTAGTGCGCAAGAGAGGTGAAAAATCTAACGGCAAATCGACGTAGGTTCACCGTCCGCGGGTAAATAAACGCGGGAGAGCGGGTGAGTGCTATATAGGCCAGGGGGCGCCGAACCCTCTCTCTCTCTTTCTCTCGCTCGCTCTCCCGCATTGCGCCAACCGGAATCTATAGCTACGCGAGCCGTGCAGCGCGAGCGAACGCGCAGCCTTCACCTGCGCCGGCCGATTTCTCTCGACTAATTAATTTCGCACGGGCCAGATGCGCACACATGCCGAGAGCTTCACTTGTTGTCGTATCCATCCCGACGAGTTGCGCTTCGAGCGCCAACCTCTCTCCAGATGGACTTTTGATGAGCTTCCTAGCTGACATGGATACCGGAAGCGTGAGTGCGTACTGCTACTGCGTATGGATGGTTTGGCAAATGTTCTATTTTCATCGAGCGCGAACATAGTGAAAACACTTTTTGATTTCGTCAAATTTGCACGAAGGCAGCTTTGATGACGACAGCTAAATTTGTTTTTCTGCCGTGCTTCTGAGAATGAGAGCTAGGTAGTTAGCCATTATTGTAATATTATGGCTTCTGTATACTCTCCATCCGGTGTTTTAACGGCTCTTTTTCTTCCATTCGCGACGTGAGCGGTGCCTTTATTAACTGCTACAATTATAACTGCACAATTATATAGTAAAGCATAATGAAGTTTCATAATTTAGAATAATTAACGGCGGTATTCGATGAGCGTGATCGAGGGAAACTAAGCGCAAAATAGCGAGGAGACGGCAAACTCCGAATGACGTTTATTGAAAAACAATATTGAGCATTACGACGCTAACCTATTTTCCTTGAGAAAACGGAGGGCGTGCGAGCGAGCTTGATTTGCTCGAATAAGATCAATACCCGTATACATAAAAACGTACATCGAGAAAATACCGATATTGAATTGAAAATGCAAGTGTAAAAGATGAAAGGGGGACAGAGACGGAGAAAAAAAAAGGGACAGAGTAGCAGTCTATAGAATTATTCTGTAAATAATCTGTTAAGTGTATGAACAGCCACTAGGCGGTGCGAGTAAACTCAAAGGAACACCGACGACGCGCTAACGTGCAACTTCGCGTCGTCTTCGCTCTGAACAAATAAACACACGGTGAAGGGGCCGAAGGAAACGTCGAACGCGCTGTTTGCTCGCGCATCGATCGAATAAACAAATGTCTCGAAAGTCCACGCGAGCACACGCTGGCCGGCGAAAATTTATCGAGCAGCTAAAAATAGAACGAAAGAAAGAGAGAACAGCATTTCATTAAGTGGCAATACCCTTTCCGCTATACTATCCCACTCGTGGGCAAGAGACGCGCGGTAAGCAAGCAGAGGATGACGCTGAATTTGTGCCCTTCTACCTCATTTCCGTCTTGATTGATCGACAATTGCCTTTCTTGAGAAAGAGAGAGAGAGAGAGAGAGAGAGAGAGAGAGAGAGAGAGAGAGAGAGAGAGAGAGAGAGAGAGAGATAGTATGTGTGTGTGTGAGAGTGAGATACAGTATATGAGAGACAGTATGCGCGAGAGAGATCGAGAGACAGACAGACATGTATGACTATATTTGCATAATACAGAAATAAATCATATACATTCATAATGGTTATTGCTAAATCTACAATTACTAAATTGATACTTAAATTGATACTGACACGAGTCATTCATGGAGAATATTGATCATTTCTCGTATAGAGTATATAAGTGAAGCTGTACAACATTCACATGAAAAACGATCTGTGTCGTATATTTCGTGTAGTTATTTGACACATTGCTCAACAGTTAGGTTTGAAACCGAATACTCATTTTTTTTTATATGTACGCTGAAATGCTAGCAATCTATTTCACATGAAAAATCCTAGCTAAGAATAAGCTACCAAAAAAAAACAAGTGAAAAAGTCTAGCTATAGTCAGTCGAAAGAGATCGTTTATCGAGCGTCTCGAAGAAAAGCAAAAATAAAGCACTGAACGAATAAAAAGTGGGGTTCTTCGAGGAAATAGGATATTCAAAAAGGACATACATACATATATCTAGGTAGAGAAGCAGCTTTAATCTTTCGGTGAGTTTCTTTAGCCTCAGGGGCAGACCTCGATACGTCGTTGCGCCTACAGTCCCCTTTTCGTACGGAAAGAAAAGAAAAGTAGGAGGGAGGGATAAAAAAGAAACAATCATATGACGCGCGATTTACGTGGCGTGATTGAATGTGTACATCGCCGGGGGTTCTATTGATAGTAGGAGGCGCGCGCGAGCGACTAATTATTTTAGTTTTGTCATTGCTTCTATCGGCGGCCAACGACTAATTCAAACTTGGCTCAAACGAGCCAACTTCCTCCAACAGCAGCAACAGTCGTCGCAGCACGACTTCTCTCACTCGAATTCTCCCTCCTCGCACTTTCTAATCGATTTATATACACACACTCGAGCGCGTGTATGTATATGCGTGCGCGTGTTGCGTCACCCGTGCGACGATGGTGACGACGGCGACGACGACGTCGCTTTCACCTTTTCTCATTACTTGCTCCTTTTTTCCCTCTGCTTCCGTATCCTTTTTTTCTTCTTTGCGGCGATCGAGTAGAGCTACCTGTCTTGGCTTAATGATTTTTCGACGAGATTTTTTAGTCTCATTCTAAACCGCACTGATCGATTGATTTTCAAATATTATCATTTTCTTAATTATTTTCGAATATTATGCTTATTTTCAAACATTATGTTGCATAGGTTTATTTTTCTTTTTTCACTTAACGCTCGAACAACTACTCACGGCTGACTATAATCGTAGCTATTCTACTTAATACGCGACAATTCTGATTACAAGGGACGTAGCTTTTTTATTCCGTTGTTATTTTCATTTAATTTTGTGAGAGTCGTGGTAATCAAGCTCAATGCACCATAAATTCACGTCGATGAGTATCGCATTTAGATTTTGAATGGGCGATAGAAGACAACTGAATCGTTAATTATTTTTTTCTTTGTCATTGATTAATTTTACTGAAAGTTGATGTTTCGATAAAATTTTTTTTTCAAAGAATATGGATAAGATTAATGAATTAAACTAATCTTTCGCATTAAAAATTAAACAACAACCTTTTTATATTTGCTCACGGACATATAACATTTAACTAATAATCCAAAATTACAATCCGAAATTATATTGAAAACCAAAAATAGTTATAGTCAGATAGTCAAAAAAACGACAGTAATCGATGCAGCATTGTTAAATCGTAGTGGGCGACAAGGATAAAAAAAAAACAGTGCGTCGTCAAAGCGTCGCATGATGGGAGCGTGGGTGTGCGTGTATGCATGCGCGAGATGCAAGCTTCTCGTGATCGCTCATAAAAAAATTGATCGCCGGCAAATTATAGTCCTTTTAACGCTCGCGTACTTTTTTATTGGCGTGGCTTACGAAGAGCGAAGGCACTTGTACCACGTGGTAGTTCGTAAAACTCGGTTTCACGACAATTAAGCGTACGCGCAAATTTCGGACGGCGTCGGTCTTGATAGCATATACGCATGTGTATAGCTATTCGTATGAGACACGATAGAGCGCTAGCGATGAGGATTAATTGGAGCGCGCTGAGTCTCTGTAGGTCAATTATTTTCCGCGCGTATCTCTTCTACGATTATTATTGCTTTTAGGCATCTTTGCAACATGCGCACCGACTTTCTTTCTCCCATTTTGCATTTAGGTGACAAGGTCGTGCGAGTGACTAATTTTTATAGCGCTCAGTAGATTATTTTTGTAGCCCCTCGCGTCGGTCGCTCGCTTACTGCCGCTGAATGGAGTCTCGAGATTGCCTTTGCCAAGATAAAAAGCGATGTATCCGTGCGCACGACGACGTGCTTTTTTCTCCTCTCTCTCTCTCTCTCTCACTTTCTCTGTCGCTCTGCCACGGCTCTCTTTCTGTGTTTGCCCTCTCGACGCTCGGCTATTAATAGTATCATATGTGAGTCGGATTTTGAATTTGTTGAACGGTACACCTGCTGTGCGCGGACGAAATGCGCGCGATCTGATTAATTATATTTCCTGTATCATTGATATTTTAAGTGCGGCGTCAAAATGAATTTTTATGGACAATCTATTCTAGACTACGCTACTTTCCAAAGCAGCAGCAAAGACTAGTCATAAGAAACATTCCATATCGAAAATGCAAACGTTTTATGCGCAAATAACGAAGGTTTAGAGCGAAAGTCGGGAGCAAATTTGGCAAATAAAAGAAGCAATCAACGCCTGTTGATGATACTGTTGCGACAGTCAGGCAAAAATTATCACCCGAAAAACTAAAATGAAAAACAGTCGCTGCCAACGTATCGTAAAATTTGAAAAACTCTCTCTCTCTCTCTCTCTCTCTCTCTCTCTCTTTCTGTTGGCTACAAAATAAATAGCCAAAATCGACAGAACGATAGGCGAAACAATGGGACGAGTCGCTGGAGTGCGAGCGTGATCCATTCTCCCCCGAGGGAGGCGAAATTTAAAAGCGGTGCAGCGGGCGTCCTATTTTCGTGGCCTCTTTCGCGTTCGCGGGGGCCGATAACAAAGCAAGGCAGGAGCGCGCTCACCTTGTTGGATCTGAGCGAGACCTTGCCACCGCAGCGGGCGCAGCAACGTACGCTGCAGTAGTTGCATATGTGTCCGACCCCGTCGGCGAACTTGGTCTTGAGGCAGATCTCGCAGGTGGCGTCCAGGTCCACACGGCCCGCCGACTGCAGGCGCTCGTTGCGCGCCCGCGATATCGTGTCCTCCAACACCTGCACCTCGTTTTGCTTTCGCCTGCAACACAAGGAATGGTCTCGTCACAGCCCAGATCATCCGAGCCTTGGCGGTTGCGTCGCGACGCAACGATCGCGCGTGCGACACCAGCGCGCCGCGATTCTCATCAACAAGTAGCATCGTTGAGGAACTTGTGCCCCGGTCGAGCCCGGCCCGCGATCACGAGCAGCGGCAGAGAAGCCCTCGGTCCGCGGCCAGTATAGGAGCTCCCGGCGATAGGTAAACACGTCGCGTCGTATGCAAATAGACCAGCGCAGCGAAATCGAGTTGAGCTACAAAGTTTGATATCTGTCGTCGCGTGTCACCGTGCGCTCGCCCCGTGTATGTCTGTGTGTCGTGTTTTATCGATTGACATTAGCAGATTCGCGAGCCAGCTATTTTGGTCAAAGGTCACAGACACACGGTGATACAGCAGCGGGACTCTCGTCTTCTCACTTTCTCGGCCAGCGAGGGAATCGAGAAAGAGGCGGCGCGTAATTGTAGTCCTACCTCATGATCTCGTTTTGATACTCGTCCTCCTGGCGTTGCCTCATGATGACGCTCTCGATGTGGCGCCGCTCCTCGGGCGTGAGGTGCGAGAGGTCGGGCATGTCCTCCATCTCGTTAGCTGCGAGCTCGAGGACGAGGATGACGACGACGATAACGGTGAAGCCAACGCGACGTTGAGAGGACGCCGACTAGTAGTGCAGGCAGCCTTAGGCCGCCTTGGCGAGTCATCCGGCCACCTCCTCGTGCACCAACTGCCAGCTGCACCAGTAGTAGCTCCCGGCCAGTTTAGGCTTCATCCTCGCCACTCTCCGCCGTCTCCTCGACTCCGTTAACTTACACTCCGCACTCGGTCTAGCACATCGCGTACAGCACTCGTCGCTCTCGTTCCGCCGCCACCGCTCTCTCTCTCTCTCTCTCTCTCTCTCTCTCTCTCTCTCTCTCTCTCGCTCACTCTCGATCGATACTCTTCCTCGACTCTTCTTCCTTGTCTCGTTCGCTCCCTCGCTCGTTTGCTCGTTTGATTCGTCGCTCCGTGCGTCCGCTGATATATCTCGCGAGGCGTTGGCTGTCCACGGGCTCGCGGGGTCTTCCTTCTTCTGTCGTGTTCGGCTGCGCGGCTCACTCTTGCGGCAGCATTCACGATTACCGTACCAGCACCAGCACCAGTTCTAGCACTGCGTGCGTGCGTGTGTGCGTGCGTGCGTGTCTCTCGTGCTCGTGCGACGAGAAAGGACTCGACGAGCGGCCAGAGCAGTCGAGCTGCTGTCCTTCTCCTCGCTGCTCCCGAGCACTCTCGCTAAAGAAGAGTCTCTCGCGCAGCGAAAGCGAGAGAGAGAGAGGGAGAGAGAGAGAGCACGTACCGACTACGCGCGCAGACGGGACGAGCCCCCACTCGACACACCACCGACCCTACGCGCCGACTTTTGAATTTTCACGCCGAAGCTGCAGAGAGTTTTTCGCGGCTCGCACTGGGCTTTGCCAACGTCATCTCGACACTACGACCTGCCGATTCGACGGCTCTATCGGACTTGGTCCAGGTCGAGTACTGAGAGCCAGTGGCAAGGTTGGTGGAGCGAGTTACAGCTGAGCACTCATTCATACGGCGCTTAATAAGTAATGCTATGCGGGGTAAATTCCGGCCAATGGGCGCGGGCGCCGCGGCTTTACGTCACCCGTGGCATGGACGCGCGCGAGCGCGCGTGCGCCCGCTCGACCCTATTGATCGGCTCGACGGCCACGCAAGCGCATCAACCGCCGCCGAGAGGGCGTCGAAAGCTCACACCTGTCGAACTCTCGCTGCGATCATTGCCGAGCGGGAAAAACGAGCTGTCGCGTTGTACGGAAACGTGTCTTGCTCGACTCGGCTTGGACCACTTGCTGCTGACTTTCCGCATTTTAGACAGTATTTCGTCCCTGTTGGCTGATTTGAAATTATGATGAGTCGTCATTCTAGTAATTTTTCATTGATAGCCTGCTGGTTTCACTGGAAAGGTAGAAATAGAAAATACCGGATTCCCGATGAACAAGAAACTTGATGATAATCAAACGCCAAATAGTATTGCCACGTATCCGGCTTGCCATACTTAGCTTGCACTACTCGTTCCATTCTACCGCAACATGAGTCATAGATGAGAAATATAATTACTGATGCTCATACAGAAAGCCAATGAAATTTATTGGACTTGTAAGATTTTTTTATTTTATATAATTTAGTGAAAATAGATTTTTCTTTTACTAAAATATAGATTAATATATATTAATTTGAAAAAAAATGTGATTGGTAGTTAATAATACTCAAAGAGATAGATGTTAAAGCCATGTAAAACGAATGTAATATTTGCTGAGTATCACTTAAAGTTTGCATTTGGTAAAAAGGTAAAAGAGAGCGAGATTCATAGTGGAGTTATTATGCTTATCAGGCGGCTGGCAAACGGCCACGAGCCATCATTTTATTGCACGTTAGTGCTGAAGCTGTAGACGACCGGCAAAAACCTTTCAAAAAGCAACTTTGCAAGCTTTTACCGCGAGCTTACGTTATTTATCTGCTAGACGGTCCTTTTTTTAGCGAGATTTCCACTCGTTTTAATCAATGCGAAACAGCTATTTTTTTCGTTACTTTGCTACTTATCGAACATTAGAGACATTCTAGGCTGATTATCATCGACGGTAATGGATTTTTGAATGAAAGGGATAACTATTCAAGTAAACTTATTTGATATCTTATGTATAAAGCATTTCTTTTAAGAGTAATGTTACATCGAAGATGTGAAATATTTTCCACGAAAAAATGAAGAAGTAACTTCGCGTTAAAAACTATTTTTTGTCGTTTTTGAATCATACAAATACGACCAATTTATTTTTATCATTCAAGAGGTAAAAACCCCTACAATTAAAAGACATACAAATATTAAAAATATATATACACACATATATCACATAAAATAGTAGTATAAATATATAAAAAAAAGGAAAAAAAATATAATAGAATAGTACTTAGCTTTAAACGATATAAAAGTTAAACAAATAACACTTAAACCTAATCTAAATTTAACCGTAGTCAATATTAAATAAAGAATCTAAAGAAGAACTGTAGATTAAAGACTTGTAGAAGGATCAAGTTAACAGTTGTTAACAGTGTTCAACGAACATTTCAGTTTTCGCTTTATTTGACGAAAGTTGTTGATTTAATTCAATTGAACTTCTTCGGCGTAGCATCGCGCTGTATGGATGGTTCATATTAATTTTTTATTTTTCGGCTAAGTGTATTCTACTTGATCGTTTTGAAATTGATATTGGGTGTGGAGTCAAAACTATGCAATGAATGATTTTAAACAAGTTTGTTTTTTGGTGCATGAGCAAAGTATGCTAAAGTTAAAAAGTTCATTTTTTTTATTCAAAAGCCAAAAGTGACCATTTTTTTTATGTAGAAGCGATTGCTCAATCTTCTGTTAAAAAAAATGTTCGTTGACACATTTATTAATTTGCATGTTGAGTAAATGACTTTGGAGAACAGGTCGAGCAAAGGGTGAACCTGAATCGAACCCGTCAATGCAGAGATCCAGCAGGCACCCGGCGTTTCCTTTCGAGTTTTTCTATCTGCGCTTCATAAGGTCATGTAGTCAATTCATAAATAAAGAATTATTTTAACTAAGAATTTGCTGTAAAAGTAACATAAAATAGTCGCTTGTACGAAAAAAAAGAATAATTTTTAGTTTTTGAATCATAAAAATTGGATTACATTAACCAAATGTAATAATAGTATTCAAAAACTATTCACATTTAATTTGAGAAAAAGCGAAATAGTTTCAAATACAACCATTTTTTCATGTTTAATTACGCGATATAATCATCGTGTATTCTAATCGTGCTACTTGCGCCATCAAAATTAAAAATCTTCATTTTATCAAATATGCGACTTTTTTCAAATTGTAAAAATATCTATTAAAATAAAAATATCGTGAATTAACTAACAAAAAAGCAAACGGTTTTATAAAGTTTAATTGTTTAAACCGAGTCACTTTTTTCCTGAGCTGATGGAAACATTCGCTTTTTTCATTCGTTAATTGATACATTTTTTTGTTCTAATACTCGTAGGTATTCTCATAATTTGAAAAACTATCACATTCATGATGATGAAAATCACTTAAAGGTTCGATAGTACTTGTAGCTCGATGAGAAAAAATTTATAGCAGATCAACCAATTGAATTTTTTGTTGTCCCGAATTTGTTGAGTTAATTTGCAATATCTCTAGTTCTAATCAGTATTTCTTTAATTAAAAAAAAAAAAACAGCCTATTCATTATTAAATAACAAATAATTTTACATATTATTTGTCTCAACAACATGAATAGAAAAAAGTTATCGTTGTTTAAGCAATTAATTTACTAATATCTATGAAAAACGCCCCGTATGACTAAACACTTGTCAGATTTTAATTCGGAAGATTATAAAAATATAAAACATTAACTTATTTTATGGAACCTCGATCGGCTTCGAACCCCCTTGGCCTTTGAACTAACACCTGATAGGCCGTTTTAGACTGCGCTGAGTTAAGCCTCCCCCGTTCCAGCCTGCATAATTAATGCTAAATTTTTTAAAATATACTAATTGCAAGATTTTGATTTGCCCAATCCACCTGTATTATCATATTTTATTTGCTTATTTTTAGGTTTTTCGTAAAAAATTAATAAAGACAATTATTTCCCTTACAATTTTAAATATCTCTATCTCGTGTATTAAATGGAATTTCTGAATGTAATTAATTGTAAAAACTTGCCACGAGCTGATTTAATTTGCTTACTCCACTGATATTAAAAATAGTCAATAGCTATTTTATAAAATTGAAAAATTACAATCGGTAATAGCATTTCGCGCACGCGCGTGCTCAATAAAAAGCTAGTATCGGGCCCATTTCCCTTTGTACAGATACCTTTGCTACGCGATTTCATTCAATCATTAATTAAAAGGTATTTTATTGAACATAAGGTGACATAATAATGTTTTAATTAAACATATTAAATAAAATAATATTTACCAAGTTAAATATTATTGACACATTAGTTTTCTACCAAGAGATTAGAAATTTTCTGAATACTGTAGTAAAAAAACAAATGTTTTTCTGTATGGCTTTTTTTTTTGTATTTATGATATAAACTAACAAATTTTTTTTCTGTACGAATTATTTGACACAAAGATGATATAAAATTGTATTCTACGTTATCAAAATTTATTTCTACATTATCTTCAGCGCTGATGTGTATTACGTACAACCAACAGCAGCAATAACAGCATACGAAAGCAAATTACCTTTCATATTTTCATCACAAAATTGATTGTGTAGAATACTGCTCGATCTGATTTAATTAATGTAAGATCGTTCGTGTAGAAATAAATTTTGATGATGCAGAATACGATTTTATGTTGTCTTTATGTAAAATAATTTGTGTAGAAAAAAATTTGTCAGTTTATATCATAAATCCAATAAAAGAACCATTCGGAATAATATTTCTCATTATTGATATAAAGAAAATCATTACATTCATATATATTGGTTTTGTTTTCAGGGAATTACAGACAATTGGTGGTGTGGATCCTTATAAAAGATACGATGTTATGAGAGAAAATTCAATGAAGAACTTGAAGAGGATACTTCTGAGGTAATTCCAAAATTAACTAATCAAGATTTGGAAGAAACAGAAGATTCCGAAAATCAAAAAAATTCAAAAGATCCAGAAGATCCTGAAGATGTTACAAGAAAGGAGTTACCCGAAAAGCTTTCCGATAAACTTAAAAGAAAACGTAAAAAATATGTGTACTCCAAGTCGAAAAAGTCTAAGTTGGATTTATAGCCTCTAAAAATAGGAGATCTAGGTTTCGTTACATACGGATTAAAAGGTGATAGAAAAACATGGGCGTGTTTATACACGGGTATTGATGTTATAACGAGCCGTTGTGGTATTAGGATTTATGAAGGATCTGGCGGTCGACACATAGATATGGTATTTACACGTCAAGCTATTTTATCTTATATTCTTAGCTAATATTTAGGTAAACCAATGACTGAAACTAGAAAAAGCGCATTCAAACAAGCATTAATAGATTGTGGAAGACAAGAGTTAATTTTCAAAACTATATTATACTGAAAAAATTCATATACAATCAAATTATGTAATATATTTTATACATTTTTCATGTAAAATAACGTAATCGTGTGTAATAATACGTGTTCAATAATACAAGCTTTCAAATATTTAAAAAAACATTTAAATATACATTCGTAACATGTAAAATATTACGTGACAGCCGGAGTTTAATTAAATTAAATTAAATAATAATTAATAGTTAATTTAATTAAATAATAATAATTAATATTTAATTAAATATTTTAACTTGGTAGAAAACTGCCATAAATTAATAATAGTTAAGTTTTTAGTAAAGATTATTTTATTTTATATGTTCAATTAAATTAAATAAATAAAAGCATTATTATGTTCAATAAAATAAATTTGAAAATAATGGTTGAATGAAATTATCTAGAAACGGTATCTATACGAAGCGAACTGGGTCCAATACTAGCTTTTTATTGAGCACGTACGTATACGAAATGCTATTGTCGATTATTATTTTTCAGTTTTATTAAATATCTATTGATCAATTTGAAAGTCAAATGGGCAAATTATATTAGCTCAAGCACAATTTTTTACAATTTACTACATTCAGAAATTTTATTTAATAGAAGAGATAGAGATGTTTAAAATCATTGGGAAAATTATTGTCTCATTTTTTCGAGGAAGCTAAGAATGGGCAAATAAATCTGACAATACAGGTGGATTGGGAAAATCAAAATCTTTGGATTGATATATTTTTATTTAATTTTGCATTAATTATACAGGCTGGAATGGGGTAGGTCGCTGTTAGCAACGAAGATGACGCAATGAAACGTCTATCTTCGTTGCTGTTAGTTAGTCAAGCTAAACCGAGGTTGTTCAGTTACGTATGCTAAGCACTTCGAAAAGCTATATAAATACTATAGCTTTGTTAGGCAGCAACGACGGCGCCATACCATAACTGCCTAACAGAACTACGGATCGTGTTAGGCTACTTGACTGAGCCCCCATAAAACCTGTCCTATAAGCGTCTATCTTTGTTGCTCATACCGACAATAGTACCTACATATTTACATGAAAAAGTTTTTAAAAATTTTCTTTTATCACATCAGTCAAGATAATATTCTTTTAATCTCATATTGCTCAGTAAAAATTTAGCTTTTATATAAACTTGAAACACTTTTGTTTGTCGTGTGGTATTCTAGTTTTGAATAGTATAGAATCGGCACGATATTGTGTGTTTAACAACGGCATATAGCCAAATACTTGCAAGAAAAAGTTTATACACTTATGCCTTTCTTGAAAATGTGAATCATCTTCTGATAATGACACTGGACAACCTGGACATCTAAAGGTCCAACGAGAAGTCACCTGTACAATTTTATTAGTTTATAAATGAAATAATAACTTTATGTATTCTTTATTATTATTAATAATTACCTTAACCGGAGGCTTTCTCGTGATGTGCGAGACTAAAAAGTTCATGGCAATATCTTCACAATTCATATATTCATCAACTTTGTCTCTGATGGCTTGAGGGAGCCAATGCGTATATAGATACAAATAATGTTTATGAACAAAAGCAGCTCCCGTTAACACCATTGACAACTCACATGAATAATTGGAGTTGTAATTCCAAGCGTTGTGAAAATTTTGATCCCAGGCATGAAAACGACCTGGGAAACCTACGACTCGATCCCTGTGTTCTCTCCATACTCTGTAATGAAGGTTTTTTTATATATTCTGATATCAAAATATGTAAAAACTTTTAATTTAACTATTTATCCACCTGAATCCAAACATTATCTCATCGTGTCTCAAATGCGCATCATCGTCAACAGACAAAACGGCTTCAGTTTCGATAACATCAAATGGCATAAATCTATTATTCAAACTATTACGTTTTGCTTTTACAACCTGCAAGAAAATAAGAGAAATTATTAAATAATCAACATATCGAATTGTTTGCTACTTAAAATATTTATGCATACATGTATTGGTACTCCGATATCAGGCCATCGCAAATCTTCTACTGGAGGTTTCGGACTATTCCATACAACTACGACTTTATTCAAATATGGCAACCCGTAGAGTCGGGCCAAGGAGTTCATCAACACTTGTTCTCTTTCATATGTAAGCATTACAATCGTAAATTGTTCTCGTGGATGATTGCCGCCAAGAGACTCGCTAAACTCCTTACCAGCGCCTCCAGCTCCTTTTCCGATAGGACGGAAGCCGGTTTCCGACCCTGAAAATAATGACAAATAAAACTGTTAGAAACTCTCATCATACTTGAATGAAATGTTAAAATCATACGTACCAATAAATTTTGCATCGCTAGGTAAAACGGTATCAAATGGCAGTTGAGGATATAAATTAAACGGATCGACCCAGTCGTTCCACATTTGGTAACCTTGTACTAACATTATTGTATAGTTCCTCCTGTAAGCAGGAGATGGATATGGAGGTTCTAATGGCCCAAGGCTTTCTTCGGCTTCAGATTCCGGTATGATTGTATCGGATCTCAAAGGCTGAAAAATCAAATTTTTATGTTATTTGTTGGCCAACTAAGGGTTATTTCCGAAGTACTTCTTTCTGTAAAATCCGAATCCGAAGTCAGAATTTTTCCACGTCAGATTTTCGAAATATCCGAATTTGAAAGGGCTAAAAACGGATTTTTAGTATATTTGAGATTTTATAACAATGAGAAAAACGTTTCTTTTTTTTAGAAAACAGATCAAACTATCTATAAGCGTACAAACTATCTATAACCTGCGAATGTAAAATCCCGAACCTTTAAAATTCTAATTCTTTCCTGTAACCTCCAAGGCTATAACCTTAGATCCTCAATCTCAATTTTCTCGTTATTGATTAATGTAAAACCCGTAGGTTACAAGGCTCTATGATTCAGAATTTCGGAGTTTAAGCATCTAGGCTTATTATTACGCTGTTTATAGAATTCGAGGGTTGAGACAATCAGAGTTCAAGGGTCTAGGGTTATGGCTTTAAAAGGTGCATGACTCGAGGGTTAAAGCAATTAGGTTTGAGGAATCTGTCGTTGTAATACGCTGTATTTTAATACCAATACGTAATTTTTGAAATACTTAACTTTGATGTACTATATTTCTATGCAAAAAACAAATACAACTGAATTCTGAAAAATATATTTTGAAGAGTAAGAGTTGTACTTTCAGATGGTTTGATCTGTTTTCAAAAAATTTTTTCGCGATGTAACAACCATAAATATACCAAAAAACTGTTGTTTTGGCTCTTCCAGGTTAGGATATCTTAAAAACATGACGTGATGGATAAATTCTGACTTCGGATTCGGATTTTACGCAAAAGATTACTTCGAAAATGACTCTTAGTTGGCAAACAGTAATAACAACATATAATTTTGCATATCTGCGTAATCAATAAATCGTCTAATTCACTTGCCACGAAGGATGAATTAAAAATGCTTGGACTTAAAGACTGCGGCGCTGGTAAAGGTGGTATACCCAAACGATCTCTCAATACAGCAACAATTGTATCGACAACGCTTTGCGCCGTGCCAAAGTATCTTTCCCAAATGAGTCGACCTTGTCTCCTCATTGCAAGCAGATCATTGTCAGGTACGGCTCTAAGCAGGAAATGCATCTCCGTAACTCTTGCTTTAGGCAAGAAAATAGCTGCCCTTCTCCAGGAGATGACCTCTTTATAGCTTAGTGCTGTTCTATCACCACCTAAAATCACTGGTATTGCGCCAGATCTCAAAGCTTCGTAAAGTCGAGCTTGCATCGACGCTGTGGATAAGTAACTGATGTTACTGGGTGCGAGGATAAGAGCGAAAGTTGACTCTTGTAGAATAGCTTTTCTTGAAGAATCAATACCACACAAAGACCAGTCGAGGACCTCGTTCACTTTTTTCTCGTCCGACGCTGGAATACACTCGAATTGTATGAAAAATTTGTCTGAAGTAGCTCCGTTACTTATGTCTTTTAAATACTGCGTTATAAAATTGTCTAGATTACTCTCGTCAAGAGGTGTTCTATCGATGTCGATTTCTGCATCATCTACTTCGTTTGTTGTTGAAGGAGACTTCAAAGCTCTCATTTCTCCTGTAAAATTAATTAAAACATTAGCATCTGATCTAATTAGTTAACAAAATTAGTTACAAATATTAATTAAAACATTAGCATCTGATTTAATTAGTTAAGAAATTAAATTTTCACGCGACTCGCCTTGGAAAGAAAGTAAATATTTTCTTCTGGCAGGTAGCATATATGCACATTCTGGCCAGATATCACCCCCTGGTGGTCCCAATATGGGTGGAACAATCATATCAAAACCTTCGCGAAAATGATCCCTTAAAAACGTCGATTGTACAACAATCGCGCGACCAGTATCAATACCATCAAACAGATTGCATGAATCAGCTGATAGATCTCTGCGAGCTAAATTCAACAATATGTGATTTCTACCATCACCTCCCCAATAAGGAAGAGCTTGGAGTTTCTTAATATCTAATGGACTTTTCAAATTTCTAGTCTTTTGAGATACTGGTAGTGTTTCTCCTACAAGGACAATGTATATACATGCTTCCGCTGGATCAAAAGTTAGATGTGCATTATAACCTGCAACAATTTTAGCAAGGTATTAACCAGTATTAATAATCTATTAATTTAGGTGAATGTATTTTTATAAATACTTGAAAATACCTAAAGTTTGCTTAATATAAGTTTTCAAGAACCCATCAATATCATATCCTGGATTAACAACAGGAAATTCATCAGGATCATAAAGATATACAGGAAACCCACTGGTTAAAGCACAACGACTGTGATCAAAACAGCTGTACATTCTGCATATTTTTGAATTAGGACTAGATGGAAGTATCTCTGGGATCAAGTTACTCAAAACTCTCTTTGGTGGTGCTAGTTCTGGAGTATTACGTTCTACAGCTTCCCTATGAGCTGCTTGAGCTTGAACAACACTAATTTTCAATCTGTCCAACTCCATTTGTTGATGCAGCATTTCCTGTTTTAGTTCATCTATTTGCTGTGTCAAACTACTAATATCAACATGGAGTTTTCTACGTTTGGCTTCAAGATCCCTCAGCTCATTGCTCACAGACTGCTTGATACGTAACATCTCCTCAATGCGCATCTTTAAATCAGCTGCATTCATGGATGTAAAGTCGTGAAAGCCTTCTAATCTGGTGCGTGCTTGGTGAATGTCCAGATTTGACAGATCTGTCTCCACCTGATAAGATAGACAATAATGTAAACATTACTGTAGAAACACTCTGAGCATACACATTGATTTACCTTTGACAAGTAGTAGTGTATAAACAATGGCACAATACAAAAGAGTATAAGGACCAGAATAATGATTTTCGGTAATTTTATGCGTTTCAGCCAGAGCATCATGTCTCGGCCAACGGCCGGTGTCAGATGATGGTACGAGTGGCCAGACTCGAGGCTGTTCCCGGTCATTTTGCAACAACATTGACCGTTATATTTAACACCTCAGCTTATACGAGTTTTTTTAACGAATTTACCGCCGAAATGACGACTTCATCGGGGCTTCATCTCGTTTTGCACCGGAGTGTCAATAGTCTTTTTATTAAGATACAACGGCATCGCGCATCAATTACAAAGTACTGAATAGGAGATAAAAAAAGCCGAAAACTGACACACTAGACTATGTAACGTACGGCACATTTAGCGCGTGTGTGCGAGTGAGTGAATGTGCTTGTACAAATAATAGCAGCAACAATGCAGTGGGAGGGACGTAGCCATGGTCACAAGTGTCGACTGCGAGGAAGCTCCGAGCTCAAATTTGTTCTATGAAGACTGGTGTCTATGTGATGCATTTAATTGTGGAATTTTATTTTGAATTTTTTAATATTTTAAAAATTTTTTAAAAAATAAGAATAAATATTCTGTGATAAAAAAAATATCATTTTTCTATATAGCAAATTTAAATTTTCACTACTCTTACGTTTTTAATTCTGTATTTAATTTTCCAATGATTCCATATTCTACATCACAACATTTAGGGAGTATCCACACAGGATTCCTCTTTCTTCCTGATCCCGGGGCCGTCCCCGTCCAAGATTTTATATATACACGCCATCTCTATAACTTCGAGCTCAGTGATAAGTTTCATAATGAATGTGAGATACGCATCTTAATCTATAAATTCGAAATTATAGAGAAGGCGTGCGTATAGAAAAACTCGGACGGTGACGGCCCCGAGGTCGGTAAGGAAGAGGGATCCCGTGTGGACGCTCCCTTATAGGTACTTTCCACGGATGAAGGAACTCAGCGGGAAATCGATCGTAATTGATCCAAAAAAATTATAGCAAAACTGTGCGTTTTCAATAAGGATAGGAAAACCGATTATTAATCCTATGTAATTTTGTTTTAATTAATAAAAAAATTGCCAAAGTTGTTGGCTCATAGATTGTCGATAATTGTATCGGCCTGGCGTTTGAATATTGTTTCTACATACATAGACCTGCTTCATCTTTAGCAAAAATCACACGCAGTTTTTTTATTCAATCAAAATGTTATTATAACCATTCGTTAAAGAATAAATATTTATTATTTTTTACTACGGCGATAAATTCACCTGAAAGATCAGTCGGTAACATAAATCTATACATTTTTATTATTGTGTAGGTTGAATTTTTTTAATAATGAAATCTCAATTCCATATTCATTGATTTCCCGTTGAGTTGTTTTATCCTTCCAGTGTAAGAGCTGCACCAATAATGGCTTATTTTTTTAATAACCATTAATTTTAAGTCCTTCAATATTTACGTAACAAAAAAATTCATTTTTAACTAATAGTTAACATTAACGTTTATTACAGAAAATAACCCATTCCTATTAATCTTTAGAGGACCGCGGAAAACCGATATATCGGTTCACTTTGTGATATGAACTTTGTATATATTGATACATGATACCAGACACCAATTTAGCCACTATTCAAGGACGATTTTAACTCTCAAATCCCGGCCGTCTAAAGGTTAATTAATACAACTCTTATTATTTTGAGATTGTACCCTATACATCCTATACAATAATAAAAATGTATAGATTTATGTTACCGACTGATTTTTCAAATGAATGTATCGCCGTAGTGAAAAATAATAAATATTCATTCTTTAACGAATGGCTATAATAATATTTTGTTTGGATAGAAAAACTGCGCGTGATTTTTGCTAACAATTGAGCAGGTTTATGTATGTAAAAACAGTATTTGAACGCCATACAGATACAATTATCGACAATCTGTGGGTTAACAAATTTAGCAATTTTTTTATTAATTAAATCGAAATTACGTAGGATTAATAATCAGTTTTGCTATTTTTACTAACGACGTGCAGTTTTTCTATAATATTTTTGTAACGATTACTATCGATTTTCTACTGAGTTTCTTCATCTGTTAGGCCCCGGTCCCATAGGTAAGTATGGATGCGGACGGATACGGACGCGAATCGCAACTGTAGTAACATCACTAAAAATATCTAGTTCGATTATTTAGTACCAACACTACCGGTAGTGAGTTAAAGTGACTGTTGTTTAAAACTGTAGCGCCGAACGTACCACATTTAATGTTCAAATGTCAGGTCTACAATTTACTTTTCAAATTCTCATTGCTTATTGATGAGTATGCTAATGTAAAAAAAGTTTTTGGGATGATTAATACATATTATTTATATATTTTTTTTTTCTTCTCATATATTCAAGTACTTCCATAAAATTAAGGCCTAATTCCACTAATTGTAGTTGAAAGTCTATCAATTCTCTATCGTTTGCCATCTTATAGACTGCAATAATGTAAGGGTTAGATAGGCGTTCATTAAATGTGGTACGTTCGGCGCTACAGTTTTAAACAACAGTCACTTTTGCTCACTACCGGTAGTGTTGGTACTAAATAATCGAACTAGATATTTTTAGTGATGTTACTACAGTTGCGATTCGCATCCGTATCCGTCCGCATCCGTACGTATGTATGTACCTATGGGACCGGGGAGCCTATTCTGAAAAAAAATTTTGTGGTAAATCAGTTTGTCACTTCAGTTTACCACAGAATTAATCACTTTAGATGTGATAAATGCTTATGACATGTGCTAAAATTTTTTTTCAGAATAGGCCCCGTGCTAAAATTTTTTTTCAGAATAGGCCCCCAGGGCCTTAAAAAGCCCTCACGACTCACGACTATGAAAATGGAGATAAACATTTTATACGCGTAGAAAACGTATGTGATGCGATACTTTGCTGCGCGCAAGTCAAAAATCAGAAAATACTAATAAATATATACAAACGCAAGGAACAAGAAAGGTGAAAGATAGAATATATAATAAGGTTTCACGCGCGCGAGAAGCGACCTGGCAGACAACCGGCGATGTACCCGTCATCGTCGTCGGCTTCGTCGGCGGACGAGGGCGAGGCGGCATCTGGTCCAGACAATTTGGCTGACAGACGCAAGTCCAGAGACAAAGGTTAGACAATTTTTATCTTTGCTTGTTTGTTTTTTTAATTGTTAATTAAGTTTACGTTGGTAATTTTATTTTACGTGAAGTTCGTTATCTTCATTTATTTCGTTAGAGTCATTAGTTGATTTTATGATTCGTCATTGATTTGATCTATTAATTTCTTAGTGTATGTAATTACATAAAATTTAAACAAGCTTTTTACTGTGTGTAGTTATAATTCATTATTTCCAAATATGTTCTTGAAATAGAAAAATTACAAGTTTGATGTTTTAACATTTATTATATTGAAATTGAAATAATAGTTTTCATGATAATTAATGATCTATATCTATATCATTTGTTTAACAGGCACAAATTCGAAAAAGCCTCCAAAACGAGAAGAAAAATTATTTAGTCTAAAGCAATTTTTAAAAAATGATAACCAAGTAAATCATCAGTACACTGGGGCAAGACCAAAAGTATATGAACCAACTATAAGGACTCCAGAACCTGGTGAAAATCATGATGCTGAAAAGTATCCCCGTAATCCAACAGAGTTACCAGATTTTGTTCAAGATCATTTAGTTATTGAACAATGTTATCTTGGTGAAATTGCTTCTTCAAATTTAAATAATGTAGAGATAGACAATCTTCCAGATTTTGCACTAAATAGTGTTGAAAAAAGACATATACAATATTTCAATGATTATTGGAACAAAAATCCTGAAAATTCAGATCTCTCTTTGCCTTTTAGTGGTCGTTCAGATAATAGTTTTGCTACTAATTCTTCTCACAGGAACTCCTTGGAACTACCAAAGCTAGTTGTTGATGTCATTGATGGTGAATCAGCTGATGTGCCAGAATCTCTAGGTAAATTATACTTAAAAAATAAAAAAAAAATGCAATTAGAAAATAACTGTTGTAAATAGGTTTTCCCTTTGGTTTACCGATACCTCGGGGAAGTGAGACTAATTCAGCTGCTGATGTCACAGCAAACCATCCTTTACCACAGGGAATACCAAATTCAACAAAGCTTTTGCCAGATTTTGTGAGTGATGCTTCAATTCGTACACGAGGAACACCTTTGTCTGAAAGACCTGATGGCTCTGGCACTGGTTCTATGAACCAATGGGTAGTTCTTTGAATAATAGATTAATACAAGAAACTCTTATTATATATGTTGTTTTTTATATTTTAGTTATCTGTGGAAAATGAAAGGCTACGTAATGAACTACAAATAGCAAGGCGACAAGCAAGTGAACGTGCTATGCGGTAAGCATTTGATGTAGTTTTATAAGACTTTTTTGAATTCTTAATAATTACTTGGTATATTATAGGATAGAAACTTTAGAAGCAGAACTTTTATCAAGAAGACAAGTCAATCATACAGAAAGCATAAATCTTGAAAAAGCAATGGAACAAATAGAAGATAATCTAAAACGAAGTACGGTAAGTTAAAACTTTCTACATTCATAAAATGAATAAAATATTTAAATAAATTGAATTAATTATTAGTTATTTAATATTATTTCAGAAACGGGCAATAAGTGCAGAAACAACAGTAGCAACATTGAAAAAAGAGATAGACTCTTTATCTGTATGTGATTTTGAAATATAAATAAATTTTCTTTCAATTTCTTCTAAAATTTTGAAATTATATTTTTTGTAGATGGAGATTATGATGCTTCGAACTGAAAATAAAGAATTGAGATCAGCAATAGGAGTAGATGGCAACGGTTTCAGGCACACAAATTCTGATAGGAGGATACAAAGGTTGGCTGATGATCTAAGGCTTGCGGCATCGACAGCGGAGGTTTCGTTAAGGTAAAAAAGAGCTAGTAATTTTCGATTTAATATATAAATTTATTTGTAGATTATAGAGTTAACGAATTTTAACAATTTAGTTGTATTAAATCATAAACCATAATAATACAATTTTAATTTTGCAGACAACTAATGTCGGGTGTAAGCAATCTCAGAGTACTTGCATCAGCATTTGAAAATGTAGACAAAATAGAGGATCGTACCAAAGATTTTTTACCAGATTTTGATGAGGATAACGCAGCTGGACCAGCCTTATAAAAATATGGAAAACTCGAGATATATTTTTATTTAATTGGTTCAGATTACTGAAGTCGAGTTCCTACGAAGCTTGAACTTATATATTAATCCTGAGAGGAAATGTATTTAATTTTCCTTGTCAGTGATTTTTTTAACAAAATGTGATTCTGCTTGTAAATTTTTTAATATCGTAAAGGAAATAGTATAACGCATGATCGAGCACGCGGAATATCACAAATAATTGTTTTTTATAATATAAATTGTACAGCTACTCAATTGCATTTACGTATTAAAAACTTTTCGTACATAAGTCCAATAGTATCTCTACAAACTTATTATTTAAGTTTAAGTTAAAACGTCAAACATGTTCAATAAATCAGTTTGCGTCTCCATATGGTTCATTTGTGTCGCGAACCATGAATTAGAATCATTACAACCAGATATACATTTTAAAGCTTTAGTTTGCGTTTCTGTAGAAACAGTTGTTTCATCTAAATGGGTCCATGCTGTCTGAGTCTGTATGTCAGACAATCCAACAATATCAGAAGACAAAATTTCGTCACATGTTTGAGTGTAAGTATTATTAAATTCCATGGTTTCAGTAAAATTTTCCGTGGTCTGTGTCTCGTTATTAGAACTCATTGGATCAGCTTCAAATAAAGATTTACAGTACCCCTTTTCTGTTTGAGTTTCAATGCTGCTATATCTATTGACAAATTCTTCAGTCAACATTGGATCAGATCTAGATATTCCTTGATACTCTGAATGTTGCATGGAAAAGTCCTCAGTATCACCAAATATATTCTTTTCTGGACTAGTTTGAGTTCCAGAGGTACTTTTCTCTTCCCACAAATCTTGTAGAATTATATCATGTCTTAATGAAAGTGGACTATCCGGTAATAAGTACTCCGATGAAAGACTCTGAACTATATTTATATCTTCTTTTGAAATGAAATTTTTGTCTATGGAAATTTTTTTACGCTTTCCAACTTGACGAACTCTTATCACTCGTGGAATTGCTTTTACAGTTTGAGTTTCTGTAGATTTTTTAGTCTGCTTTTCTTTTGGACAATCACTTGTCTGTGTATACCTGCATACATGGCTCTTGGAACTTTTAATTTTAAAAATATCTAATGTATTAATGACTTCAGATTTTTCAGTTTGAACTGCTGTATCGCACATAGGTTTAGGTAAAATAAAAATATTTGAATTTTTACTAGATTGAATAGATTTTGTTGCGATTAAAATCCTTGAAAATTTATGAGGTGTATTATTATTTTCTATAGTAGCTTTTTTGCTCCTACAATGAATAAAAATTAGGGGTAAAATATTTTATGACTAACTTTATAGTAAATTTAGTAAATTTTATTTAGGAATATTTATGACATAATAAAATGCAAATACTCACTTTTTAAATCTATATTTTTCATCTATTTTATGAGAGTTTCTTTTGCCATGTGTGAGTAGTGCTTCAAGGCTATTGAATATTTTTTGGCATTCACAAATGAAGTTTGTACCACACACTCGGATATGAGCTTTTTTTGCGGCATCTGTTGAGAAGCTTTTTGTACAACACGTACATATGAAATTTTTATCCGCATGAACTTTTAAATAATGCTGTAAGCAATAATTATTCCATTATAAAAAAACAATATAGACAAATAAGCTTAACAAAATAAGTAACTTTCCTGTTTAAGATATTTGTAGAGTGTAAAAGATTTCTGCCTATTAGCTGCATAAATGCAGTCATTAACAGGACATTTATATCGTACATTTTCTTTACAAATTTTCTCTAAATGTTTCCTTTTGTGTACTTTCAAATCATGCATTCGAAATCGAGATTCATTGTAGAAAACTAAATTACACTCTTCACATCGTACTTCATTTATTATAACACCAAGATCTTTTGCAGGTGGATATATGTATTTTATAGGTTTTTCACATTTATCATCTGTTGACATACCTAGACAAAATAGCATGGTCATTCAAATTATGTTATATTTTGGCTAAGTACAAATTTCAAAATTACTCCATTTTTGAATAATCACTAGTTTTTAGTTAAATTATTTTCATTCACTTTTATTGCCAACAATTATTTCTCCTATCGTATATCACCACGTCATTTATGGTAATTACCAAAGCCAAAGACGGAGCACGATAGTTTCTGTTAAAACAATTTCAGTAACATAATTATACGCGAGTATTTTTCAAAAAAATTGTTCTTAAAGACAATACTAAATATTTAGGTATGTAATTATTTCGATAAAAGGTATTTTTGTCATCAATATTTCTGTATATTCTAAATCATTTTAGTTATAATATATTATGTTATTTTTCTTTTGTGTTAGGTTAGAATATTGATATTATTCAATAATTATAAATATTTACTTTCTTAACATTTAGATATTTTAAATAATAGTTTCTATAAAAATTGATATATATATAATAACAGTGCAGTCATAAATTATTATACACTTAGTCGCATTTTGGTTTATTTGTAAATTGGTGAATATCACTTTTTAGATATAATTTTAACTCACAGACTTACCAATTTTACTTTAGTTGAATAATATATTTTTTATATTACATATCTAGCGAAGACAATAATGTCACGATTGAATAAAAAAAGATAAATTCATAAATCCAATGTTGTCATATTGTTTAAGATAAACGAACGTCATATAGGTATATAGTTTCTTAATTGTTTTGTTATCAGATCCAAAACAGACAAAATCAAATTTATTTAGCCAAATAAAAATCCCTATGATTTCTAAAGAATATCATTTTTTAAATTTTATTCGGTATTTCTTCACAAACTTCAACTTAATTTATTTCATCGAAATAGAACTGATATCCCATCAATTGTAAAATACTTTATTCGAATTAATATACAATTAAAATTTTTTCAGAGCAATATGCTAGGGAATGATTACTTCATTCTATTAGATTATTACTATAGAGTGACTCGTATGCTCGTATCATTATTGTAATGTACGCTGAGGTTAAGTTATGTTGACTTATGTAAAGGAGTGAGTGTTTAGGTCATAGAGGTTTACAAATACAAACTTCATATATGTAAACTATAGAGATTAGAGACACTAGTACAGATTCATAGAACATACTTGTAGACAAAGTGTATAGATATATAGAGCATATAATTAATATTTAATATTTTCTATATTCTAATAAAAAATAAAACAAGTATAGTTATATATAGTACTTTCTTGTGATGCCTATATTGTAATGTAAAATCAAATAGTGTAAACTGATTCCTGAATTGATCATTTTTAATCGAGGTGTGTCTTCTTACTACTATACCTAGTAATGTTTTCCTATTTTCTATTGACTGTACTACGTGTTATTACTACTAAATTATGATTGTTTTAAAATGTTTAATCTCGCAGGTTAAGTTTTTATTCTATATTGACAGAAAACTTCTGCTGTTTCATCAAATCACATTATTAATTTTTTGGCAAAGAATTTACTTGATTTGACATTTTTCTTTAACAATATACATTTTGTATTTATTTTTGTAAATAAAATCTTTTGATTATTTGTGCATACTAGAAAAATCATCTTCTACAATTATATGTAAAAGTATCTTGGTATTACAGGTATGTACATGTTCTAAACAAAATGGCAGAGATAAAAAAAGAAACTGAAAAAGAAAACGCTAATGAGGTTGAGCCTATCCATACTAGTGAACAGAGAACAGAATATTTTAAGAAACTAGAAGAATGGTTGGTTGAAGCTTATGCATGGCATGCCTTTGTTGCCGCAGTTCCTCATCTTGTTGCCTCTAGTCATATGTTTCCAGGTAAATATTGTGTTATTTTATCCGTTGAGAAAATTGTAATAGTAGTTTTTTTAATCAGGAACCCTTCCAATATTGAATCCTGTTGGTACACCATTAATAAGTGCCAACGTAAGTCCACCGGATCAACAAACAAGTGATGTTGGAGTTCGCCAAAGAAGAGCTAATGAACCTGTAACTAATCAAATGCAAGAACCTGGAGTTACAGGTATATGAGTTGATGAATAAATTCAAGTCATAAACCACTGTCAATTTTAACAAGAAATTGTCTTAATATTAGGTATCACTTATCGAATACCACCTATTTGGAAAAGATTTGTTGCAGAATTCATTGATTCTATGTTATTATTTTTATTAAAATTGTCTATAACTTTTATTGCTGTAGATATATTCGACTTTATGTAAGTAAAATAATAACCTTTAACTTCATAATAAATCTTAATCTGAAAGGAGAATTAATATTTTCAGAGATATTGAGCGTTATTATTTTGACATGTTGCAAACTAACTTAAGGATTGACTATAAAATGGCTCTAGAATTAACATCTGGAATTTTAATTTTGGAGCTGATTCATAGAATATTTGTTTGTGTATTTGAGGTAAGATATAATTAAATTACTATAAGATTACAAATTATGGTGAATCATGCTTAATATTTTAGTTTTATGAGTTTAAATATAACTTTTTGCAGGCTTCTTGGTTACAACACGGAAGAAATGGTAGAATAGGTGGTGCTACACCAGGAAAATCAATAATGCGCTTGAAAGTTGTACAGTGCAAAAACGTTACACCTGTAGGAAGACAAGATGAAGAACTTGTCTTAGTAGTACCTGGAACTGATTTGGGTTTGATGCCAGCTCTAGGACGATCTGTTCTAAAAAATCTTATTCTGGCATTTCTTTTTCCAATCTGTTTTGTTATGTGCTTCTTCAGATTTAATCGAACAGGTTATGATCTAGCTTGTAATTCAATAGTTGTTGAAGATACATATAGGAATGGAAATAATAACATTAATAACAACAACAATAATATCAATAATAATAATATCAACAATGAAAGAGCCCAACAAAACTAAAACTTGTTAGCCAAATACTAGAGTTGGAGTGTACATAAGACATAATTTTGTAATATATATAGATGTGATATGTTCCAGCAGTAATGATGAGTGATACAAAATGTTAAAACATTTTTTTAATTGTGTAATTTAAATATACTTGAAATTTTCTGCATCCCAAGTAATTATTATAATTCATAGTGAATAATACATATTAAAACAGAAAATGAAACAAGTAAAAAGAATCTTTAATTTTACTCTGAAAATTGTGTTAAAAAATGTTATAATTCAAAAAAATATACACATTACGTATTTTTGTATGAAATCTTTTTTTTTCTTGTTACTGTTCTGAAGAAAAAAATTCTCTGTTAAAACTCTACAGCTGTTGGCAATAATTATATTACTCAATACAGCCTGCAATCCCGCGGTAGTTGACAAATGAAAGCAAAATTACCCACGCATTAAAAAATAACAATGTCAAAATATTGAAAATGATATTAAGCAGATAAATGAGCGTGTGACATGACAATTTCATAGAATAAATTTATCGAAAAGCATTAAAATTTTCATTAAATAGGGTATGACTGCATGCATATAAGGCATACATATTTTGGAGAAGTTATAGCGAAACAGCTTAGGCGTTCTCAATTCAAATCTGACGTCACATCCCGGTCAAACGTGGCGCTCTCGCGCGTTTCTTTCTCTCTTTCTATCGCGAGCCAAGACGACATATAGGATAGGCCATAGAGAATGAGAGAGAGTGCGACGGCGACAGCTGCGCAGAGTGAAAGGATGCCAATTGGCGTTGGCGGCGGTAATAAGAGAGCGAGAAACAGATAAGTAGTGTACGTCAGCCTCGCACACGCGCCTGCCCGGGACACGACCCCATCCATACAACAGACCGACCGACGTCGTAGTCGCCGTCGTGGAGTGCGAAGGAGTGGCCCCACAGCCTGCCTATCGCAGCTTTTTTCTCCACCGCGTGAGTCAGTGTACATACGAGGGAGTTGGAGTAGTTGAGCCGACGTGTTAGATTTTCGCTAGCAGCAGCTCCAGACGCCGCTTCGACATGTCGTCGTCAGGCGACTTCGGCAATCCCTTAAGGAAGTTTAAGCTGGTCTTTCTTGGCGAGCAGAGCGGTGAGTTGTGCTTCTATCCGCTGAGGCTATATTGTCCTTAATTGCGTGAGTTAAGATGTGAGAGCGCGAAAAAGCGCGATGCTGAATATCAAGGCTTCGCGCGCCAAATAGGTTATAAATCGATACACTTAACGGGCATGGCCCTGAGCTTTTTCCTTGTTTTATGACTCACGGGGTTACATACTTTTTTGTTGCAGTCGGCAAGACTTCGCTCATCACCCGATTCATGTACGACAGCTTTGACAACACCTATCAGGCAAGTGTTACACTTTGTGTGTGATTATGTCTTTTATTTGCCAAGTTGGCCAATTGTTTGACGAGTAATTTTCGTGTGCAAGTGTTGAAATCGCAATAAAACTTCCTTCTTGGTTTTGCATCTGTTTCAAATCTTGTAATTTTAGAGCTTCGGAGTCTGCTATTAGTAAAAGGCTACAATTCTTTTGAATACATCTTAATTCTTTGAATGATTTTGTATAAATGAGGTAATAATTTTGATAAAACTTATTATATTTTATGGATTTTTCTCAAATCTCAAAAAGTATGTTAAGTCAACCTTATCTCATGTTTAATCTTGTAAAAATATTGATATTTATACCAATGTGCCTTATAAATGGCTAATCATTATTTTATATATTACATTTACATGGAGTTTCAAAAACACATGATTGTTCTAATTGTTTACTTTGTTTACAGGCTACAATAGGAATAGATTTTTTAAGTAAGACTATGTATTTAGAAGATAGAACTGTGAGATTGCAACTTTGGGATACCGCAGGACAAGAACGTTTCCGGTCATTAATACCTAGTTACATTAGGGACTCTACTGTGGCTGTTGTTGTCTATGATATTACTAGTAAGTTATTTTTTTGATAATTCCAATTAACGTGTAAATAGTGATTAAGCATTTTAATAATTTCAATATTCCTGTTACAGATGCAAATTCTTTCCATCAGACATCAAAATGGATTGACGACGTTCGGACGGAAAGGGGTAGCGACGTCATTATAATGCTCGTTGGCAACAAAACAGACCTCAGCGATAAACGTCAAGTTTCGTGTGAAGAAGGCGAACGAAAAGCTAAAGAATTGAACGTTATGTTTATTGAAACAAGTGCTAAAGCTGGTTACAATGTTAAACAGGTAGGTAAGCTTAATTTGCCTTTGTGTTTGATGAATCATCTTGACAAAATACACAAGATTTTGAACATTGTGTTTTGTATTTTAGCTGTTTAGAAGAGTAGCTGCTGCCTTACCTGGCATGGATTCAACTGAAAATAAACCACCAGAAGACAGTATCCTTTTAAAAATTAAAAGCATACTTAATCTGAAATGTTGCATGATATTTTGTGATTCTTCATGTTCCATTTATTTATGTTTTCTTATTTTACATTTATCATTACACTTTGTTAATATCCAGTTTAAGTTAATTTAATTATTATTTTATTTATATTTCTTTATATTTTCCTTAATAATTTTTGTAACACCTCTGTGTTGTGTTTTCTATCGTAGTGCAAGAAGTAGTGCTGAAGGATACACCAATCGAACTGAATTCCTCAGAGAGCAGTTGTGCATGCTAGACCAACACTGGTTGTATGCGTTTACATGCGCGAAACATTCGATTTATATAAAAAAATTTGCTATGACGGACTTACAAGAGAAACTACGTGTTTTAAAACGAATTTATGATATAAATGCACTGATAACCAACATGCTATGTTCAATCGATCCATGATTGATTAATTCACTGATAGCTTTTTGAACATTAAATAAAAAAACTCATCTTTGTTCATTGTGTGTATATTATCGCTGTATCACTGTTACGTTCGTCTGTGGCGGATGTGAATTTTATTCATGATTGATTGATCAAGCAAATTATGTCAATGACCATTTTTTAATTAATAAGATGCAAAAATCAAATATGCGATACTATTTTAGCAATAATAAAAAAAACAGGTGCATTTATTATCGATATTGTTACTTACCTTTTGTAAGTGACTCATTATTGTTGTAGAATTGTCAAGTCACAGATACGAATTTAAAGTGTACACAGTTGACTTTTTTGTTAGAATAATTAATGTCACTAATACAGGCTTGTCAGGGTGACATAAGTAATTTTTATTACAAGAAATATACTGAAAAAACGCGAATCTTATTTAGACTACTATAATGATTTAAAAAAAAGTAAGGATAACTTACGTTATAATATGTATATAACAATCAAAAAATTGGGAAAGACTAAGTTTTCAGTTACTTTAATTAAGTTTATTTATATGATTATCTTTTACATTGTATGGATAAGGATTATCACTTGTAATCTTTTAATTTATGTATTAAAATTCAATTACGCCGGCATGTTTTTATCCATTGGCAATCGATTTATTTTTTTGATACACAATCAGCTATATTATTTTATCCATTTGGATGACTGAATTTATAAAGTTTCTATGCAGTATTTTTTATTTCCGAGTAAAACAGAGTTCGATTTTTATTAAATTTATTTTTTACATTGTAAAGCAAATAGTCAATCAACAAAAAAGAAAAAATAATATAAATTTATCACTCATACAAAAGATCTATGTTTTATTTAAAACATTACGAATATTGCACTTAATTCTAATTGTTTCATTTGTGCAATAAATTTAAAGACGGAAAATTTTGAAAAGGAGTTTTTCCAGAGTGGATCGATATTAGCAAGAGAAAATAGTGTGCTCCGTCCTATTTTTTTTAATCAGAACGTTTATACATACGTTTTAAATAAACAGCCATTCTCCTCTCTGTGCTCGTATCGAATCCACGTAATATAAGATATTTGATAGTTTGCATATAGGTGCAGAACTTTTATTTTTTTAAATAATACTCGTCGATTAAGAGTGGAGTGGGTTGGATTGTTTAGTTATAAAGTAAAACTCGGTCGACTGATGACGCGATAAGAAAATAGAAGATATTTTTCAATGAGACGACTCGCAACAATTAATCTTTATGATTATCAATGTGCAGTATATTTCTAACGTCTCAACGAACTCTGATACAACAGTGTCACGACTCTAATAACTTTCTCGATTCTTTTTAAATAAAATAAAAAAGAAGAGAACAAATTTTTTAAAACGACGTAATTAATAAATTGTCCACGTGTACTTTCAAATGTTCATAAAAAGGTTTTAGGTAACTCACGATTATTTGTAAGTACAATAACAATAGCTAAGTAATTCTGTCAAGAAATTGATTTTAATTTAAAACATAACAATGATGTATAACGTCTGTTGAAATACAGTTACTGTACGATTATATCAATTCGTGAGATAATTTTAACATGACCTAGTGACGATTTTTTACTTTTCATTATAACACTTTGTTTCGTCAAAAAAAAAGTGCTTCCCTTAACACATGTCACAAAAAAGCAGCTGTTGATCTGCAAAACCAGTCGACGATGCAGAACGGAGGTGAATCCGAGGGTGAAGGTGGATGCATTTGCTAGGGTGCTGCTGCTTTGGACGATCGCGCGATTGGAGGCAGTTGAAGAAGGAAAGAACCAACAATTAGCGAACATAATCGCTGGTGGAACAATTATGTGATTTCATGCGGAGGTGAGACTGACTCTCTGGCCTTTTTCTTCTGTCAGATTCGACGGACATCTTTCACTTCGATCTTCAGCCGATCACGTAATAATTAGTGCTTGTATAACGTTTATAAATACATTTTTTTCGCTCTTTGGAACATTGCGAACATTGTATCGTTCGTTCACAAAAACAAAATGATTTGTCATTGTTTTTTAGCCTTCAAAATGACTTAACTAATAGTTAAGTGACAATTTCGTAAAACTTCATTGTATAACAATTGTCATTGCTCTGTTAATGCCTATTATCTCGAATCTATTTGCAACTGCATTCATTAATTGATTTTTAGTCGACCTCCCTAGAAAAAAAATGAGAATCACCAAATAATCCGCTATCACTGTCAAATGTAAGAATCGAAGGCGATGTTTTATAGATACGCGAACCCATCACACGGCGTTTTTGTACGCGACTTGTCAATTTTTCAAAAAGGTGCGTGTTGTGATAAGTTGCATTCCTTGCGTGCACGACTGCGATTGTGCGCAACGCACGTGAAACCAATAATAACTAGCGAGATATGTCGCAATTTTGTCAGGCTACAAAAAGCGAAATGCCTTTCATGGACTTCTCATCGACGTATCATTCAAGCGAATCAATAGCCAATTGACGATACATCTACACAGGCATTCACATAAAAATAGAATTACGGTGTCACATCAAAGATTTACGCTGAAAAAATGTTTCTCTTGATGTATGTATGTGTGTTTGGGCGTGTGTGTGCGCGCGCGCGTGCGCGTGTGTGTGTGTGGGCGAGTAACGGTTTATACCTTACGGTTACATAGCTGTAACAGTACGCGTCTATAGATATATACATAGTACCGCGGATAATCCAATGCTTATAGTGCAATATAAAACTCAACTGTTGCAGACTTCGAATAATGTATTAGCGACGATGAGAATATCCGTGCGTGAGCGTTGTAATTCGTTTGTTTTTCTTCTTGCGATGGGGAATTTTATCGTGCATCGTTGATATATACGTATATTATTTTTTCTGTTTTCTTACATTGCTGCGTCGTCCAATCAATTGATTCTATCGGCAGAAAAAGCAAACACGAACAATGTATTAATTGGTTTTCGATATGGAAAATGAAATTGACTAGAATTAATGTGTCGTTAGACGTAGGATTCTTGGAAATATTGTTAAAGTTTTATTAATAGATGAAATTTCGTCGATTACGATTAGAAAGGTACGGTAATACTATTGCGATAACCAAAATCTTGAATTTGATTAATGAATAATGTCAAAGCGTGACTGTCAAATGAAAATGATTGAAAGTACTATGTAGACAGCCGTACATTTCTATTCGTAATATTTATATCAATTAGACTTAATTTAAATGGAAGAAAAAAATTGAAAAAAAATGATAACAAATGATCTTTTGATGTCGTGTAAAACTTGACGTGTGCCTAAAATCGACAGTTTCTGAGCAAGCGAGGCTGATACGTGTGTAGGCTTGATTTCTTATTGAATATCGCGCACGCTTCGTTTCTTCGACGAAGTATATGTATTAAAGCGAGGGATTGAGCGATAGTTAGTCTTTTCGTATATACCGTGCGAACATTGTAATTTTTTGATACCGAGCGCATGCTAACTCAAAAGGAGCTTGCACTGGGAATAAATCGAACTGAAATAACAGCTATAGAACTTTGAAAAATATACAAACCACCCGATCTTTTCAGGTGTAATTGCGTCGGAAATATCCGACGGAAGACTGTCATTTCAACTGTTTGTTTCGAACGTCAAGCCCAAAAAATTGCAAAAATAAAAGATGCTTAGCGAAGTTTCATACGAATGTAGAGAAGTGCGCCCGCGGAAGCTCGAACGGCCATTTTTATGGTTGGTGCGCGCTTCCTGTGCGCCTCCACTTTTTTTTACACGTAGAGGGGCATAAACGATTTATAACTTCCGACCGTCGTAACTTACTCTGTAGCTTCGTAGTTGACGCATACTCATACGAGAAAGAAAAAAAAATGGAACAAAAGAAAGCAAAAAAAAACACGAATTATCGTCATCGTTGTCACACCGCATAAAACAGTGCGTATACTTGCAATCGCGAACATCTAGAAAGAGGAATTGTTAAAAAAGAAACAAAAGCAATTCTTGATATTGGCTTTTGCATTTTTTGTGCTCGTGCGCTGAACGTTCCATCTCTGCAGGTGTATATCTTTCTTAAAAAAACTCTCAATGTCTTTTGTTTTACTCACCTCCGTTGCACTGACTTACCTCTAATAAATACGAAAAGCTTTAACTGGAATTTAATGTGTTGAGAGTCGTCATAGTAAAAATATTCTGTTTGTTCTGGAATAACTGAGATAAAAAACAAAGTATACCGCCCTTGTGTGCTAAGCTTTTGCGATTTCCTCGTCAATCGTGAAAGTACGTACGTGACAATTACACATTAAGTAGAAAAAAACTGAATTTCATCAAGCCATCACTTACAAAGTGCATTAATGCCAAAAATAAGAGAAAAGAAAATGACCACGTTTAAGAAGAGCAAATAAAAAAGTAAATTGACAATGTGGCAAATGCGCGATCGATGGATTATTGTTAGCAAAATGGAATGCGAAGTGATCTTTATACCGTTGTAGGCGCAATTATTACGTTTGATTGACGAGACTAACGAATTTTTGCAACATTTGTCATATTAACACTGTACGTGCAGGCAAACTACTATCAAATAGCAAATTAATTATACATGAAACAAAGATGGGAGCTTCGTAAAAACAAAGTGGAATAAACCTTTTGAGTCAAAAACAAAAGAAAATGACAAAAAATCAATAAATATAACACATTTTAAAGTTGTTTATTTATTTCTCCAATCCCTTGTCTTATAAGAAACAAAATTTTCTTTTTCAACGTGCACCATGTACCAACGTCATGAATTTCGATTTACATCGATCAACGTTTTGAAGATTTAAAAGGTATACTAACATATATAAAAAATTGATGATATTGTACTGTTTATGCGTTTTTGCAAAAAAGATTACTCTTTTTTTTTTTTGCTTGTTGAAAAAAACTTGTATGGGTATGAGAATGAGATTAAAACGTGTAACGTGTGATGATGTTTTCTTTACAGACATTTAAGAAATATCGGTATTTATAGTAATTGCTTACATATCTTTATTTCGTAATATCAATTATTATATACAAATTTCAATTACGCTTATTACGATGACCTTGCTAAATTTATCTTCCGTCGCATACTTCTTTTTATTTGTATAATTTGTGTGTGTGTGTGTGTGTGTGTGTATGTTTTATTTTCGAACTTTCGCCTCACGACCACCTCGTGCGATCATTTATTTTCTTTACTACGGTAAAAGTTACAATTTCTCGTGTGTATTTTTCTTTACAGAGAGTTTGGAGGCGTCACAAAATTGTCGCCTCTCTCTATTGGCTGATACTTTATGTGCGCTCGATATATCAACTTCTTATCTGTTTTTCTGCGTGGGGTGTTCGTTTCGTCAAGACCAATTGGTGGAGAAACGACTTATCCAACTTCGTATTTTTATTCTCGAGCGTACATATTGTCATTTGAAGTATTATGAAAACGACTGTTGTTACTTTTTATGTATACTTGTATTATTGTACAACGCTTGTGTTTTCAGTACTGAAAAGATATAAAAAATTCTGATGAAAAAACGGCAGTTTACGATCAGTTAATCATTTATGACGACTTGATAGATCTGAAGAAAAACCACGCGTAACAACGACAGTGGGCAAAATTTGAAAGAAAATACAATAGACATTTCTAGGATTTTTATATGGTGGTCAATTATTAGAGCTAAACGAAATGATTGACAAGTAATTTGTACAGCCGTTCACACCATATATCATATAAGACCTTTTTACAGAAAGTAACCGAACCCATATATCACTGTAAACTGTCCGTTCGTACTGCATAATCCTATACAATAAAGTCTTTATTTCATTATCGAGAGAAAGAAAATGCTTTGCAGAGTGATGTAACTTTATACAGAAACAAAGGCTTCAATGATCGCAGTTTCCATAGAGAAAAAGTAAGAGGGCGGGAGAGGGAGGGAGAGAAAGAGAGAGAGAGAGAGAGAGAGAGAGAGAGAGAGAGAGAGAGAGAGAGAGAGAGAAAGAGAGAAAGTAAAGTAGATAGTCAGTGAGAGAGATAGAAGTTGTCAGTTTTTCCACGGTGTTTGTATTGAACAGTCAATTACTGAATTGCGTTGAAGAACGTCCTCGAACTCACTCATACTTTGTGCAAATGAAACGAGGCGCAGACTTCCTATTGACTTTGCTCTTGTCTTGCAGGTATACAGGTATCTGTTATACCTGCGGCACCAATATACAGATACCTGTATACCTGTGCTACTATCAAACGCGTACGTGGCAGTGTGTATACATTTGAACAAATTTCGATGGTATATAGGAGGTTTGTTTTTTTTTATTTAATCTCTCGCTGATTGCCTTGTGTTCTGCTTCTTCTTTATATTTCACTATTACGCGTACAAAAACGAATTGGTAGGTCATTGGGGACACTTCTTTAGTTTATTCATTAATTTATTTATTTTCGCGTATATCGAACTGAATCCAATTAAATAAGAATGGATATTTTCCAGTGCGTAGTTGACGTTGACGATTTTTCGGTTTCGCCGTGAAGCAGGTTCCGTGTTTGCCCGCGTGAAAAATTGTATGAGAAAAAGCGATTTTTTAATAATATACACAATGATATTTATAGCTCTCGCTATATTTTACATGAAAATTACAATGAGATTCCGATTACAATATACGTGTGTCCCGCGTGCATGTTTTGCTATAGAGCTTTAAAAAGATGTCAACGCCACAATTGCGTTTTTTCTTTTTCATTCCGAAAAACAAATGTACAAACCACAGCTTATTTATTTATTTTTTCATTCAATCTCGCTTAGTTAACGATACAATTGTGCATTATATACTTTTTTTTAAATTCCTTTTATACTCCCAATGGTCATTTTTCATTCGTATCCGCGATCGACGAGTCAATCAACGAATCGCGGATCTCTATAATAGTTTTTTCATAGAACAACATCTGAGTCGCATCCACCTTACAATTAAACCCCCTTTGTCGCGACGCAAAAACACGTTAGAAAATCTATTGTATCTACAAACGAAAAGGTTAGGAGGCGCAAGTCATCGGCAAGCGCTGCGCATCAGTGTCGCGCTTGGCGACCACTCGCAAACGACTTTTGAAAAATTGAAAAACAGAAGCGCGAAATGTAGGTAATTCGCAAAAGTTACGGACATCGACCTCGCATCTTTCAAAATGCGCAGAGAGGGGAAAAATTAAAAAAATATAAAAAACTGGAACTCGAATCTTTTGATAGATAACGAGGAACGTCCTGATATTTATATATATAATACTCTAAAACTTAAAGTCGATACAAAGTGACTTCGTGTTACACGCCTCCTTATAGTATCGTCGACAATGGAAAAAAGTTCTGTATATTTACAATCTAACGTCGCACTCTGTACACTTACGGAAAACTAAAACAGAAACTCGAGCGTCCATTTTATTAAATGAATTCGCAAGAGAACGCAGGCTCTTGCAGATCGTCCTCTCAAACTCGCAGCTCTTCCATCGCCATCTGTTGCTGCTGCTGCTGCTGTTGATGATGCTGATGGTGTTTCTTCAATGTGCTACTCGAGCCAACACCCATCTCCACTTGGAGGTGATTCGGGCTGATTATGAGATTCTGACTCTGATGCTGCTTGCCACTGGGTTTGGCATTCTTCGGCGGAGGTGGTGGCATTGGCACGTGACCTCCCGACGGTGGATCGGCGAACACGGGCGGTGGCATATGCTGGATATGGCGGTGGGACTGCGATTGAGATTCCGTACCCTTGCCCTCTGCGCAACAAGATTAGTCAGCTCAGAATTCGGTCTGGCGGATCCAGTATGGCTGGCCAGCTGCTGGCAAAAAATCAGTTTGAGTACTTGGTTTCACAGTTGTCTTAAAATTCAAAATGGCCAATATCGAGCAATTCGTGCGGAGAGATTTGTACCCTGTCGTTCAGCATTCTTTTTCGACTGTTTGTTGGTATATGAGGCATTTTGAATTTTGTCGCAAGTACTCGAAGTGATTTTTTCGAATCGAACGGCTCGCCATTTTGAATTTTAACGTCAAGTTCACAGCGAGCGCGCTTATTCAAATTGACTTTGTTATTTTGAGCTTTGCGTAAACTACTTGAGTATTCGCAACGCCATGCAACCGAACGAGCAGCAACGTGCACCGATAGCTCACGGAAGCTACTTTGATTGCGTTTTCATCATCGACTCGCGATAGATCGCGTGCATCGAGGGCTCGAGTAAAGCCTTTTCGCGACGTTAATTCGGAACGTCTTTGACGTTGTAACGGCGTCACGACGCGCGCCGCGAATCAGCCCTCGGAAATTCCCAACAATAGCCGCCCGCGACTTTATATATCGAGACACATTTGGCTTTGCTCCCATGAGAAATAGCATCGTAGCCAAGTTTCGAAACGTGATAGTAATCTTCAATGCGCGAATCAAAATTTTGCAAGTTATTCACGTGAAAGGGAGGAAAGAGAAAAAAAGAAGACACACGCTGTAACTTTGATAAGGCAGAAAGAAGCAGCGTAGAAGAGCGATGAAAGTCGGTCGCTTATAATAGGCCTGGGACCTTGCCGGTAATAATCTAGCGAGCGGAGCGCAGCGCGGCTAGATAGAGGCGAGGGGGAGGAGGTGGTGGAGGAAAAAAAAGATCAGTCACCTAGTTCGCCACAGATGTTGTTGGGCATCTGACCGTTCTCCTGTCGTTTCTTGGGATAGTGATGCTGACTGTTCTTGTCGCGCTGGTAGTACACTCCGGCGAAGATGAGCACGTTGAGAATAAGCAGACTGCAGCCGATCGCTATCGTCACGCTTAGCGCCGTGCTGTACGCTGCAAAACCGTCCTCCGGCTCCTTCGTCGACTCCTCGTACGTGAGCTCGCTCGGCGTCGCCGTGGTCAGGTTCACCGGACGCTGAGTGGTCGCTTCTATCGTGGTCGCTCTCGTCGTTGTCACCGGTAGCCTCTGGATGAACCGTGGTGGCACCTTTTCTCAGAATTGCTCTTACAGTTTTGAGCGCACGTCAAGGTTGCGTAGTACATTTAATATCTCGTGGCACGAGTGCCTTTGAAGCGAGCAAATAAGATTTGGTAACGACGTGAAACTCGACAAGCTCTAGAATGGCGAGAAGTAGGAGAAAAGCCCGCCGAGTAAAAGACATTCTACTGCGTTATTCACTCGTAATTGCATCCACTCTCGAAACGTAGACATCCATAAATTCCGCCATTCAAAAGCAGTCTCGCTCGCACTCGCGTAAAAAGTGCATTTTCGTTCCGAGCAATTGAACTCGCCCCGGTTGCGAAGCTTTACCCACATTACGCCAACGCAAACACACCAACCTGCTCGGCATCCAAGAGATGATGAGATCTCGGAACGTCGTCGGATCCGGGTTTGTGTAGATCAGGAACAAGGTTCAGCCAGAATGACAATCTGTGCGCCCTGTAGTGGTTTTTTAGCTTCGACTTGGTGTCTGCAAAGGCCCAATACAAGTCGATTAAGCACTGCTCTGCGTCGCGACAAAGCTTGACCGTTACTACTTGGGCGCCGCGCGTAGCAATTAGTCCTTCTCTCTCATTCTCTCATCTTACGCGAAATTGTGAAATTCCGAAATCGTGTCTCACCAGTGGAAATTAACTATATATTTAACAATAAAAAAACAAATTAACTGTATGAATAGGAGCTGCTTCTGCTGCTTCCACGCTTTTTTATACCTGCGCGGATCGTTCATTTAGATAATTATAACGAGCGCAAGCTACTCTCCGTGACCCATTATATCCCCGCCTCTCCCGCTGATTTTATCTATCTTCTCTCTCAGCGTCTTTTAAGCTTTTCTTGTCCGCTTCTTATCTTTACTTTAATAGAGCTGTACGCGTTGCTGTTCGCTGCTTTGGCAAACCTTTCGAAAAATTTTAGCGCCATGATTGTTGCAACCATTTCAGTTGTTTTGCGCTAATCGCGCGCAGTAAGATGCTTGTTCGTGAATGTTACCGTGTCTCGAAATTCCAATAATCTTTTTTAACAGTGGTCGTTCCCGTCTTAATCAAATTGAAATCAGAACAAGCTCAGCCAAATGTAATTTCGCTGACTTATATATCGTTAATCAAATACAAATCAATACGGGCTGGAGCGCGTGAAAGCACGTCAAAGTCTTACCGAGCTCTTAATTAAATCCGTTAAGAGTTCTCGTGTTGCAAGTTTGACGCGTCCAAGTTTGATCGTGAATTGGTGAACTTTGCATCCCGACGTCACGCAGATATAATGCTTTTTTCATGATGTACCGGAAGACGAAGTAAGAAGTTGAGATGTTTCGATGGTTATGTTACGAAGGTGCTTTCTACGAGTTCTTTGTGAACTGAACAGTGGATCGTTACAAACGGTATTTACGCGCTACGTATTGATAGGGATCGATACTCGGTGTAATGCGAATCCGTGTCACGGAATATTTCGCGAGAAGCGGGTTAGAAGTTGTGTTGTAATTGACACGTAAACGCACGGGAGAATTAATCGAAAGCAGAAATATTCTATTATCGGGCTGGGCTTTGGTGTAGAGCGTGCAGTTGGGCTGGCTGTCGCCGATCGATACCGTCATCGAGTTAGTGAGTAGCGGCAACAGCAGCCGCCGGCAACTTGGCTGCTGGCCCCGAGTAAACACATAATAAATGAATTAAACGAGTTTAGGGTATTCCGAGCGGCTTCGTGCTCCACCTATACTTTCCTCTTACTTCTTACTTATTCTTGTTTTTTTTCCGAGAAGCAGCTTCGTCGAAGAAAAATATTTCCCTACCGAGAGAGCCAAGTTTCGATAGAGCAGGGGAGAGGATTCTATGCTGATTAGTTTGAGAGCAAAGTTTCTATACGTGAGCGCTCTCCAAATACTACACAGGCGGCTCTTCGCGTGTCCGTGTAGTATTTGTGTAAGAGAGAATGATTCGGTTGTGAAGTCAGCTATAAACATATCTGGCGCCTCGTTCTCTTGATCATATCAAATATTAGCGCGACGAAGAGTCCAATAAAACTCGCGCCTTTCATATGAAACTCCCTCTTGCCCCGTTCCCCTCTCCCCGAAAAATATTGCCTCCTATGGCGCGCAAGGGAGTTATAACGAGCCAAGTCATTCGCTGGAATATTATCCGCGGCGTTGAATGAACTGATATTTGTGTTTGCCACTTGCAGCAAAATGGACTTATGGCTCTTAAACAATGCCGTTAAATAGCATTTGACGGCAAAAAACTCATTACTTCATGAACGGATCATATAAGTTCGGTTAACTATGGAATTGCTCGTTTCATCACGAGCTATGCTGTGAAAAGCAAGAATGATCAGTATTGATTGTTGTAATTTGCAAGGTAAAGCTCCGCTGAGAAAGCGAACTCGGCGAGATTTCGTTTGGGTTTAAAACAGGGCTGCGATCCCGACTCGATGCGCCAATCAGCTTAGTTTACGTTGGAACCGGAAGATCCCCGGTGCGTTCACGTTCCGCTCAAGGATCGGAAGCAGGAAGCTACTTCAAATTCAAGTGACTGTCGACCGGAAGTAGTGGACTCGGGGCGCCGCTACTCGCCGAAAGAATACTTCTAACGACTGCTTCCAAGGGCCGATCTCTGTCGACAAATTCTCGCCAACTTTCCGCGCGATCCGCTGTGCCCAGCAAATCCATCAAAATTGAAATGGACTAATCAGCCGAAGAGCTCCTCCGAAGACTCCGACGTGACTCTAACAAGATCCACCGAGAACAGGCAGTAACTCGGGACAGCGCGAGCGAAAGAAGAGTCACGATTAGCGAGCGACGGATGCGGAGAAAGAGACCAAAGGAGATTATAAGCGCCTGAGAGCAAAGTCCGAGTGGAGTGTTGGGTGAAAAAGTGAATGCGAGCGAGAGAGATGGTCGATCTGGCTTCCGACATAACTGAAAAGATCCAACTCCTGCACTACAACGGATATTGATTTATTATCGCTTGCAAAGCTCATAACTAATCAAGGCTCTTTTCCCGTTGGTGGTGGTGAATTTGAATTCGGATTATCGATGCATTGCAACGCGAATTTATAATTCAATAGAGCCGCGAAGCATCGAGTTTGAGGGAGAAGGGGCGTTGCCTCATTACGCGCAAACGAATTATCACAGCCTCGATTGTGGCTCGTAATTATCTATTGTGTGTGAACTATTGAGCTCTGTTCCTCTACACTGTGTTAACCTAATTAATTGCAATTAAATTCGGACAGAATTACGTTTACGTTTTTGTTCCTATGCCCTATCGCGATGATAAGCTACAGTTTGGAAAATTTGGTAAGTAAACTTGACATTACAGAAAAAAAGGGAGAACACAGATAGTGACGTGCTGAGCGGGCGTGGTAATGGAACGAAACATGATTATAAATTTTTTTTATTGTCAAGACATAGAGTGTGACGTGTCTTTGCTGCTGGTGTTTTCGTTGTGAATCGTCACTCAAAAACTTGTTATACTGACTACTAAAATAGTAGTACACGAGTAGAGCTGATACGTCTACTATTCTTAAATGTACGGTATATACACGGTAATTTATTACACGTAGAAACAAGTTAATCATACGTATAATACGACCCATCCGTTTTGCGGAAAATTGTCTTCGTGGATTATTATTTTGACATAAGTAAAATATAAACCACAAAGGTATTTCATAGGACAAAGTTGGCGAGCTCATGAGACGAACGAATTAGTTTTCAGGATGAGGTCAAAATTGATCAACCCTTGGCAGTTATTACGTTTATGATAAAGGAATGGTCGCTAATTTCGTTAGTATGGCGTCCTTTTGACCAATAAATTACTAAATTAAATTCGTTTTTTCGAGAAAATGTGAAGCTGCTAGTGAAATTCCATTTATTAATTCAGTAATTTAAGTATCTGGGAACAGAAATTATTTAAAGATTTGTCTTTGAAAATCACACAGCCACAATTTTTCCAATGAGCTATTTCTAGAATGAATCCGTATAAAATTCTTTACACAAAAATAAATATAAATTCTTTTCACGATTACAAATCTGTTTTCACAGTTCATCATCGTCTCGTCATCGAGCTTCATACAATTTATTGAAACTTTGAAATATCTCATGTTTAATATCACAACGTCCGGTCCGCTTATTTTTAAAGATACTAAAATAACTATAGTGGGCGAAAGAGCTTTTTTACATACTGAACCTAACGAAGTTCAATAATTGCCATTCGTAACGTTAGTCTATCTATTTCTGGAATAGCTTTCAATTAAACATCCAAATTAAACTCACCGATGAAGAGATATTTCTTGTGCACAGCTTCGTAAGCCGTCCACTCAAGATTTTTAATTTTGGTCCTTTCGGGCCTGGTGCTGCCGGGCTCTGGCGTTCCCTCGTTTGGATTTCTACAAAACAAGTTGTTGTTTCAACCTCTAGTACAAATTGTTACGTAGGCATTATTTTTACGCTCTTTCTGCTGGTAGCAGCGTCTGCCCGCAGCTATAGTGGACTTTCAAATTAACTCTAGAAATTAACGTTCTTTCCGCACACACTTGCAATTTCTCGGGTCCGTCTGAATTATAAACGAGAGCGTAATTATCGCGGGAGTGTCGAATAAAAAACCAATGAATGAGTGCGGCTAATGACACTAATAGCGTGCTCCTAAGCAGACTTCAAAGGCACACCGGAGAAAGTTTAATTCTGCGAACGTGATGTGCGTTTCGTGCCGGTTAATTGCACGAGGCAACTGCCCGCCGGAAATATTATATCGTCGGGATATCTGACCGTTTTTAACTTATTTTTGAAGTATCGACTATCGCACGCTGCGATTCAATAATGGCCTGTTTCGTCATTCGATTCTTTTTCTGCATGGAAGTTCTTATTATTTCATTGCGGATTTCAAATCAAGTTGGTAAGTGGGCTTTTCTTCTGATTGTACATCCATTTTCCTGTCATCCAGCTTTAATTCCTTTTGCTTTTAGATTTATGGACATAAAGATGTAATTCATGGAATTCAAAGCTCATTTCGTTGACAGCAATCGCGTGACTGTTTCGTGGAGGCCGTCGTCGTATAAAACAAAAAAATATCGAGCGCAAGATCTGCCTTAACATTGTGCTTGCTGAGTTACGAAGTTTCTCATTCAATTTTAAGAATTCCAATAAGTTTTTATTCGTGTTCCACAACTTTTGGCGATCTTTCTGCCACTTTTTAATGACATGAAGGTATTTCGGCAACTTCGATCCTTAAAGCATGCAAACCTACTCAAGCCATTAAGCATTACATTGATCTTGAGAGTCCATAGGACTTTGATCGTTATACTTATTACACTAAAGAAAATTCAATCGATGACTTGGAAATTTTATCACAGAGTTGATTGTTATCACGTGAAAGTTTTCGCTTCGAGGAACAGTTTGCGTTAGCTAGCACTTCTTCCATTGAATAAAAGCGATCAATGCCCGACGCAACAATTAACTTTACACTGGACAACAATCAACTGTTCACCGAGATACGCGCTCTCGGAACTACCTCTCGCGATAAAAAAAAAGGAAAACTGGTCGGATTATCGGATAACTGGTGGAAAGAGAGATTTACTCACCCGGTCCTCGCGAAATTGGCCAGATAGAGTATGACGCTCTCGGACAGGCCAATTTCCGTCCTCGTGTAGTTCTTGGGCCAGTGAGCGAGGCCCGCGATCAGTGGTGCTCCAAAAAAGTACGGTAACTCCTCGCCGTGTATGCATCCCTGACGCTGCGAAAGAAAAAGAAAAATGCCGAGTCTTGTCAAATTGCCGGGAAATAAGTCGCTGATTGATTGGCTATGTGGGAATGGACTACTTTCCAGGACATGCAGCGTGATGGAGGATGGTTGACGACGAGTTACTCGATAAACCAAATGTTTTAACTTGTCAGCCGATTACTTGTGATTTAAAAACCTTTTCACCACTGAATGTTCTTACGTCTTCATGAGTAATTATTGTTGACATCGCGAAATTAAGACTACAATGGTAGTTGAATCCTATGCGGTGTCCTAGTATTGTAAAATTCCCGAAGCTTACAATTCAGAAGCTTACCATTTCGAGATCAGTTTCCGTTAGTGAGGGTCGTTTATTTCAATAATTTCATGCATCGGAATTGTTTTTTTTTCTGCGAGTAGCTATATTCGCCTACGCTTCGCGGTAGTTTTCTTTTGATAAATTCGCGAACGTTTCTTGGCGGGCGCAAGCGCAATGACGAACTTCTATCATTTTGCATGCCCAATCGTTCGAAAATGCAAAGTCAGGCGAAAATATTTAACCGGGCATCGGGAAATATTCCCCGAAATTGAAAAACCCCGCGGGTTGATTGATTATTATAGGAATTTCGAAAAAAAATTCACGCTTGTCGGAGCGCGAAAAATCCGTGCAGTGCAGTTTATTTGCATGCGACGAGAGCGAAAAAAGCTAAGCCGGCTGATCGGTTTGGTTTTAAATCTGCTTCGGTGAAAAACAGAGAGAGAGAAAGAGAGAGAGAGAGAGAGAGAGAGAAAGAAATAATATTTCCATCTAGAATCAATGGATTTTTTGTGTTGTTCGCGTCGTCGATTGAAAGGAGGACGGCCAGAAGCACATAGCTCTTTTTCACACATCGACGCTTTAACGAGGCAGCGGTACAGCCTCGTGTTTCATAGAAGCGAGATTGAAAGTCTCGAGACTGCGCCAATCGGCCGTCAAGACAAAGGGCTATCGTGTTTTCACTACTACACGTTGCCGCTGCCTTGTTACTCGCTTTTCACTCTTGTCGAGATAATGTTCGCTCGGTCATTGACGAATAATCGCGTGGCGACGTGCTTTTCTCCTCCCCGGTTATTAAAAAGTTTTTATGAGTAAGTTTCCCTTTTTGCTTGCTTTTTCTCACTTCTTGTAATGACTACGTTCTAGATCCTTCTTTTTACTCCCTACTCCTTCATTTTTATCGCGGGAAAAGAGAGGGTCCCTCGTCGTTTTCTTCACTCTCGAGGCTACTATACTCTATCGATCTTTTGTTGGAGATAAATTCAATCTACGAAGCTAACAAGATTTTTTCGAAAAGAAAAAACCATAACGTCAATGCAACTCTGCGCGCTCTCTCTCTCTCTCCCCCGCCCCCTCTCTCTCTTTCTCTCTCGTTCTCTCTCTACGTGTGTTTTTCCGATATGGCGGTTGATAGTTTTCTTCTTGTTTTTGAATCATTATTTATTCGAGACAAGCAATGTATATACGATGCTATGCAAAACTTTCGGTGGAGACGAGACTCGACGCGGATTTGTCGTTTCCGCTCGATACTTTGATCTCTCTTTTTTCAATCAAACTGTCGTCGAAGCTATCTCTTCTCCGTTTGATATGTTAAAGGATTTCATTCACGTCGGAACTTGACGTATCTCGCAAATTCATGGTGATCATACACAGGGCAAAATAGCGTGTCTTTGGCGCGATCGTGCCGCCAAATATCTTATTTATCTCCTCGTTCTAAAATTGAGCGCATCGTATTTCGCAATATCCTCGCGCAAGCTGTAACCGCAAAAAGCCGAAAAACGCTCGTTACTGGCTTATTCTCTTCGGCGAGGCCCATTTCGTTTTCTCCCCGTATCTTCGGTATCAGTGGTAAAATTTGAAAAACCTTAGCTGCAGTGTTCGGAATCCCTGGTGCAAGTCGAGAGCGCAACGTCGGCGTAATAGCGCGTACAGTAGCGAGTCCGTGACCGAGTTGCCAGCCAAAAATCTTCCTCCTCAAGATCGCCCGATTCGCGATGGCGGCGAAAAAAAAGAAAACGAAAATTGCGCCTGCGAAAAAGGCAATAAAATACGACACAGTCGGACAGACCAAATGAAACATAGATAAAGACGCGCAGCGAAATGGAGTGGAAGGAATGCGTCGGAACTCGTAACGATCTCCATGATATTTTCACGGCATATGAATCTCTCTGTAATTTTTACGGCGAGAGAGAATACATAAAGAAGCCAAGCAGAGATATAAAGGAGGAAGGGGGATAGTGAATGAAAAACGTTTTAAACAGCGGGTCGCGCGCGCGTCAGAATTGCAAAAATACACAGTTCTACCGGTCGCTCGCGAGTCGAGGAAAAAAGCTAATAAAGCGTAAAAAAGCGTCGTAGAGAGAGAGAGAGAGAGAGAGAGAGAGAGCGGGAAAGTCGAGTGCCTTTATTGAAAAAGCTATTTAATGCTCTTTCATTTCGCTTCCTGCTTATTCGCATGCAAAGCAAAGCGCACGGGGCGTGACTTTTGCACTCTCTCTCTCTCTCTCTTTGTTTAGTTAGCATTTTGAAAAATCGAGGATAAACACAAATTCCATCGGCGATGAAGAGAGGAATAAGAGGTGAACGGAAAAAGGAAAGCTAGAATGATTCGCTTGGCAAATTGTAACAATGGGAAATGGTAACTGGACGAGAGAGAGAGAGAGAGAGAGAGAGAGAGAGAGAGAGCGAGAGAGAGAGAAAGAGAAAGAAGAGGAGTTTTTTCTAGCTACGTGCAAGAGGTAATTGTCGAGGGAGAGTTCACCCTCAATTACTAGTCGGCATTTTCAGAAAGCAAATACTTCGAAGCTACAGTTTTTTGTGATACCGTAGCAAGCGTGTTTCTGTATTTTGCATTGTTTGTTGGAGTTGTCAGATTTTTTGTCGGAAAAGTCGTTGCCTTGCCAAGTTACTAAATGGGCGTATAGTCATTCTGTAACCGTCAATATAATTGATTTAAATCTTGCAATGAAAGCTCCAATGTCAGTCGTAGCGCAAAAAATTACGGCAAAGAGCTACTCTATGGTGCCTTTTTTCCCCAAAAAACAACGGGAGAGACCAGCGAGGCCTCATATCGCGTTTGAAAAAGAGATCCGAACCGAATTCCCAACCTCATTGGCTTTATTTCCATATTTTGTTCCGATGCGCGCACAAAGCTCTGATAGCTTCACGAATTAGAATTCTCTGCGAGGCGGAAAACACAAATTTGCTTGGGTGTAAAAGCATAAGAAAATATCTGCTACGCAAAAAAAGTAGGAAGAAAGTAGAAATAGAGCAATAGGGTGTTTAGATAACGGAGATTCAGTCGGACAGTGCGCCGATATGATGATTGTACTTTTAGCTAATTCATCTATCATACTTTTTTTCTTCCTGCTTGTTTCGTCTCGCATAGTAGCTATACGTGAATGGATTGTTCGAGGGAAACCACGTGTCCCCCTGAGAAGGTAAAGATGATAAGGTTTTATCCGTTAAGAGGACGAAAAACTTACGATCCCAAGTAAGTATGAATAGTTGGGAATTCAATTTTCGAATGACAAAATGCTGTAACGGTAATAAGAAATTCCTTAGTTCGCTTACTTCTGTCACGCATTTAAATGATACATAAAAAAGAAAAGCTGGCAAGTAGAGCTCGCCGTCGAGCATTATCTTGTGCAGACAAAAACAACTTGCGCAGCGCAAAGTCCGCAGGAAATTAATCGCGCTCGGCCGCAATTAAAGCGAGAGGGGCACAGCGCTTACACGATTGCGCGCATAATTTTTTCCCCCGTAGCGGCACTCGCCGGCCGCGAGCGGCCGTTGAACCGCGTCGTCGATCGATGAATCTAAATTTACAGCCTTGCGATGTGCCGCTGCCGCTGCCGAAGTATCAAATGTTGCAGGTATGTAACCCCCTTGTCTTCTGGCCCGCAAGCTAAGAATACGCTTCTTTGACTTGAAATTTCACACGGGGATGAGTGCTGCTGCAGCGACGGATAAATTTTTTTTCGCTTGTGAACTGAGCTTGTGAAAGCTTGACGCCTGACAGCTCCGCTGCAACTTTGATCGAATATCCGAGTGAGGGAGAGAGAAAGAGAACGCGACGGAGCTTGTGTTTCAATTAAAACTCGTTCGAATTGAGGGGAGAGAGACGTTCACCTAGTTTCCTTTAATTGAAGAGCTCTAAACGAACGTTTCTCATAAATAGCTATTGATTCCTTATCGGTTTTCGAAAGTTGATGATTTGTTAAGCAAATTGCCTGTTGGAAGAGACGCAAACAACTGTCAATAAGGAGGCTACAGATTCGACGTTGAAAAAGTCTGAGAAACTGACGTGTTTATTCCTTTATAGACGGCGGTCAATTAAAAAAAATCAATCTAGCACACGAATGCGATGTTGTTGTAAAGGATAAGAAAAGGCTCATAACCGCAGGTCGTCCAAAGTTGTCTAGCAGTAGAGCAGGCTTTCAGAGGGTCGAAAGTCCATCGAGTTTCGTTCGGAAGTCCATGGAAGCCAGGACTGGTAACGGACTTTGAAAGTCGTCGTTCGCTTGACAGGCTAATCGGCTTAGGATACTCGTTCTTACCTGCGGATAGTCGCCGAATTTAGTCTGGTAGTCGAAGACGTAGAGGTAGGAGTTGCGGTGAGACTGGCTGTGGAGGTCAGCCGTGCGGGTCGCCGGCGCGACGGTGTTCGCGTCACCCAATGCCTCCAGCGTCTCGTCCCTGTGGACATGCACAAAAACGATTCACAGACCGAACTGACAGTTCGATTTGCTTGCCGAGAAATAGGAAGAGCCAGCCACTCGATTGCGCTTACGAGTTCTCTTTCTCTCTCCTGTCTCTCTTGGCTTTTTTAATCCCCCACATCCCGCCCTCCGCTCTACTGTTTTCACTAAGGTTTTAATTGGCAAAAGTGCCGTCGACATATTTGCCTCCTTTTTTAATGAACCACTGGACGAGAGAGAGAGAGAGAGAGAGAGAGAGAGAGAGAGAGAGAGAGAGAGAGAGAGAGAGAGAGCTGCCGCGTGCACACGGAAGCCGCATCGATCGCGCCAATCGCACGAACTTTGTAATCTCGGCTGTTTGCCCCTAATTGGCCTGACTTATGCTCGTTATAGCCAGATTATTGCACTCAGAGATCGTTTGATCTGATTCTCTCTGGCACATGATCTCAGCTTGTGAAAGAATTGCAAGTGGACTGGTTTGGCTCGCAAGGCACGATCACGAGCTCCCTCTCGTCGAACGCTCGATCGATAGAGGAAAAGACGCGTCGTTATTTTCGGCAAGTACCAAACTTTTGCAAGCGCAACGATAGGATAAGCGTGATAAAAATATTGTGTATTTTTGGCTTAACGAGGAGCCAGGTGATCAAAGCTTGGCAGTGTGCGGCTGGCCGCAAAGAGGCCGACTGGGGTCGATACTCATCGACCGCACCGGTTATCATCGCACTGCGCACGCGGCTTCAAATAAATATTCGCGCGCGACGCTTATGGAGAGAAGGCGTACCTGATGTTGACGGGATGCTGCACGGGCTTCTCCCAGTCCGTGTACTCGTTGATAATGGTGGCGAGGATCTCCGGCTGGTGGTAGGTGTAAGTGTTGCGTACGAACTCCCGCAGGATCTTCATTCGTCGGTCCGCCTCGATGCCGTACTGCGCGTCGTCCGCGGTTAGCGAGAAGTACGCCTCTGAGCGCACTACGCCCACCATCAGGTCGTACCTGTAAACGCCGATGCTTCTCTGTAGCTGTATACTCATGCAACTCCCTCATTCCACATTTGCGCTGCTGCTTTTCTCCCACGTCTCCCACGTAGCCACCGGCGGCCTGTTAATCTTTATCGCACCTTGGCGATCAGCGATGCTAGCTGCCGCTACCAAACATTTGCCGCGCTCTACCTTTACACCTCGTAATTAATTTTCAATTCTCAGCTTTGCTATTCAAACTTTCACTCTTTTAGATTTCTAGTTATGCTGGCAGTTCTACGATAGACGATGTTATACGATGTACCGTAGTGCGCGCGGATAGTCACGCGTCAAAGAGTCTACTTTTCGCGTAAATAATTTTTTTTACTGTTCAAAGGGGAAGAAAAACGAGGAGAAAGTATGTTTCATCATGATCAAAATATTCTAAAAGCGTGTGATAAATTGAATTTCACGTGGGCAACATTAGAGGGTAGTAGAGAGTAATGGTCATACGAAAGATACGGTTATGGCTTCTAATGTACACTAAGTACTGGCTCACGTATACACAGGCTTATACATGTTATGCTCTTGGACGTATTTTGAGAAATTGAGTGCCGAAATTCCCCTGTCGTCTGCTCTAAAAGTGTAATATTCTATGTTTTTACATCACGGCGTGAAAAATTATGTATGAAAAATAAGGATAACCTTTGTCAAATGCCGAGACGACCCTTGCTTCCAAAGGTCTATCCATGGAAAATGGAAATTTCTTTTTCTATTTCTATTTCTAAATACAGATTGATTAGAATTTTTGGTTATTTTTATCGTCGTTTAATCGTAAAATAACTAAGTATCTCCCTGAAAGCTTTAATTTCGCGCAATAACGCTTGTATTAAGTAATCAATCAATTTTTGCTAATATTTGAGTTTACCAGTGTGTGGATATAGACGGAGCGATAATTAAACAAAAGTAAAATGCTTTCGGCGCTTCTGGATTGAATGTCTAACAATGCTGGATGTAAATTTGATGACGCGCAATGAAATAATAATCGGAATAGCGGGAACTGATTTCGACACTAGACCTTTATATTGCCCTCACCATCAAAAAGTACTTGGCAAATTATATGTCAATGAGTGTGTCACTGCTACCGGAGAGCGGGTGCGCGCAATCGAAATGACTGATGCGCAATATTCCTTGCGAAGCCCAATATCATCGACGTATCGATGACACGAAAAACGAGTAATGGATCCGCCGGCTCATTATTAATGCATGAGCCCGGGGGTCATTGGCAGTATGTTTCACCTCGAAACTAAATGAAATCATGCCGCCAGAAATTGGCTGTCGTAGCCTCGAGTGTGCAACTTTCGAGCGTTACTTTCTTTTTTGCTGTCCGTATTTTGCACCAAGATTAAACTAAAAAAGTAATAATCAATTTGTCTGATTGCGAGAGCACACACGCGAAAGTACAAATCCACGGACAGACGATAATGATAAACGTTTATTTGTTCACCTACATTTTGTTTATTTATTTTTTTTTCTTTTCGACGCGGGGCGCTCTCACTTCTTCCTCACGGAGTAGCGCGTATTTTTTTCCGCGCCGCACTCCGAGCGAAATGAGCTTTTGGCGCGGTAATTAAAGAGAAACCAGCGTTTCGGACTACAAAGCAGACTGTATTTTCATTTTCATTTTCCGTTTTTTCGTTTTCGGCAATTTCGTCGGCGCCAAACTTTATGGCACATCGATGTATTTGATTGCACAATGCTCGACACAGGCAAAGCTGCGACTATCTGCTTGAATAATTAAAGCAGCAGTAATGCGTTATTCAGCGACCTTCGCGAGATTTGACAAAGCGTATACATTTTCAATAATTCTAGCGAACATTGCGATTGTTTCCCATGTAATGTTTTATTCATTCGCGCACCCTTGGCGCAATTATCACGCTTTTCACTGTAATGAATTCATATACTCAGCGCAGCGTTTCTGCCACTGGGGCTGCCTGCGAGCAAAAAACTGGCCCGAGTCTAATTAAACTTAATCTCGTGATCATAAGCCTATTACTTGGATGGAGGGAGAGGGAATGAAAATTTTGTTTGAATAATTAAAAAATTCCGTAGTTTTGGTCGCGGTAGGCACATAATCACGTTTCCTTCGCGTATTTTTCTCCCACTGGCACTCGTTTCTTTTATTTTGGCAGGGCGTGCTAGCAGTCATTGAAACTTGCGAAAACATCAAAGCGTTCGTGCGTTGGCTGATTCGCTGCGAAAGCGAAATTCGCGCGGCGCTTAATTTTCGCCCTTTTGCATGCGCCTATCTCGTCGGTACCGTTTTCCTGTTTTCCATTTTTTTTCGTCGCTGCCGCGTGCGTCCGCGGAATTTCACTCTCTTTTTTCCTCTCTCCCCGCGTGGACGGAAGAGAAAAAGAGTGAGCGATGTGATTTCATTTCGCTCGCGCTCTCGCGAGCTTTCCGCGAAGTTTTCTAATTTCGCGTCCTCTGCCGCCTAATAAAATTTAACCTCGTTCTCTCTTTCTCTTTCACTCTCTTTTTCGGACGCACGGCCACGTTTTCCGCGACTTTTTTATTTATCCCAGTCGAAAAGCTCGACCGTTCGCTTAATCTTGCAAATCCGTGACTTGCGAGGATAACTCTCTCCCTCGCTTTTTTTTTGTTTGTTGCGCCTCGTAATTCACGCTCCACGGGATTCGTGCTTTACAACTCGCGACAAGAAGTTGCGCGCGCACATCTTTTTTTTATTTTAATGGATTGGAAAAAATAGTGTATTCCGACTTGGCGCGCGGCCGTGGAAGCTCGCAGCAAATGTTCAGCACCGCAAAGCTGAAAATCGATTGTTACGCATAAGATAAACAATCGCGCGGATATCAATTATACGCGCGGAATGCATATATCGTCAAAATTATTTTTACGCTGTTGCTCGCTGGGTTATCAGCTGACAGTTTATTTGCGAAAATTCAAATGGCGATCGGCTGCGTAAAAGTGAATGGATGGGCGTACATACGCCGCATAGCAATATTAATTCCGGAATTATTGATCGACTACTTTGAATAGCTGTTAACACGTGCGCGCCCGCTCGTTTTATACGCATACTCTCCACATTTAAACTTCCTAGTTTGATGCCCTTAAATTTAAAAGTATATATCCAGTAAGCGCTGCGCGATAGGCATCGCGCGGAATAATATATTAAGCCAAAATCAGGCGCGTTAAAGAATCAACGAGCCGGGAATTGACATTTATGGCTATTTTAGTGTTCCGGCTGTTGTCATACAAGCGTCATTGAAACTTTGAAAGCCCGTTGATTATGAGAATCAAGTACGTAATTGAAAAGTTCGATGGTCTTGGTAGACAATCGAGCCAACTTCCGGCAATTAACGCGTCGAAGCAAACTTAGTTAGGAGCAGCATACCTCGATAGTTTAGCAACAACGTCTTTCCTGAGCAGTATGTTGTTGAGCGTGTTGATAGTGTCGACCTGGAGGGTGTAGTCTTGATCGTCAGGTTCTCCGGGATCGATGACAACGCCGTCGATGCTGGGTCCAAACGCAGGAGCAAACTCAAGGCCGTGTACCGGCACCGCCAGCAGCGCGTTAAGCGGCACCTCCCTTAGGCAGCTAAGCAAGTCGCCTGCCATCTGCGATATACGCCAACCAGCGAGATAACCCAAAGTGAGAACCGTTAATTGGGCCAGAGATACAGAGAGAGGCTTGCCAAAGTTTCAAGATCCTATTGCTACTGCTTCGCGTTTGAGTTTCTCCAAAGTTGTTGCTGTTTACGGGACTTGCTTCCGTTTATTCATGCTACGACGAGCATATATTTGCGATTTGGTGTCGGTAACCCCCCTCTCTCTCTCTCTCTCTCTCTCTCTCACACCCTCTTACGATATAAGGCATCATTTTGTCAAAGTGTCTAGCATCAAATTATCAAATTATCAAATGGGAAGCTCCCTTTCTATTCACGCGGAGAATATCTGACGGCATGTAGTTGACTCGTGAACTTGTCTGCTTGAATTTGCTTGAAATCTGAAGGCCGTAACGTATTTGCGAACAACCTCAGCCGTAAAAATATCATAAAAGAGCAATCTTTGAGTTAATTTTTGCGAGAGAGAATTAATGAGTTGAAAATGCAAATACGCGACTTTAAAGAGCCCAAATATAGAAAAAAAAAAATGAGAAAGAAAAACATGCGGCGTAAAAAGCACTGCAGTTGCGGCGGATAAAACTCAGCCAAATGTCAAACGACGCGAGCGTGCGAGAGCGTTAATTTTCCGGAGACTCTCCGCACGCATATGCTGACAACGCGCGCCAGAAATACGGCCAATTTGGCAGCCACGACTTTCCGACTACATATTCACGGGGAGAGGAAAAGGTGGAAGAAACGAGCAGCAATTAAAAATAATCTATTCAGAATTAAGACGTGCGAGTCGCAAGGAAATAAAGAACCTCGAGCGCATTCGGAGTGTACAATGAAGAAGTTGAATGAGAAGGGGGAGGGGCGAATGAGAGGGGGAAGGCGGAGAGCGGGAGAGAAAGAAAGAAAGGAAAGTAGAGAGGTTAAAGTAGAAGGACCATTACTTACCGAACAATTGAGATTCTTGGCGACTTGAGTCGCGTAATTGGCGGCGCCCCTTATCAAGGCCCAGGGCGAGAGCGCGCTACCCGACATCAGCACACCGCGATGGAACAGCAGACCTGCAATACCAGCAAACGCGAAATTATGGATGCGCACCTTGTGATTGTACTCCGTTGAAGGCCTGACCGTCTACTCTTCATTTTTTGTCGAGTCCGCTCCCTTCCGCGCATTATTGTCGTGTTCGTACGACTTAAGCGACGCTCCAAAGGAATGTCTTCCTTGCATAAATGAGCTTGCATTCAGCCAGAGACTTTTGCGAGGGAATTCCTCGTTGATTGTCGAGGCACTCGAGTCAGCGACATGTAATGAAATTCCACGAAGTACACGGGCACTCAGGAAATCCCATTTTTCTGCGTTAAACTCAATAAAGCGAAGCGTAAGCCAACTAATTGTAAGACGAACGCACAGGTGCTAGAGAGATTTTGAATCAGTTGCGGTGGCTCAACGTCCAACGCGAGCCAGCTTGTATTTACGATCGACAGCTGCACTTGCTCTTAATCCGCGTGTATCGCGCTCGCAAAAGTGCGTCGTCCGAATTAAACGACTTGGCTTCGGCGCGCAATTACACGAGAGCTTAAGACCGTGCGGCGCATGATGCCACGGCTACGCGCGACATGATACTGAACCGATTACCGCGAGAGCCTCAACGCAGCCCCTTGTCTTGCTCGCGTCTCATTATCTCGGATGGTTTGCCACTTTCCTCTCTGTGAAGCCCCGGCTTCGCACTTATACGCCTCGCTTCCACGTGTAGTACGCTCGCTACTGCCATGAGCTTTTGACAGAGATTTTGTTGAGCTTCTGCGGGTTAATTCTCATGTCGAACAGGAATTTCCAGTACGGTGAAATTTCTTAATAACGATCTTAATGTTTCAGAGTAATGACAGACATCCAACAGCAAACGCGAATACTCTTGCTCAAGAATTTTGTAATTTTTCTACATTACCGTTTATTTTGGAAATTTAATTATGCATCAGGTGATTTCTAGCGATTCCTTAAAAATCTTTAGAACTAGCAAGTTCGAGAGTATTTTCATGAAAATAGAAGTTTCTTGTTGCAAGTTAGATACAATAAGTACGCGCTTAATTATATCTCATAAATGGATACGAAAGTTTTCTTAAATTAAAATTACATCTCATTTAGAAAGTTTGGACTCGAGAGCAGATGCACGCTCGAGTAAAAGCCTTTCCAATAAAACTTTTTTATATTTCCGGACGAATATATTTTTTTTTGCTCGCTCAAAAATATAAACTTGTCCTAAGCGCGCTTTGAGAACTTGCGAGCTAAGCTCGGAACAATATTATATCAAATTGTCCACGAAAGTAATTCGGGCAAAAGTTTGGACAACTACGGTATCTGGCAGTAACGACGACGACGACGCCGAAGCCGGCTCCCATCGCAAAACGGCGTTGTCTGTTATCGTGGCCGATGGTGGGCTAGCCGAATGAAAAATTCTAGAGGCGGCAAGCATCACCCTCGCTCACGCGCTGAGCCTAATAAAATTGGATCGCCAGTCCAGACGCGTGCGAGAGAATCGCGTCCGGTTTCGTTACAGTTGCGATCGGCCGAGGGCTTGCTTGCTTTTCGATTTTACGAGACAGTACGCGTTATATGTCGCCGACCACCACTGCGATATCCACCGGCGCCGATGCGGCCGCGGACTTTACGCGCTCACCCCCTTTTTTACACGGCTGATTTACGGATACCCGTAAAAAAAGATAAATAAAACTTTTCAGCCTCCATCCATATGATAGGTTCTGGACTTTTATGAAGTGCCCCTCACTCGTTCTATCCTTCTCTTCTATCTGCGTGTCTCATTTTGCTCCCCGGTAAAAGTTTTATGTCGCGATTGGCGTGCGTTGTCGTGAGCAACGAGCGATTTAATGGAAATCAATGAGGTAAGAATATTTGAGCTTCGTTGGATCGTAGATATATGTCATTTGGATTGACTTTGAAATTGATAATGCTGAAAGTCTGTCGATCAAAGATTCACGATGAATATTATATGAAATTTATCTCGTGAGCATTTTTCACGAGAGCAACGTGGCTTTTTAAGATTGCTAAATTAAAATTATTCAGTAAATAGCTACTATAAATCACATGACACAATAGACGCAATGAAAGCAACAAATGAAGAAGCTATGGATATTCGTATAAAGTTTTTGAGAGTGGACGAGTCTAGCGAGTCACCCAATAAAAGTCTGACAGTGATCTCGAAAGTAAGGAATAGATAGAAATTGATTTATTAATTTTTCTGAGAACTTACTGCTTAACACTGTGTAGGTACATACCATACGCTCGTCTAGGCTACAGTGACTCAGCAATACAAAATCAAAATTTCAGCATAATAGTAAAATACAGTAAATTGGAAAATAGACTCTTTCTCTCTCTCTCTCTCACAATTTTGCATTTGCATTTATGTATAGATTGAAGAACGATTTTACAGTAATCTAATCTGTCGTACAGGAATGAGACTTTTCAAATATAAGTCCTTACAGACTAACAATCTTTTATACTAAAGATCTTACAGATAGTAAGAACTACAAGATCAAGACGCATACTCAAGCTAACACAATATATAAATTGAACTTAAATCTAAAATAATCAGCAGTGAAAGGCTGGTGAAGAGACAACAGTAAAAAGCTGCGAGGGATTAAAACCACGACTTTAAGTGCCGTCCAAAGACTGACTCATAACTATAAGGAAGGTCATATGTCAGATAACGTTCTGCTACTAAGACGTAGACAGCTTAGCTGTATTAAGAAAGACACAGATATTGAAGTAACGGCAGACTCTCGGAAAGAGATCCAAGGCTTATAGATTTGTTAGACTCGCAATTAGAAATTGTCCTCAAGTAATAGTACCTCTAGAAGCAGAAAAAGAAGAAGTAGCCGTCATTTACATTCCCCAATTTTCTTATTGAAGAATTCAGTCCTACTGAATTTGTTCAGCATGTCCATTGTGCGAATGGAAAACGAGCGTTTTCTTGCTTCCTTGCGAGAAGCAGAGAAATGAAAAGCCATGCGTAGGTTTCTAATGGATTTACGCTTGATGGTTGATTCATCAATCGAGAAGAAGGATATGATTCGTGAAGTAAGAAGGAACGTCGTTGCAGGTGAAAAGAGAAACGTGAGAGATAGGTTTCATATAGCACCCAAGACAGGCTATTTCAGCTTTAGTTTGTGATAGGTTACATGAGAAGTGATATCACTAGTAGGGATTAAGGGGATAAAGCCAGTTACAAAGGGCACACAGGCATTCTGAGTAACCTGAAGCTCAGCCGCACGCGTCTTATCGAGGTCCATGAATGCCGTAGATGTATAAGAGAAATAGGGAGAATAGCGGGAAAACTAGGGTCTCGACCAAGTTCTTCTTAAGTTTAAGATAGATATTGACATTCTGTGAAATTTCAGAGAATGAAGTGAGCCATAAATTCTCCTAATGACACCCATTATAATATATGATACTTCTATTGAATAGAAGATGAGAGAGTAATTCCATGACTCTTAACAGTATTAGAGTATGGCAAAGGAGTGCTATCAATGATAATTTGAGAAAGCCCCGAGAAATCTGAAAAAGGTAGATATCGTATATTATCAAATGGCCAATATGGTCACTTTTTTTGTCTTAAAGTTGAGATAAAGTCTGTTTTGACCCGCCCAGTCAGCATTAACTTATCTAATACGCTGTATCTTTTGAATCAATGTTAGTTGGCGTGCAGTGTAGGTAGATCTGGGCGTCATCTGCGAAGATCATATGATTGACAAACTGTAAGGCACTAGGGAAGTCATTTATGAAGACCACAAACAAAATTACACCTCTCATTTCAAGCCTAGACTATCCAATGGTACACCAGATACAGCTCGGAGCTATTGTGACATCCCCTCACACTCATCAATAACAGACTGAATGCGATCAGAAAGGTAGCGAAAAAACTATCTCAAAAAAAAAATGCGGAGTCAGCCATGTTGAGACCACACAGTTTCCTGATAAGTAAGTCGTAAGATAGGCAGTCGGATGCTTTGGAGAAGTCAAAGAGGAAAAATAAAGGCATATCTGACGTCGTCGAGCAAGTCCAGAAGAACGGTCTCAGTGGAATGTTCTTTGCGGAAACCTACCTGCCTAGGGTCAAGTAGTTTATTCCTGTCGATATAACTTGACAGTTGTCTATGAACAAGGTACTTGAGGAATCAGGATCTTATAGAATTGGACAATTGGCCTAGTGTCAGACTCGGAGATTTAACCTTTAAAAGAGATCTCAGAAAAGTGCGCTTCCGAAAGCTTGAAAAAGAAGCACTATCGATTAATCTGGTAAGAAGACTTATGAGGTAGAGTAGTATTGTTAGCTAACATTGAGATCGCGTGTGTATGTAAGAGACAGAGAGCGGGAAGAGTATTCAAATAACACCTCAATTATACTTGGCTAGAGCTCTGATACCGCAGCGTTAGCCATTTCACGAAACGACGTTTATCCATACACATACACGCGCTACACGTGTAGACACATGAAAAACTCGAAACTTCACTCGCGTATTTCATTGATGCGGTACTGCAAAATTGGCTGCCCTCTGCAGTTGCCTCCACTCCACTTTCCTCATCGATCGCGTCCTATTATACGTATATGCTATTTGTCTGGTTACGTGCCAGTCATTGCACTTTTTGCTTTTGCTATGATGATAATGATGATGATGATGATCATTATGATGGCATTGATGAACTTACTACCGTTTAGCGTCTCATTGTTACGTAATTTTAGTTTTAACAATTTTTATTGTAGTATATTTGCTATGAATTAGTTTCCATGGCAATCGGCTTTCGAGTTTTCGTGATAAAAACCAAAATTAACGTTACACATTGTCGCCAATTATTCATCAATGATTCATTTCCTTATTCATTTGAAATGAATTTCATTCTTTTCAAAACGTACAATTTTATTTTAATTAAAAAATTATTAAAAATTAAACTTAAATCTTTTATTTAATTTATTTTGAAAATTTCTTTGCGTATTTACTTCCACATGAAAATTATTTCAAGCTTTGTAAGTGATGGTAAGCTTTGTATATGAATTTTTCATTTACATCTACATAAAATTTTGTCCTATAAAATAAAAAATAAAAATGTAATAAGTATAGAGGAATTTTCCATTCTGATTTCATTCGTTAATATAAAATATCGTTTCAACAAAGTTATAATTTGTGAATGTAATCTTGGTATTATTTTTCAAACAAAATGTAACTCTTTTACGACATTAAGATTAGTTTCATTATAATAGTTCACAGAATTTCTCACGGATATTTTAATTAGAAATTTCTTCATAATAGACGAAAATTCGCATATTGCATGCCATCAAATTCACGAGACCACGTAATAATTTGTGCCTCGCGCGCGTTCACATGGGTCGCGCGAGCTGCGTCGTCATCTCAAAGGCATGCTGGTGGCATATACCAGCGCTCGTTTACGAAAATCGATGAGAAGGGGGAGAAGGTCGTCGTTTTTGGTGCGAGCGCGTTGTAATTTTGTAAGTGACGTTAACTACCTGCTTGACTAACTGAATTCTTACCTGCTGTTAACTTGAAAAATCTGGAAATTTTGAACGTTCTTGCTCACTCGAGTAATGTTTCTTTATATATTCTGTGTAAAGTCTATTGTTTCCTTACAAAAGTCAAACGCGAGAGCATTTTGCAACAAATTCTTATAAGCCTAGATTGGAATATTCATGTCCATATTTTAGAAGGAAAGTTATTTTCCAACAAGAGCCATCTGAGAGTTTGAGAAAAAAAGCGAAGAGCAAGTTGAGAAAGGATGCATTAAAGACGTATAAAATGGTCTTACAAATACTTAGAAAGCTAAAAGCTGTTGGACTGATTGAAAACTTTACTGCAAAGTGATTTTCCAGTAGAAAGCGCGGAAGTAGTACAACAGTGGACTACTACCGGTACAGTAGTAAAAGAAAGTGTATGAAAGTGCTCACCATCGGGCACAGCGCGACTGGTCATGAGAAAGTTGACACAGGCGGCGCCAGTGCCGTGGCCCACGAGGGTCACGTTCTTGGGGTCGCCACCGAAGAAGGCGATGTTCTCTTGGACCCAATGCAACGCGGCGATTTGGTCCATCAGGCCGTAATTTGCCGGAGAGCGTAAGTGCGCGTCCGTGTTGACGTTCAGGAAACCTGTAATCAAAGCAGACTTCGATTAGTGATCCACTTTTCCACAGGATTTGCTTCATTGCCCGTGTGCTGTCTCTCTCTCCTCTCTCTCTCTCTCTCTCTCCGTCTCTGTCTCGCGCGCGCGCGCGCGTGCGCGATAAGCTCTCGCAGCAGAGTGCTTTGCTCTGTTTTCACGGGTAATCGCTTGTTTAGTATATTTTTACTCTGAGCACACGTTATCTTTCCTCCTCCCCCCACTTTGTTGAGCATGCATCCAAAGCCCAAGTTTTATCGGTAGCTGCATAAAATTTTAGCTTTACTAGAAGTGCGAAAGTTTTATCTTTAAAATTAGAAAATAAAGACTCGGACTCGCAGTTTAGTTAGGCCGAAACAACTTTCTAACTACCTTTAATGCGAATTTAATTTCAGCTAAGTAAGCTTCTTTTAATTGGCGTTACATTAACGCGGACAGAGCATCACCGGAAATGAATTTTCGAGAGTGAACATCCGTCTGCTTTCGCGCTCTCGGCGCTGGGCGGGAAAATCAATATTTCTTTCTCACAATTTTTAGATCCAGATTTCGATATGAGCTTAAAGCGAACTAAAAACCAGCGCATAAACCAATGACCTTCAATCCGACTAGGCTGGCAGAGAGGCCGTAATGCATATCTCAATGGACAAATGAACGAGCGAACTAATGGAAGGATAAAAAAGCACGAGAGACACATCGCGAGAGTATTTTTGTGTGGGCCGAACTATTTGAAGCGCGAGTGCATCGTTCGTGTCATTGTTTTCGACGTTACTTTGCCGTTCTCGCGGTTTCTTTCCCTCTTCCCCATTTTTGTATGTATGTGCTGCGTGCATGCACTTTGACTCGCGGATGATTTATGCTTTCAATACAGCTTCGGCGGGCGGCCGGCTTTCGTTTCTCTGGGCGCGGATAAATAATCGAGCTGTGCCCGGGATAATTCTTGATTTTATGGGATATTGGCTTGGCACACGGCATTGTTATTCTTATGCTTTCCTGCTTTTCTCCGCTTTTGTTTTTTACATTATGCTCTCTCTCTCTCTCCCTCTCTTGCAATTGCTTCGCTCTCCATTTTAATTGAAAAATCTTTTTCGTCGATATATCGCGGCTAAAGCTCGCATACGTGTTCTACAATTTACGATGCGAAGAACTCCTGCTAAGGGGACTTTTTACTTTTTACTGTCGAGTTACAGACTACCTGGGAGAGATCATGTAATTTTATTGCGTTATATTCCTTTGAGTTCACCAGGATTTCTTTGACGATGAATTTTATTAAGTTCGTTACACGGGACGAAGTTTGCAGCCGAGCTTGCTTTAATAAACTACGTTTTCTTGATAACAGCAAACGAAGCCGAAGCGTGTTACGCCATCAAGATTATAATTCGGTCAGCTACCTCGTTCTATGGAGCCTTCCTCTTTTTCGCTTGTGAAATACTTTTCGCATTCAATTGCCCGGCGCGCAACAATAGCCGAAAAATCTCTCGGTAGCGTAATTACAAGTAAATGCGACTGCGACTGCCTTTGACAACAAGTAGCACAAAAGAGACCTTTTTCTCTCGACTCTTGGGCTTTCGAAAAGGACGTGAAAATGCAGATGCACGCGGCGCTACGCCACGACTTTGCTGCTCTCGCGATTTGCCTTTACGCGACGAGGGAGCCACGCGACATGGGATTTTTGGAAGGAAGCAGCCAGTATAGCAGCAGCAGTGAGAAAGCTCTGCCCTACCAGCCCAACCATTCGGATAACGGTGATTGATTGGCTTGTTATACATTGACAGTCATGGCTGTTCGACACGTATGAGTCGCGAAGCACTCGGCTGACAAAAAACAATTTGTACTACTCGAAGATATACATAGGCTTTTGACGTTTCGTTCGGGCTCATGAAACCGCCTATTTATTCAAAATTTTCTTTATAGTCTTTCTGTTGCCTTTCGATGTTTTACTCTGTGTAATTATCTACGAGTCAGTATGACGAACATTCCGATATCGTGCACTTGGCATACTGCAGCTATACAATGAGCTGAGCTGTAATTTGCTTATTAGTAACAATCTTTGCAGATCTTCGGTCGCTTCTATTGCACTGTTCGGCAACAACGATTATTCAAACGCGCAATTGCATGATTTTCATACTGCAAACTCTGGTGCGTATTGCAGGGGCATTAAAAGCAAGCTGCACAGCGAGAACTCGCGACTAAAAATGCCACAAAGATATATGTGTTTTCGTTTCAACGCGGCGTTTTATTGTTTACCTGACAATAGTAGCCGATGTACTTTCGAGAGCGAGGTAAAAAGGTAGCAGCAGCAGAAGCGAGAGCCGAGTAAATATGTCCTGGAAAAAAAAACGCGCGAGGAGAAGAAGAAGAAGCGACAGTAGCAGCCAGGGCTTAAGGGAGGTTTGTCAGTTTCCTCGTTTTTCGGCACTCCCCAAGGCGAAAGTAGCAATCTCACTTTGCCCGCCGCCGCGCATCCCGCTACCTCTTCTTACAACTCTCGCCTCTCTCTGAGGGCGTTAATTTTTTATCTCACTCGTGCACGTTGATTGTCTGCCACGCGCGAGGACTTTACTGATAAACGCGTAGCCTCTAATGAAGCGTTGTCGCGCGTCGGACAGCCGAGTTATCGCTTGCGTGCGCCAATTTCATTTATTTCACTCCTCTTCGCTGACCGAAGCTCTCGTACATGAAAGTGAAAAGAAAATGAAAAAAAATGTAAAGGTGAAGGCGACGGATACGTGTCTGAAATATACGTCTTCCGTTCATTCAAATTCCATCCATTGTTCGTTTCGACACAATCGCAGACACCAGTAGCGCGGTGCGGCCAGCGACTCTATACCTGCGTGGGTATCGTAAAGTACCGGACGCGCGACGCTACAGCGCTAATCTAGGTGTATATTATTGTGCAAGAGAGAGCTGCATACTCCGCCAGAGACACGTCGGATAAAGTTTCTCGCTTTCAAGCGCCTATCTGTGTAATCTATATTTATTGGTCGTGTTTTTTTGACCTCGCTGGTATAGTTTGTGCGTTTGTTTCGGGTGTCTAGTCTGTTTTGCATTCTTTCTACTCGTTTCGCTATAGCTACTGCAGATTCGAAAAACTTTGAACGTGATTTAAAAGAAAACTGTGATTCGATGTATCACTTGGGCTCACTGGACGACACTTTATACTTTTGTATCTGTATTGTTTCGTGCATTACACTCATCCTATGCCATATTTCACGTTTTATATCGGCGTTTTCAAATATTGAGGTGAAATATTTTTAAATGTGGTTCATTGTTTCTGGATGTTCGCGCGCATTTCTCCTTTATAAGGCGATAATTTGGCGCTGCGAGCGTTTCTGGGTGGCTGCCCAGCGCCCACGACGGCAGAGGCTAGCTGCTCGCACGAAAGCGTGCAGGAGCTCTCTTCCCCTTGAACTCGCGGCCGCAGCGCAATGCTCCTTCACCTGCTCCCGATCAACGCCGGATCTGAGCATCGGTCTGGCGTCGTACGGTCGGCGATGAGAACGTCCAGGGGAAGGAGTCATCGCTTCGCCATCGTCGCAATAATACCAAAGTCGCCATTTTCTACTCAAAATGTTTCCGATTTTTTCGTGTTTAGCATGGCGTGTACAATTTCTAGCCTGCACTGTTTATCAATTGTCAAAGTCATCTTTAGAAGTGATAAAGAGCAAAGTTGATCAATTGTCAATCCGATCATATCCTTTTGCTGTTACATTCGCAAATATTTTTAGTTTGTCGTATCAATGGAAGTTTCTTTTGTTCAATATATTATTTAATTACACGAGCGCTACTGTGAATCATTTCATGTTAGAGACGAAATCTAATAAACGAATATTAAGTTGCTTATGATGTATTAGACGATTGCGAAAATAATTATAATATACATGAATTGCTCATGTTATTGATTGAAACCACAAAGTAAAATGTTCTTTATTCACAATAAATACTTTATTTACAATAAATTGAATACTATTATGCATAGTTATTCGTAGCTTTTGACAAGTGAACCTCTCCTTCAAATATTTACTCTATTGAACTATAAAAATAATAATACAATATACACTGCACGTGAATCGTGATGAACATGCATGGTCGAAAATCGTTGAGATTATTTTTTTGTGATTTACATTTTAAAAAGAGGATACGTGCACTGGACTGAAATTATATAAAAGAGAGATTATCTCCAATTTAATTATTAAATAAATATCATATCAGCAAGTTTGAAGCGATTACAATAAGATTTAACAATTATGACACATTCTATATAGGTGCATTTAATTCGGCTATAAGGAAAAAGTAGAAAGGAAATATTTTCAATAGCTTGAGCAAACTACTTGAAAGTAAGCGTCGGCCGTCAAACTCTCTCTCGAAAAACACAATATCTCGTGAAAGTGGCCTTTCCCGCGCGCGTATCGGACGATCTTTCAATCTATCGTTTAGTTGCTCGAGCTCGAACTGGAACTATTTTGTCAATGGCGCCGCAGTAGCAACAGCAGCCGGTCCTAATAGAAAACTTTTCCCCGAGGCCAACAGCAAGTCCGCAGAAATTATTCTTACCGCTGTGTGTATGTGTATGTGTGTGTGCGTGTTGATTTTGTCGTTATATCAGCTCTTGCTCGCCCACTTTATGTTTTTCTTTCCAGACTAGCAAACTTTTCGTTAATTGTTACGGTTCTTTCGAGTCGGCTACTCGCGATGAATATTCATTTTCATTATTCCTTAGTTTTTGAAGATTTTTTTTTTTTTTTTTTTATTATTTTAATTGCTTCAAATCTATATTATAGATTTATTTACAATACATAGTTCATACGGAATGTGAAATATTGAGTTATGTTAGCTAGTGAGAAGGTGGAGAATTAGGTTTACAAGTATTTACATTGAGAGATTGACTTACAGTTTAATATTACATTTGTCAAGGAATTCAAGTATGCATTTTGACGCTGGTACATTGGGTTCGGCAAATATTAGAGACATTTTCATTGGCAATTGAAAACCT